TTTACCTTTCGGCAGATAGGAAATGGGCCTGAAATGGGCCTGAAATGGACATGGCAGCTATAGTTTCAGCAACCATAAAAGGTAATTTGTTACATACATTTTATGAGCACCTTAATTATACCTGCTCGAGACATTTTAAGAGTATTTCAGGACTATCATCAGTTTTTTAGTCCATTAAATTTCCAAATCTCTGAAAGCACTTGTTCCTGATGTCCTGAAATGTATTACAAAGCCATCAGTAATGATGGCTTTCCCGGCAATTTCTGGGACACTCATATGACCAGTACAGCCTGCCTAACTGGGATGTTTCGGGTTTATTTCAAAGCACGTAACAGACAGCCTTTTCCGACAAGAGAAATTGCCTCAAAAGTGACAGAAAAGTGAGCATTTCAGCACTCGGGAAAGTTGCTGGAAAGTCTCCTGAAATGTTACATTTTGGATGCCTTGTCTGGGACATTTTGGGCCCCCTGAAATCTGGGAATGCCCGTAGTGAAAACTCGGATACTTTGGATCGCAAACTCGCTCTCAGTTTGATCAAAAACTCACTCCTCCTTCGATCGAAAACTCGTTCTTCGCTCGATCAAAACTTGAAACCCGCTCCCCAGTTTGATTGAAAACTCGCTATCAATATGATTGAAAACTCACTCCTCCTTCGATCGAAAACTCGTTCTTCGCTCGATCAAAACTTGAAACCCGCTCCCCAGTTTGATTGAAAACTCGCTATCAATATGATTGAAAACTCGTTCCCACTTCAATCAGAAACTCGTTCTTAGTTGGACAAAACTCGCTCCCTCTTCAATCAGAAACTCGTTCTCGATTCGGTTAAAACTCGCTCCCGCTTCAATTCAGAAACTCGTTCTTGGTTTGATTGAAAACTCGTTCACTTGCGCGTACACGTGCACTTGTATACCTTCGGTTTTGCAACCAGACTCTCACATTGGTTTGCGCAAGTTTTAGACAACGGATAGCGAGATCATGGTGAACGGTTGCAAGATTAAGGTGAATCCGCGCGAGGTTGAGCAAGTTTAAGATCCCTCTGCGCAAGTTTTTGATCATGGCACGCGAGTTTATGATCCGCCTGAGCGAGTTTATGATCGTGGCCCGCGAGTTTACAATCAGCCGGAGCGAGTTTATGATCGGGGCCTGCGAGTTTACAATCAGCGAGTTTATGATCGTGGGCCGCGAGTTTACAATTAGCCCGAGCGAGTTTATGATCGCGGCCCGCGAGTTTACAATTAGCCCGAGCAAGTTTATGATCGCGGCCCGCGAGTTTACAATTAGCCCGAGCAAGTTTATGATCGCGGCCCGCGAGTTTATGATTGTAGCACACGAGTTTATGATCACTGCACCCGAGATTTCGATCAGTCTGAGCGAGATCAAAATCATGACACACGAGTTTAGAGTCCGTCAGAGCGAGTTTAAGATCATGCCGCGCGAGTTTAGGATCGGTCAGAATGAGACCAAAATCATGGTGCACGAGTTTATGCTCGGCTTGAGCGAGTTTGAAACCATGGGACGCGAGTTTACGACCAATCTTGGCGAGTTTGACATTCTGATGTGCGAGTTCAAAGTCAGGGTGCACGAGACGAAGGCTTAAAATTGCGAGTTTACTTCAAATTGCAAGTCGGATGAACGAGCTCAATGCATGACAGTTTGAGTTTTAGAGCGTGGCATTAGGGACACGGATGTGAACCAAAGTGCACGTACGTGCACTTCAATGCGTACATGAGCGTTTATGCGAGTTCCAGTTTTTACATAGCTTCCCAGTTTTGGTCTGCTTATGTTGCACTTTAGCTCACGTGATTGCATGGTCGTGCACGTATGTGCACTTCGGTGTGTAAGGAGCGCTCATGCGAGTTCCAGTTTTTCCAAAGCTTCCCAGTTTTGGTCTGCTTACGTTGCACTTTGGCTTACGTGAGTGCATGGCTGTGCACGTACGTGCATGTGCTTGCATTTGCGTGTAGCCTCGTGCAATCTTGTGCACTTGTGTTGCGTGCACGCGCACCTTTCCTGGGTGTCTCAGATCGAGAACGAGTTTCATCGTGTTCGAGTTTGTGATCTGCTTATTTTTGTCCATCCCCAACCTTCATAGGAACGCGCCGCCCGCCACCAACCTTTGGTTGGCTGGGCATGCAGCGCCCTATGAGAGGCGCCTCATGAGAGGGATTTTTTTTTGCATGTTTATAAAGGCCCGTACAACTATGAGGTACATGTAGGCCTATACTAGCTACTAAGTGTGAAAGTGCGACTGAACTCTTGCTTTATTCTGTGCTACAGGGCCAGTATATATACATGTGAGTCAGGACCTCTGATACCGCTATAAGACCTATGGTACTGTGAGCGTAAGCATGTATACTAAGCATGAGTAATCAGGTGTCATATTACTACAAGATAATAGAGGGGTCATGTGATGATATCCCCATTAGTCCGTACAGGGCAATGACGTAATCGCCCAGTTCTGACACTCCCACTCGACTAGTTATTGCCTAATCTACTGAAGACCAAGCCTAGCATAGACCGGAATTGCTCAAATTTCGTTGCACCAAGTGGCTTCGTTAACGTGTTGGCAATCATTTCGTCCGTACTAACGTAGACTATGTCCACTCGTTTTTCTTCTACGTATTCGCGTATGAAGTGATATCGAATGTTGATGTGCTTGAGCCTTCGGTCGTGAGCGGGATTGACTGCGAGAAAGATTCCTCCTTGGTTGTCTGCTACCAAAGGTGGTGGTGCAGTAGGAAAGTAACCTAACTCTTTTTGGAGTGACGTTAGCCAGGCTAGCTCAGAGCATGCCTCCGAGAGTGCCATGTATTTGGCTTCCGTCGAGGATCTTGCCACCGTCTTCTGCATTCGAGATGCCCATGTGACTGCTCCGTCGGCCATTAGGAAAACGAAACCGGTTGTTGATCGCCGGTTGTCCCGATTTTCGCCCCAGTCTGCGTCTGAATACCCTATCAAACCTGACTGATTTGAGCCAGAGTACCGGATACAATACTTGGTGGTATGACGGAGATACCGGAAGATATGCTTCGTGGCTTCTACGTGCTGTGACATAGGGTTTTGCATGTATTGTGAGAGTCGTGTGACTCCCCAGGCGATATCGGGTCGTGAACCAATCATCAAATAGATGAGACTACCAATCATGGACTGGTAGTGATGGCGGAGTGCATCGGTAGCGGTATATGTTTCCGCAGCCTTCTCGAGATGTATGCCTTCGGGCAGCAGTGTGCGGCAAGGTTTTGAGTTGTGCATCTGGAACCGAGATAGGATTCCTTCGGTATACGACTGTTGGTCAATTTCCAGACACCTGTTGTTTCTATCACAAGTGATCTGCATTCCAAGGAATGTACTAGCGGCTCTAAGATCTCGCATTTGGAATTTCTCTGCAAGAACTTTCTTCACTCGTTGGATCTTGGGTAAACTTGGACCCATTGATAGAAGGTCGTCAACATAAACGCCAGCGTCTGAGCGCGTGCGTTTGAATCCATTTTTGAGTAGCGTAGTGTGTAGCTTCTCGTTTCAGGTGCGTGAGGCTTGGCGTAAACCATAGATTGCCTTCTTTAATCGACACACCATCTTTTCTTGTCCTTTCTTCACAAAACCTTCTGGTTGTTCCATGTAAATCTCCTCGTCAAGCTTGCCATACAGGAAGGCCGTTTTGATATTCATTGCCTCAATTTCCCAATCTTTGAGTGTGGCATGTGCGAGTAAGAAGCATATAGCTTCATAGAGTGCGACGGGAGAGAAGGTTTCCTGAAAGTCTATCCCCTCTATCTGTGTGAATCCTTTGGCCACGAGACATGCCTTATAACAGCCGTTGGGCTTGATCACATAAACCCATTTGCATTTTACAATTCTCCGGTTGTTCGGTCTGTTGACCAGAATCCATGTGGAATTCTCCTCCTGAGACTTGAGTTCCTCCTTCATCTCGATCTCCCACTGTTTCGCATCTGGGCGAGACATTGCCTCGTGGTACGTAGTGGGGTCAGGCTGGTGAGCATGACATATCCATTGGAATAAATTCCGACGAAGTTGATCGTCGACTTCCATTGGAGAGGCTTCACGTTGTTTACGTGCTTCTCGTTCTTCTCGTTGTTTACGTGCTTCTCGTTCTTCTCGTTGATCACGTTGGATATCTCGTTCCTGTTGACGCCATGCTTCTGTAGGTGGGACGTCACCATAGCTGTTATCGGGAACACGGTGTTGGCCTGCATTCTTGCACTGTGGCCTGGCCGGATGAGGCACAGGTTGTGGTTCGAGATTCCATCGTTGCCTAATATCAGGAGCAGGTGGTGCTGCCTGACAAGATGGACTGGCTTGTCCACTCTGACGAGGACGATATTGTTCTCTCTGAGGTGGAGGTTGTCCAGGAGGTGGACCGGGAACAAATGGTATCTCCGGATGTTCGTATGGTTCCGGAGTTGGGCTTCGATATTGTTCATAACAATCTGCTGGATCGTCATTGACTTCGTCATCATCCTTTTGTTGCGGTTCGTCTTGCCGCGGTTGTGGATGTGCGTTGTCGGGGGGTTGATTATCAGGTGTGAAGTCATCCGGACTGGTTAAGTCCGGGTTCGGCAGGTCGGGTAAGACAGGTGGAATTGGATCCTGAGACGTTCCAGGCTCACGAGGCCTTTCGTCTCGCTTGGGAAAGGAAGACTCATCGAAGGTGACGTCGCGTGACACAACGATGGTCCGGGCAGTTGGATCCCAGAATCGGTAACCCTTTGTACCGATTTCGTACCCGACAAAGATCATTACTTTAGCCTTTGGCTGTAGCTTATTGACCCTCGCATCCTTATGTGTGTGGACGTAGGCTTTGCAGCCCCATACTCAAAAGTACGATACGTCCGGAACAGTGCCATTCCATTTAGTGATGGGCGGCTTCCATTGATGACGGCGCAGAGGTTGTCGATTGTATATGTGTACTGCTGTTTCCGATGCTAGCTTCCAGAACCCAGATGTCATGCCAGCATGATGTCGCATAGCTTCTGCCTTATTCTGAATGGTCTGTTGCCAGCGTTCTGCTCTGCCATTCTGTTGTGGTGTTCACGCCACTGATAGTTGACGCTCTATTCCGCGTTCTGCTAGGAAATCGTCAAATTCGCGGCCTAAAAACTCCCCCCCACGGTCCGAACGTATAGCCTTGAGCTTTCGCTTGGCCTGTGTCTCTGCCCAAGCGACGAATTGCTTGAAGGCAGAGAAGGCGTCAGACTTTCGTTTCAGATACCAGACTAAACCAAATGAGGAATAGTCGTCGAGGGTGGTAAGGGCAAACTTGTACCCGTCGAGTGATAACGACGGATATTTGACAAGATCCATGTGAATTAAGTCGAGGGGATGATCCGCACGACTGTTAGATGCAGGAAATGCATCGCGACGAGACTTCCTGAATTCGCACCCATCGCAGGAAGTATTCCTGGTTGGAGCTGAGATCTTATCCGGGACGCCTTTGACATTGCCAGGTAGTTGTGTAACTGACTTCTTCCCGGCGTGTCCGAAGCGACAGTGCCACAAAGTATATGGATTGTCGGATTTGACCGACATTAATGTTCCTGGCTTAATCTCGCTGGTCCTAGTGAGAACTTCAGCTTCTAGCCAATATAAACCTGACGACTTTTCATATTCGCCCTCCATTAAAACTGTCCGCTGTGTTGGGTCTGACCCGCGGAGTAACTTAAACTTCTTGCCATCCATCTCAATACGGTGACCGTTATTGAGTGGCATTCTGGGTGCAAAGAACCGTTCTGCTGCTTCCGATACGTATAATACAGTTTCTAACCGGATATGCTGAACTCGTCCGTCTGTAAGACGATGTCACAGAGCGATTTCACTGTGACCTTTAATTTCGATAGTTTGACCTTTGCCGGCCGTGTGTGCATGACCTGGCTTAAGGAATTCATGATACCAAATGAAGTCAGTTTTGTACGGTGTGACATGTGTTGTACAACCGCTGTCGACCATCCACTTAGACTTGACACCCGTAGCATAAAGAGAAACAGAAATGGATTCCTCTTCGATCTTAGCTACTATCGACTATTCGTATGGTATTTACAGTCTGTGTGGTCATTGCGGTATTGTCCTTCGCTTTGCCCTTTCCTTTTTCCTTCTTGCGCTTTCCACCATCCTGCTGCTGCTGCTGCGTGTTGTTGCCGTTACCGGAACTCGAGCCAGAATTCACCGGCTTTGTGTCCCAGTGCTGCTCCGTTGTGTGATTCTTGCGACCACACTTCTCACATTTGTTGTCAAGAAGAGGCGCCTTCGAGACCCGCGCAATCTGAGTGCGGTTCGCAACGCGGCGCTGTTCCTCCTCGACAATCTTGGGCTTGATGAGTGCCGCTGTGAGCAGCGTAACATCAGTCTGCGTAGTGAGAATTGTACCAGCGATGGTCTGGTACGACTTGGGGAGAGCATTGATCATGAGCAGAGCAAGGAGCTGAGGTTTGACCTCTATTCCCGCCACGTTGACCTGGTTGGACTGCTCTGTGAGCACGTCAAGTTGTGGGCCGAGCACGGAGCTGTCAGAAAGCTGTGCATTGAACAGCTTCTGGAAGGCGACAAATGCGCCTACCGCTCCGGGTTTTTCGTAGCCGGCCTTGATCGCGGTCCATGCGTCCAGGGCCAAGAACTTGTCATCGACGAGATGACGAAGGTTTTGCGCGACGTAGAGCTGGATGATTCCCAGCGCCTTGTCGTTTTTCTCATCCCATGCAGCTTGAGCTGCAATTTCCGTAGCCGTGGGTGTGTCTGTCGCAGCTATTGGTCTAGCCAGACCAGGGACAGGAACGGTCGCTGTGGAGCCGTATCCCTGGATCAAGTACCAGACGCCCTGGTAGCGCAGGAAGGCTCGGATCACGTCGGACCACTTTTTATAGTTGGTGCCATCAAATTGCGAGATGGTAGATGTGGCGAGCTTGGTCGGGTCAAAAGAGGATGACATTGTTATCGTGTACAAAGAGGAGGCAAGTGTATGCGTAGAGTGTTTCACGTTCCTTTTGAGTTAACCTGACGTCGTAAAAGAATTCACTGAGATCGAGCTCGTATGATTTGGCTTGTGTCGCTCGAAGTGATTCCCAATCTTCTTTCAAGAATGCGAGATCGTATAGCTGATTGATTGGTCTATAGTATAGATCTTCCGCAATATCTTCCTGTTCTAGGTAACAGGCGTATGCTTCTGAATATGTATCAGAAGATGTGGGAAAGAAGGTATGTATGATGTCTTCGTCGTGGTTTGTTAACTCTGCTGAAGCGTTATAGCTCGACAGTTGTTGGACGTAATTGAAGTAGTACAGGGTTAACAACACCTCAACGTATTGTTTGTGTGCTGTTAATGATTCCCACGGAGTTTCTACGTCGTCTATTATATTCAGTCGCTGTCTGAATTCTGTGACGGATTCCTGTTTTGTCTCTACGGTTTCAGGTACCGTATTTGTCTCCTGAGAGGTAGTGATTGTGAACGCTATTGAGCGAACCACTTATTCCAGCTAAGCCGATTTAGCCGAGAGGTGGATAGAGTTAGAATTGGACGAAGGGACCAGATAAACTACGACGCTTGTTGTCGCTTAGGATAAACACACAGTAGTCAGGTTTCTGAGTAGAACTTTTCTCTGATTGTTACAATAGTGTTGTGTACAAAGTATCTACTTGTTCTCGTAAAACCTAACCGCGTCAAAATATCCGTTCACGTAAACTGCGCTGAGCGCTTGTACAATCCGGGCTATGTTCTTGCGTAGCCCTTTGAACGAGATATCCTCTATTTCTCTACACCCTAATTTCCACTTACGCCACTCCTCGTATTTGACGATGTTGCAGACGTCCGCTAGGCAGCGCTTGATGCGCGTAAGCTGCTCAATGAGTCGGCGGAGATTGCGGACTCGGTCGGAGTTGAGGTCGTCGAGCTCGAGGGTCTCGAAGACGTCGAGGCGTTTGAGCGTGCCATCGAACTTCGGTGTGAAGATGAGGATGAGGTCGGCGGAAGTGTGCTTGTCGAAGTTGATGAGTATCGACTTCGGGGCGATCGGCGTATGTGTCGCCGGTGGGATGGCAGCGAGACGCTGCTCGAGTGTCAGCTTTGACGGACCGGCGAGGATCCGTTCGCGCGCCTGTTGAATTTTGCGTGCAGCTAGACGCTGCTCGAAGTCAGCCTTGTCGGTCGCGTAATGCTCGCAGAATTGTTCACGACGTAGGTGCCTGCCCTCGTGTGAGTTCGGAGGGAACGGGAGGGTGAGCGCTGGAGTCAGCAGGCGAAGTTCTTTGCCGCGGCGTTTACCATACGGGATGGTCTCGACGGGGTCGTTGGCGTTGCCAGAGGTGGGTGCATAGCCGGCGGAGTGCTTGTACCGCTGGAAAACGGAGTGAGGGGGACGAGCGGGTAAATCCTTTGGCACTAGAAATTATGCAGGAATGAACGCGTGAGCGCTCCGTCTGCCACTAGCACGCAATGAGACTTACTCGTAAACTGCGTGGATAAACTTTGTTTAAACTGGGTGAAGGGGACCGAGGTTTCCCAAGGGGTCTTCTTCAGCAATGAGACTAGTAGAGTGGGGGTAGATTGGCCGTGAGGCCGGGGCTCATAACCTGTGAAAGTGCGACTGAACTCTTGCTTTATTCTGTGCTACAGGGCCAGTATATATACATGTGAGTCAGGACCTCTGATACCGCTATAAGACCTATGGTACTGTGAGCGTAAGCATGTATACTAAGCATGAGTAATCAGATGTCGTATTACTACAAGATAATAGAGGGGTCATGTGATGATATCCCCATTAGTCCGTACAGGGCAATGACGTAATCGCCCAGTTCTGACACTAAGTGTCTGATATCAGTACTCCCCACCAGTTACCCATCACCCTAGGCTGCTCGGTCGCAACGCCACCCAGATGGCGCTGGCCTCGCACGATGTCATGCACCATAACTATAAGTATAGGAAAACTAAAGGAATAATAGGTATTCAAATCAAAAAGAAACCGCTTACTCAAAGCTGCAAAGCAAGCATAAACACTCAAGCTTACTAAAAGTGAATCAATCACTAATAATATGACTCAGCTTCTTAGTAATCTAGAAACTATGCTTAGTAAAGGTATATGCTCAACAGCTATGAATTACCAAAATATAGTAATACTCTAACAAACATTAGTAATAGCTTACCAATATGTTAGTAAAACAGGCAGAAGGCTGACTAATACAGACAAAATGCTTATTAATAAAAGTAGAAGTAGCTTAGTAATTACAGTAGAATAGAAGAGCCAGTTTTGCTATTGGCTAAGGAACAACAGGCTGAAAGGTATAAATAGGAGAGGTTCTCTGAGAGCAAAAAGAACACAAACACACCAACCCACCAAGCACCACACACACTCTCAAGGATTTAGCTAGCAGCAAACCTGCAGTTAATCCCCTGAGCTCTTTAGCTCTCAGAGAATAGACTCCTTTCTTTAAAGCCTAGGAAATTCCTTGGGCACAGTAGAGCCTTTGACTTTCAAATAACCTGAAGGGAAACGCCCTTGGTATAGTGCACGAGTTCACTATTTGACTAACCCTAGACTGCGAGAGCTAGTGGCGTCATTATTTGAGACTGTGGTACGTCTCCTGTAGAGCTTACAGTAATTAGACTAGCAGTAAAGAGATTAATTCTATTCTTGATCTTCAACTCTAAATTGAAAGCTTCAGACTGCTTCAAGTTATACAAATCCTCTAAGGACATTAAATTGTCCTTACTAGCCAAAGCTTATTAAGTTAACCAAGACATTAACTTGTCTTTGTTACCCTCTTATCTTACTTATCTAAAAACCCTATTGAACTAACCCAAGTAGCTAGTCCTTAAGCTACTAACCAAACCTCCTTACAGCCCATCTTGTAAGATTCCTTAAAAAGTCCCTTGTAAACAGGCAAGTGAGGCTTTAGAGTACTTAAGCAGATTAGTAGGTGGTCTTTGAATTAGTCCTCCACGAACACCAGGATAGCTTGGTTGAAAGGCTAACCCAGTGAACCCTGGAAAGAAAAGATTGGAAAAACCAAATCTAAGTATTTCATACTATACCCTTCTTGCTTTTAGTTTAGAACAGACCAAACTCCATTCTCTTTTATTAAAAAGTAACCTTCTAGGATTTCTCCTAGAATCTTCTTTATACCAAACCTCATTTTTTTTAACTTACTTTTCTTATCCTAACCTTTTCTTTATGATAACGGGCACCACGTCGGCATGATAAACCCTGGCTCTAGAGCTCCAGCCCTGGCTGCTACTAGATTTCCTAGTATACTTGCACAGTCCATAGCCACTGAGCATTTAAATAAACACTACCTACCTCTGGCCATTGGGCAAAGCAATGGCCAGTTCGAGTGTCCATCCTGACGCTCTGTTGACAAGGCCTACACCAGTGTATTTTCACTGGTGAACCTCGTCTATCTGGTTGCCCCAGTCATCCACATCTGCGGGCGGCACCTCGTCATCTCTGACGTCACACTGTTGTCTGGGCACCAAGGTGTAATATTTACCTCGGTACCTGAACTCCCTCGCAAAATCTTCTTCCATCCCACTCGATGGCGTGCCCAGTGACCAGTCGCTGAACGTTTTCTTGTACTGGATAACCAGCATGTGGCTGTACTACTGAGTGAATCGACGTTCAAGTACGTCAGGCTTGGGGAAGTCTTTGTACCATCCATATTCATCCACATTGGCATCGTCACGTTCACGTGCTTTGTGGAAATATTCTGCTTTTACGCTCTTCTCGAGGTTCTGCACATACTTATGGCATGCTGCTCTACGCCATCGAGTGTGTGCCATGGCTTTCCAGATGTGGACCGACTTCGTAAAGTCTAGGCCCTTGCACTCAGTCCTCTGAGGCTTTTTCAACAAGGTCCGACCACTCAAATGTGGCTGCCATGGGATTGAGTCGGATGAAGTAGTAGACGTCATCCCAATTCTTCCCCAATACTCTCTTTCTTGTTTCCAGGTCGTTATGCATGTCTACCAGTGCATCGGCCTGGTCGTATTTATTGTCTGCCCGTAATCAGAGATCCTCTATTTCCCACATTTCCCAGTCAAACTGAGCCTGTGAGATATGCACTTTCCATCATACTTTGGATTGTCTCGTACGGACTTGTCCTTCCAATATCCCCGATCCCATCTCTTACACTCATAGAGGATGTGGTCCCTAGTTTCGTCTATTTCTTTTTTGTCTGTGTGCCAGCAATACCAACATTTTAGTGATCCGTCCAAGTTAAATTTCCGTCTGAAGGCACCAATCGGTGCGTGTCCAGACATGATGCAAGTGAGCCTTGCCATCTCTCTGTTTTTGTTCCCTGATCACTGCAGGAACCAGGAGTCAGACATATATTTAATTGATTTTACCTGCTTGATGTCATCACCACCAAGCAGGCCATGTCCTCTGTATTTCTCATCTGTTACAATGCATCTCCTCCACACTGTAACTTCTTCCTCCATGATGCATTGCCTAGCATACACCTATGAAGTGGTAGGTGGAGTTTTGCAGCTTCTTTCGCTTCCTTGTCTACCTCTTCGTTGTATTTAATTCCTACGTGGCTTGGGCACCAGTAAATGAGAATCTCATTCCGCTGATCCTTTTCCATCCATGTTCTTATAGCTTTGCTCTTGAGAGGGATCACTGGCCAATGAGAGTGCCTCTTTGTCTCGGGGATTTGACGCCCGAGGTGTTTTATTATATTAGATCATGATCATGCATCGCCTGCCAGCCTCGAGGTTACGACATAGCTGTATGATTCACACCGCATACAATAACCTGAGGATCCATAGCTTGCCTCGTATGACGGCGGCAGGTGAGTTGTTTGCATGAATTAAGCAAAAGCGTTGTTCATGCGTATCTAGGCACTCTTTGATTACTAAATACCTTGTCCTGGTTCACGGTCTGACGACGAACAGCTGCAGATGGGCAACATCAGCCTCCTTTATTGTACTGGCCACTGGCAGTGCTGCAGCGCCTGTCATGGATGACAGCATTGATGCAATGCCACACTTACAAGGACCAGATACCAGAGGCAGTACTTGTATATGTTATGATGGGCATGGTGGCGTGGGATATCATTTCCTCTTTCATCTCTGACTCTAGTCTAGTAGTATGACGCACTTTCGACTCATACAGCGCAGCTTTCCTGACTCACCCGCAGTCCCTTTGACTAGTAGACTAGTCCTTAGGTTAGGTTGAGCAGTAGTATAAATATCCCGTGCATGTACCATAGTATCTCAGCTTTCAGCTCTTTCGTAAATTCACGTTTCTTTATTCTGTTCTAACCTCATCTGCGGATAAGGCGACCGGACAAGCTTCAGGCTTGCAAAGAAACCTCTGTCATAACAGTATACTGCAATGTGTCCTGGACCCAGTTGCTCATCCTCTACCATGGCCCCCGACTCTCGCCCTCTCGTTATTTGCTACTTGATGGTCTGCATGAATGCCGTCGACGGCGCGGACATGTCGCTGTGGCCGAGGCTGCCGTTAACGCCTTTGCCACTTTTGCCGATTGTTCGAACGTGCCTGCGATTACCGAACTCAGCAAGACTTTGCAGGCCTTCCAGCAACGCCTAAAGTACTCGAAATACTGCAAGGTATACAACAACGCACCTTCGTCTTCACGGTCACTGACGCTGAGAGCTCCGCGAAGAAAGAGTGCACCGCGCTTGCAAACAAATGTGGCGACTGGGCGCAAGAATTCGAAGAATGGGCAAAGGTTGTCGACAACACTGAATTGGCTGAGGTTGCTAGCGAGCAGAGCATGTATGTTCAAGATCTTGTCTCAGCTCTTCCAACAATCATCCTCACACAAGGGCTGCAGGCGCTTCGAGGACATAATGCTCAGAGTCACAAAGATATCCTCAAGATTGCGTTGGAAACTATTGTGTACATTATTTGATCCACATTTGGCTGTTCTCTTGTTCATGGGTGCTCATATATGCACGACAGGGGGCGCCGAGAAGGTCAAACGTGAACTGAACACCGTGGAGGACGACATGAAGCACTTCCATGAGCTCTTCAAGATGGGTAGTTCATGAGTAAAATGTTCCTACATGTCGTGTCACTGACACCTTATGGCAGACTCGCGCCACGATGAGCGGCGATGCCACGGTCAACCACGTCCTGGAGAAGGGGCAGGAGAATTTGGCGCTTACAAGAGAGCTGAAGGCAGACCTAGTGCAAGCTCGGGCCCATGCGACACCTTCTCGACTAAGCAAGTCCGAGGGAGAGCAGGTATGTTCCATGGCATAATTTGTCTTCATTGTGCTAAGGCATGAAGTAGATGTAGAAAGAATTCGAAGCCCAGGCTGGCAAGCCCAGTCAGGTGCCTACCCCTAATGCTACAAAGATGAATGAGTGGATCAGGACCTCATCAATTCAGGATTCCGGAACTAGTGATGTGCGGGCCCGGCTTGGGCTCAAAGCCCGGGCTTGGGCTTGTGGCGACGTCGAGCCGAGCCCTGAGCCCGAGCCGAGCCCGAGCCCGGCCCAAGCCTTGGGCTTAAGCCCGGGCTTGCTCACAATACAACGAGTGTTCCGGTGCTATCAAAAGGGAATGTATTTGGGTGTAGTAGATTAATACTGCATGTACTCACTAAATTATAACCTTCAGAAGATCTACATCTGCGGAACAAGTCGAGTCGCAGCGAAGTCCACGAGCGTGCGCCTACGGCAGGCACCAGATGGTGACGCACAATCGTGCTCGGCGGGAGCTGTTATATCTAGAATATCTACATTTTGTCTTCTATGTGCATATTAGGTCGCTCTCTCCTCATTCTGAACTCAGGGAACGGTAACGGAGCCAGCACACCCAAGCCTGGGCTTCCGGGCCGGGCTTGGGCTTGACTACGCTCCGAGCCCGGCCTTGAGCCCGCTGCCGGGCTTGACTCGGGCCAGGCTTTTTGGGCCGGGCTTGGCGGGCTTGGAGGCTTTGAGGCCCGGCCCGCACATCACTATCCGGAACATCACCCTGCCTGAGATCCGGTCTGCCGTTGCGGACTATGAGAAACGGACGGGGGTACGATCGGTTGTTCCTGACCTGAAAGACGAGATTTTCGTCATAAAGGCACCCAACGGGCAATATAAGGAGTCCACTGGCAACGCCCGGACCCAGATCCACATCGGCAACTACAAAGGCCGCAGGGTCAGTTTTGTTGTTTTTACCTGCTCTACAATCCGGCTGACATCTCACTTACGGGTTGTGGTCAGGAGATACGTGGTTGGAGTAACCGATATTGACGAGCTGAGAGAAGTGCGCTCCCCCCAACAACAAATTACCGAATGCTGATAAACGTGCTCGTCGCAGCGTTTCCTTGCCGAGACCTTGATCTGGGGGCAGTTCAATCATCCACCCATTCACCGCTTCTTCGGTGTGACCAACGATACCGCATTGGCGCATACTGTGATCGTAAGGAGTTTCCCGTTGGCCGAGTCTCCTTTCTAATACTTCATTGGTCGATCAGGTCTCGGAATGGGAAGACAACGGCAATGCCGTAGAGTGCGCATGCGCATTTGTCTCTTTGCAATGCCTGCTAATGAGATCGGAATGTTGGCAGCTACATCACCAAGAGGCCTGGCGATCTGGCTGTCAGGCTTCGTTTAGTAGGTCTTTGCCTGGGTGTTATTAGTGTTTGACACGCTGACACAAACCCTGGTAAGTTGATTGGCGCAGCTGAAGGCTTGATATATCTGCATGGCCTTGGCATCGTACATGGGAATCGTACGTGGTTGTATGCTGTATGTCACTTTTGTCCGCATGGTTGACGCCCCGATTTCAGTTAAAGGCGTAAGCGCGTAAGTTCCATCATTCGCATTTGAACCTGGAGATCCAGTGGTGCTGACATTTAGCTAAGCGGAACATTCTGGTCTCCAACGAGGTCCGTAGCTTTCTGAACTTATGTACGTATGCTTCAACAGGACTGACGATCAGCAACGCAGGGTGAAGCCCTCATCACCGGTTTCCAACGTGGAAAGCTAGATGCCGATACCGAGGAGGACAAGGTGGTGTCTACCCGGCGGGAGTTTGACACGAACTGGACGGCGCCGGATCTAGCGGACGCGTACCGACGGCCGTGCGCAAAGCTTGATGCCTGGGCGTTCGGCATGATCATGTACGAGCTGCTGAGTGGGCGGGAGCCCTACGACAACTTCCGGGGTGGGGGGCGAATCCTGAAGCAGATCACGATCGGAGTACTGCCGGAGCGGCCCCTGCACGCGCTCGTCACGGACGAGCTGTGGGAGCTCATGGGAGACACCTGGAACCAGAAACCTGAGGATCGGCCTAATATGGAGCAGGTCCTCGTTCGTCTACGCGCACTGCAGGCAACGAATGACTTACAGGACGCCAGTTCTTGATTTTGGTTGCATGATATAGGCACACAGTGCTGTAATCGTCGTTGTATGTGACCATGGAGCTCACGGACCCTAGCATAGAATACCCTGCTCCGCTGTCATGTATCTGAAGCATGTCATTTGCGTTTTGTGTAATTTCCCTGTAGCTATATATCCGTGGACTGTAGTATAATACAAAACTTTCTGACATAATATTTTTCTACGTTATGCCGGTCCAATGCAACGTGGCGCAACAAAGCGGTAGCGGTCGCTGTCCGCTTTGAACGCCACGATCGCTTTCGAGCGCCAAACTATGCCCAAACAGCCTCGCGCGTCGCTGGCGCGCCTCATTCGCGTGTTGCCTTTGATCTCCTACCACAGCCGCCCTCGCAATGTCCCCTGCCGGCACCAGCGACCGGCCTCGTCGGTCTACACGCGCACCAGCAAAGGCTGTAACTATCGCCGCCCCGGCCTCGCCTGCCGAAAAGAAGGGCAAGCAGCGCGATCCTGAGGCGCAGCTCGAGCACCTGTTGACGAACAGCAGGAGCAAGCTGACTACTATCGACATTGCTGTGAGCTTACATGTACTCTGAGACTCACCATAGAGCAGTGCGGCTCACTCGATGTTCCTGCAGGACGTCATAAGCTACGAGAACTTCTTGGACCTGTCTGAGGAGTCGAAGGAGCTGCTGTGCTCTCTGCTGCCGCCGACAGCGTTTTTGACGCACATACCTTCCGTGAACCCATCACACCCGTCGGGGAGTGTTGCTTTGTCGTCTACTTGGGGCGCAGACATTGAACGGAGCCCGGCAACGCTCGACCCGGCGTTCTTCACAAGCCCGTTTCTGCTCGGCGCGGCGCATGCGTGGCAGGACCACATCTACTCTGGCTTCTTCTCTGCCAAATCCCAGGATTCGCTCGCCAAATACTCTGAGGGAGTCCATAATGGCATGCTCCGTGCAGAGTGGAAGGATGAGGCGTGGATGCGCGAGCACCCTCCGCCAAAGCGTCCTGCCTTGTAGTGAGCCGATTAAACTGTTGCACCCGCCCGTATGGTATGTGGCTCTAATCTTGCGTGATATAGCAAAGAGGACCTGGATATAATCGAACTTGTCAAGTCAGGAGTGATCAGAGAAGGCGATGTAATCGCGTACAAGAGACACTTTCCTAACCTCTCGATCACAGTGGAGAAGGACATGCTCGTATGTGTATCATTTTTCGCATTTACCTGTCCTTTGACAAACCACCCCTTTTCTAGGTACAGAAAGCGAATCCTGCCGACGGCACTCTCGCGGTTCTGCTCCAACCTGGTAGCGCGCCGTCGCTCCCACAGGATCTGCTCGTGGTCGCACCGCCGAACCCGACACCGCCAACGCTGACGATTGAAGATATACTGTCTTCGATGGACCTCGAAGACGCTCTGCTGGATGTTGACGGCCGGATCTCGCGCGACCAGCGCGCTGTGACGCCAATAAGTCCCGCCACGAGGCCTGTGCCTCGCAGTGCCTTAGCAGCGAAGGCTCTGACAGTGTTCCGCTGGCGGGATGAGGTGATGTGCGACCTGGAGATGCAGATGTCGATGGAGAAGGGTGCTAGAGAGCGATGTGGCTCTGTGTGGTATCTGCGGAGGTCGTAAGATGGAATCCACCGAGAGTCTCATTCAGGTCTATTTTTCATAGAGATGCTGTAATGGAGGACATCATGGCGAACGCGACCTGTCGTGTTCCATCGCATGCTTATCGCGCGCTCGGTCGTGCTCGCGGGGTACAAGCCTGCTGGTGAAAGAGTGGTGCACACCTCATCGCTCGCCGTAAACGGTGACGCGTGGGCGCCTGCGACAACGCTCACGGTGGCCCCTTGCGTTCGCGACGAACGCACATATTGAGTGCGACTGGGACAACAATTAATTCCCTGCCCGCACGAGTATACTACTAAGAGCATCTAAGTGTACCTAAGCCAAAAGGGGTGTTTGTGATTCGGCGCTCACGCCGCCGAGTCGCAGGGCAGCTGCATGTACAGTCTCCCGCACATTCGCAACCTCCCTTCTTTCGCTCATATTGTGCTCACCACAGTACTTCTTAGACTTTAATGCGGTTCGTAATTCGAAAAGGCTCAGATGAAGCATGGCAAACGTTGTCGGTGTCAGATGCCAGTGGACTCAGAGCCGAACGCTGAGCACTGGACGTTTGGAGACTCACAGCCTACATGACTTCGAACAGAGCTCATGCCCTATCCACTTCCTTCAATGCAAACTTTCTTTCCTCACCGCTTCCTCAACAAGATAAAATAGCTTATCCATCGCGTTATCCCTTTTTTTTGCATAATTCGCGAATCGAGTCAGGTTTGGATCAAGTTCGACACGGCCGCTACTCGCCATCGGTGTATGCTTACCTTTTGTCTAAACTCGTTGTGTGCCTGACAGAGTGCATTCTTACGATAATATTCATCTGAGTCGATGTAGTCCTAAGTCCACTGGAGCTTATCGTGTTCGAATGTTCACTGAGCACTACACAAATATTGTGGGTTGCGATGGGAGGTGTACGGGGTCCCACGGGGTCCCATCAGTCTGGAGTCCGAACAGGCTCAGATGTCGCGATGGTACTTACGTGGGATAAGAGGCCCAAACGCGACGCGACGGCCTTGACGCGTCTCTTCAGCTTCAGCCACCGGTACCACCACAGCCGTCCGGACATGGCCGTTGCTCGTCGTTCACTGCCACATCCCTCATCGTCATTCTTCTGCCCGCAGCCGCCGGCACTGACGTCGAGTGGCTCGCTTCCATCGACGCTTGGCGCACCCTGGAAGTCTAAGTCCGGACGGATCAAGCTCTCTTGCACCTGGTGACCGCCAGCCCGGTCGGCCTATGACGCTATCCGCGGTATATATACCGCCGCTAGTACTACGCCCTCGAGACGCTTTAGACGCGACTCTTGAACGCACCATCGCCGACGGCGGCGGGGCAGTCTACATATATCTCGATACTCAGACGCTATCACTGAAACCATTGCCACGTACCGTCCACCATCCGCCCTTCTCGCTGGTTTGACGCGCTATGACCATTCTACGACGGGCACCACTCTTGCTCAGTGCTCGGGGAGCGCACTCGCCAGCTCACTCTCGGTCGGTCTCTAATGGGCTCACTATCGGCATTCGCAGGGAGGACCCGTCTCGAATATGGGAACGTCGCTGCCCGCTCACACCTGAAGCAGTCAACGAGCTGGTGACGAAGGAAGGTGTGAATGTCGTTGTGCAGCCCTGTGATAGGCGAGTGTTCACCATGCGCGAGATGAGAGAGGTGAGTACTGCTGTTGCCCTGCTGTCGCTCCGCACTGAGCTGTGTCCAGGCTGGAGCAGTCCCTCACGATACCCTCTCGCCTGCACACATCATTGTCGGAATCAAGGAGACGCCTCTGAGTGAAGTCCTTACAGACCCGCTTCCTCTGTCTGGACAAGTAGTACCCCGGACACATCTGATGTTCTCGCATACACACAAAGGGCAAGAATATAACATGGAACTTCTGTCCAAGTTCTTGAATCCTCCAACTCTATCGGCTCATCAGATAGACCGACTACGACCCACGTTGATAGACTACGAACTGCTGACTGACGACAGCGGAAAGCGAACAGTAGGATTCGGGTGGTACGCTGGAGGTCAGCATAGCAAGTATCCTACCTCGGAACGGAACTAACGATCACTTGCAGTTGCCGGAGCGCTGGAGTCCCTCGCAGCTCTGGCGCACGCGTTGCTGGAGCAGGGTGTTGCTTCGCCTTTCCTTGTGAGTATGACCAGGACAGCGGAAATTCTGCCGTGTTAATACATCTACAGTCCACACCACGTCCGCACACACATCCTTGTCTGCCTTCACTCACCAACTCTCTGCATAAACTTGTCGGCGACCGTATAGCGTCCGAGGGTACCCCTCCGGTTCTCGGACCGGTTGTCATCTGTGTCACAGGGTAATATTTGACCAAGTTTTTTCTATGCTACGCACTACGATTGCTGATAGTAAACTATCTTCAGGACAGGTAAAGTTGCTCAGGGCGCATTAGACCTCTTGGCCGAACTGCCCATTCAACGAGTGAGCGTCGACGATTTGCCGCGGCTTGTCCGTAATCCAGGTTGGTGTCATTCGCGTTAGTTAGACTCTACATTGCGGTTGACACTTGTCTCTTTCTTGCGGTCTAGATACCGACCTGCATAAGGCGAGCTCCATGGTTATATGCATGTCCAAAGCTGTCTAACATTTGCGTTTGTATGTGTAGATCTATGTTGTCCATGCGTTGCCAAAGGACTACTTCGTACGCGCAGACGGCAGTCCTTACGAGCGTTCACATTATTATGCGAACCCAGACCAGTACACGTCCATTTTCCACGAGAAGGTAGGTACCAGACTCTTTCAGCTTGGATTGCAGCTGACTGTATGCGCACTGAAGATCGCCCCGTACCTTACCCTCCTCGTCCACGGCGCAGGCTGGGCACGCGGCTATCCGCGCACGATGACCAACGAACAGCTGCGCCTCGCTCTCGAGGCCGCGCAAGGCGTCGGGCCGGGCCGGTTCACGTGCGTCGGCGACATCAGCTGCGACATCGAGGGCGGGCTCGAGTTCCTGCCGCAGCACTCGACGCTGAGCGCGCCGTTCTTCAGCACGCGCCCGGCGGCGCTCCCAGCGCACCTGCGCGACGTGACGGTCATGGCGGTCGACATCCTGCCCACGGCACTGCCGCGCGATGCGTCACAGCATTTCACGCGTGTGCTTTTACCGTATCTGCGTACGGTCATCGGAGGCTACCGCGGCGCGCCGGTCGTCGGCGGCGACGAGCGCGGACGGGCGGAGGCGCTGGAGCGCGCGACGACGGCGAAGGGCGGGGTCCTGGCGGAGCGCCATCGCTGGCTGGAGGACGGCCCGCTTGGGGCCTGGAGGTCACAGTCTGGGGTCGTCAAATCTGAGGCCGGCGGTGCGCCAGTGCGGAAGAAAGTTCTGATGCTTGGGAGCGGCATGGTTGCCGGACCTGCTGTGGACGAGATTGCGAGGCACGGCGACGTGGAGCTTTTTGTTGGTGAGTGTCAGCTGGGTGTATGCGCCAGTATTCTGCTGTATCTGACGGGCTGGTTTCAGCGAGCAACGTTCTGAACGAGGCGAAACGGCTGACGGCGCACCACGCCAATGCGTCGGCTGTTCTAGTCGACATGGGCGACCAACAGCGGGTCGGGCAGCTGGTCGAGGAAGCGGACCTCGTGGTCAGGTGAGTGCTGTGCTTCGTTTTCCAAACAAGCTCTCTTATGCGTTCACCGCAGTTTACTACCGGTTCCTTTCCACCCAATCGTTGCCGAAATATGCCTCAAGCACAAGAAGCATCTTGTTACCGCATCGTACATTTCACCCGCGATGCGCGCTTTGCATGAACGGTATGCACATGCACGCCTTTTCCGGTCCGGCTCGAGCTGACACCGTGTGACAGGGCCGTCGATGCCAACGTGATCTTCCTGAATGAGATTGGTCTCGACCCGGGCATCGACCACTGCTCCGCCATCTCCCTGCTCTCGAAGCTTCAGGCAGAGAACAAGCGTGTGGTGTCGTTCACGTCGTTCTGCGGCGGGTTGCCGGCGCCCGAGCATGCCGAAGGTATTCCGCTCAAGTACAAGTTCAGCTGGAGTCCGCGAGGCGTGCTCGGCGCTGCGCTTAATGGTGCGCGCTTCAAGCTGTGTGGCGAGGTGCGTCGCTCTCGATCTTACATGCTTTCGCCCTGAGTTGATAGTTGGTTGGGGCAGCTCCGAGAGATCGAGGGAAAGAACATCTTGAAGGAGGGCTTCCCCGACATGCCGGTGTCAGATGTCCTGAAGCTGGAAGGGATAGCCAATCGGGATAGCTTGCATTACGCGGATGTATACTCTCTAGGGAAGGTCGAGGACCTGAGGACGCTGGTTCGCGGGACCATACGGTAAGCATCAGCGTCGGCGTCCGCAATGCAATCACTAAACTAGAACGCAGGTACCCTGGCTTTTCCTCTCTGATGCATTCATTCAAGACCATCGGCCTTCTGGACGTCGACCGACAGGTCCGGCTCGAGCACTGGTTTGACCTCCCGCGCGAGGTTCTCAGTGCACGGCTGGGTGCACCGATCCCGAACGACGCCGCCTCATTCACCTCAGCGCTGCTCAACCTCATGGGCGACTTGGAGTCAACAGAGGTCTTGGACGCACTGTCCTGGCTGGGACTCCTTCCCGAGAGCACGCACACGCTCGCGACTCCGGTGCCGACAGCGCCAATGGCACCAATCGACCTCTTCGCGACCGTGCTCGCGCAACAGTTGCGGTACCACCCTGGCGAACGGGACCTGGTCGTGCTACATCACGAGCTCGTCGTGCGCCCGGCGACACTCGTGGGGTTGCATACCAGTGCAGAGGAAGTGCACACTTCGTCGCTTGTCGCGTACGGCGACGCCGGCGCGTCGGCGATGGCGCGCACGGTGGGCATGCCTCTCGCGTTCGCCGTGCGCGCAGTGCTTGATGGCAATATCCAGACCCGTGGTGTGTGCGGGCCTGGTGCGGAGAAGGCGATATGGACGGGTGTGCTCGCCGGACTTGAGCAAGCAGGCCTAGGTATGCGCGAGAGTGTGTCGCACAGGGTGTCTGGAGGTGGGCAGGTTGAGAGCATGCTGGTGCGGCCACGTAGCACGTTGATGCAGACATATTGAATTGTAACAGCATATATGTATATAGAATGGACGCCCAAACACTGAAGGCTCTTGGCGAGCAAAGAGGATATTCCTCTCCCAACATTGTCTTCAAATGGTTTTGTCATCTTCAGCAATATCTGGGCTAGAAACTGGTGATACAGCGGTACTTAGAACGATAGACACCCCTCGGGCAAATTACAGCACACGGAGCTCAAAAACTTCGCAAGCGCTAGTGCGAACGAAGTGAGGAGGGTGCGACACGCGTGATTGAGAAACGCAAGACGGGGAGGTCGGGCGGGTCAGACTCGGATGCCTCAGGTGACGGCGGGATTACCGCTTCAGCGGACGCGTCTCGCTTCGTTCGCACTAGCGCTTGCGGAGTTTTCGAACTCCGATGCCGTAATTTGCCCGGGGGGTGTCTATCGTTCTAAGTACCGCTGTAAGCGATCTTGATATTGGACCTTCGCTTTCGGAGCCAAGTGGTACGTCTCCAGAAATCAAGCATGCTCATCACCGACTGAACATATACAGTCAATACATCTGCAACTGTGTGCCGATCACGATCGCGCGGGCTCGGACAACTCCGGTGGTCACCCGGGCGCGTTACCGCTTCGGGCGCGACACCAGCGAGGCGACTAGGGCCAAGCGGCACCCCGGCGTATACTCTATATAATGTCAGACTCACACCACATCCAGCAGCATGTCGACAGCACAGTCTTGCAACGGAGACGTCCTCCTCCAGCTATTCCCTCACCTTTCCTCTGCTGATCTCGCCCAAACAGCTCTTGTCTGTCGCACCTGGTCAGCTCCAGCATGCATGACGCTCTACCGCTCCATCGTGTTCGACATCAATTCACCTCAGCTCGCCTCGCTGACCTGGACACTGAACACATGCCCCCAACTGCGGGAAGCCATCCGACACCTCGTCTACAAGACCTTTTCGCGCAACCTGAACCCTGGCTTCGAGCACCTCCACTGGCTTGCACAGCTCCCAGAGCACAGTCTGAGGACATTCCACCTTGATTACCAGATATCCTTCACATCTGGAGACATCCTACGCTGCCCTGCCGTGCGCACCGCCCCAACGCTTGTCCTCCATATTGATCCGCAAACCATAGACGCATGGGAAGCGGCGCGCAGTCTCGTTCGCAGCCCCTACTTGCGCTCTCTCTCGGTTGGAATGAGACTCCAGGCATGGCTACAAATCCCTGCTAGTCCCAATATGCACACACTCTCTCTCCATCTCAGCCGGGCGGACTACCGGTGGAAGTTCCAACCAGTCATCACTGATCCGTGTGTAAGGCTCGACAGGTTCGACGTGTACGTGCGGAAGCCGGTGTTGCAACCGCTTAAGACGTACAACCTCATGCAAGATCTGCGGCAGTATCAAGCTGGCCTCAAACACCTCTCGTTCCTCAATTACGATTGGGACAGTCTGTGCGAGCCGGCGCTCATCGACGAGAGCCTGTCGTCATTCCCGCGCCTGGAGACACTGGTGTGCAGCGTGCCGGTGTCTACTCCAGAACTCCTCATGCGTCTGCCACCGACAGTGCGCTCTGTGACGTGCATGGGATATCGTTGCGCCGAACTCCGTGGCGAAGCATTCACGAAAGCTGTTTGGGACCACCATGACAGTGTCAAGCAGGGCACAGGCCGGCGGTGGCTTCTAGAGAGCCTGACCATGATCGATATGGGGCTGTGCAGCGGGAATATTGCAAGGCCAATTCAGAAAGACTTGGTACCGCAATTGCAGATGATGGATGAGCTTGCGAAGGTTTGCGCAGAGGCGGGGATCATGCTTGAATGGATTGGGGGCAAGGACTACTTACAGTATGATGCTGTAAGGACCAAATGTCCCCTGACGGCATTCCTCCAGTAGCACGACGCACGTCTGTGGCACGGTTGCAATATTAATGGCAGATGCAACTGCATGTCAAGGCCCCGATGTCTCTGCTGAAGCTGGGTATCGCTTCACCTTTTGTTGTGAGTACAATCAGGGCAGCAGACTCGGGACGTTTTTATGCTGACGCATCAATAGGTTCCAGTGCATGTGCATGAGCGTCGGTGATGCTGCCCCTGTACCGAGGGAGCACCATGCTGCTATGTAATGAGTCGTCAGCCACAAGAGGGCATCTACTGCAGCAACAAGAGTGAAATTAGGTGATATGCACAGTGTAACAAGTAGTAGCGTGTCTAGTATCGTACGTGAATAACTACGAAGGTCCGAGTAGCAGTGTCCAAGAGTCCCAAGTCCACTAGTTCGTCATGACAAAAGACGGTCATCGCAAACGCGTTTTAATCCAACCCAAGCATGAGCAGCTTGACGTCGTAGCACTCATCGTAGATATACTGGCCGTAGTTGTTGGGCGTAGACTTGTAGATGATGTTCACCTGGGAACCTGAGGTGGGACACAGGGAGAACGAGTCGGTGTCGCCGTCGACGGCAAGCTGTGGGTAACCGCCGTGTGCGGGGTCTGTGTCCGCCTGTGTGGACAATGACGTCAGGAACACGATGTGCCAAGAGGAGCTCGTCTGTACGTACGACACCGCAGTAAATCTGTGGGGTGGGGTTTTGAGGAGGTATAATGAAGCTGGGAGGATCACCGGCTTCGACCTGGCTTGCCTGTGCGACATTGCCGTACGTGCCATTGCCGAAGAGACCTCCGTGCAGAAGGGTCAGCAAGGGGAAGTCATTGAAGGGGTACGACGCCCATGTCTACAGAAAAGATCGAGTGAGTACATAGCATATTGTAGGTGATTCGAGCACGTACCGAGAACACCTTGAACTCCGCCCCGTCGACGGCACCAGCTTGACCAAGGACAAGCGGGACACCAGTATCGTTAGTGGATATTGTGGCGTTCCAGGCAGTGAGCGTGAAGTTGTAGGCGACGTCAAACACTCCTGGGCCAAGACCGGCGCATTGAGGGCCAACAGTTGACTGCCTGGCTGAAAGAGCTGCTGGTGCGGCAGAAACAGCGGCAACAGCGAGGGAGATGAAACCGAGGCCGAAAATCATGGCGGAATGAGGAGTAGAAGTGAAACTAGAAAGGAAAATGAGAAGTGTTTTGGGAGAGCCAGAGAAGGGCGAAGAGGGCTGAGGTCTCGGCGTGGGTCAGGTGGAGCCTTTATACGCATGCCGGGCAAACGTAGGCGACGGCGCCCACTTGCCTGGCGACGGATCCAGAGCGGTTGACCCTGGCTCGCCAAGGCCCGCCGGCGGTATCCGATCACATGTGTAGATCAAACGGTGATATCCAATCTGTGCGGGGACTGCCTTGCATTGAAGTCGAAGCGATGCGCGGCGACTCGTTAGAGAACACGGTCTGTGTGAAGAGCGAGAGGACGGAGGCACAACCGATTCTAGTCCTGCAGTGGACGGTGAGAGTCCGCCGTCAGGCGTGCGGATCCGTCGCGTGCTCCCGGAAAGGAAAGCGCGGGATAAATTGCAGTGTAAGCGTCTATCAGTGCCACAAAGCCATAGCCTCCGGAGGCAAATCGGACATCCATCCCAAACGCAGTGAAGATGCGGCAAAAACAGCCCGTGTTTCCTCTTTGTTACAGCTCTAAGACCTCTCTACCGAGCAGCTTTGAAGCTCATTATCTGGAAGACCACAGCACACGTCATAACATTAATATTGGTGCGCACGATTTAAAACGCTTCTGCACGGCATGCGATGCGAACCGAAGAGAGATATCATAGGTGAACAGAGAAACATAGTGTTGTTATACATCAAGTCTCCAAGTTTTACTAATTACGAATACCAAGCATCATCCCACCCCGTCTCGTTCCGTAGAGCCACAACGACCATTTACTCGGTGTAAGAAAGCGCAGTGGAGTCAACCGCGTACTCCCAGAAACCGTCGGGCTGGGATAAGTGTCATGAGTTAAGATATTTGCCATGAGATATACGAGATAGAGCCTACCGGGCAGCCTTCGATAGTTTCAATGGTAGCCAAATATACCGTTTGTCCAGAGTACGATTCCCCGAGGTCCGGCGTCGTCAAGGTGGACGGCGGCGGCGTACCCATATTCGGGAGTCCTCCTGGAGGTGCCGTTAGCCCCTATATTATGCCAAGGTGCGTAGAGTACAGACCTGGGAAGTTATTGACCAAATAGTCCCCGAAGTAGTACAAGTAGTTGCTGAACCCGTAGGTCGAGTTCAAGTCGGATGTAGTCGGCTGACTGGCCAGGATGTAGACGTTCACGGGCGTATAGCCTGGATGACAGTGGCCGAACTCGGGAACTGCTACACCGAATGTAAACGACTGGCCTGCAGTTACGCTGGTGCCATTTGCAGGAGCGGTGATGCTTCCAGGGCTCTCCAAGGTAACTGTTGACCCTGGTGGTCCCTGCCGCTTAGCCGGAGACGCGAAACCTGGGATCGCCAAAGCGATAGCGAGGAGAGAGAAAGCTTGTGTGAAGTGCATGGTGAGATGTGGACCTTGACTAGAGGAAGAGCATTCGGAGCCTGCCTTTTTAACTGGATCCAATAGTCCCGACGCGCTCACTAGCCGCCTCGCGGTCTAGCTACGCCGTCCATGCATTTCGCTCGGCAGACACATGTGGTATAGCCTAGGCAGATGAAACAACGACCACTGCTAGAGACGCGCTGTGGTACTGGCCGCCCCCATATTACGGCTTTGTGAGCAGAAAAAGATCGGAGCGACCAAGGGCGCCGCCAAGATCGGCGGCCGACGAGCAATTAGCAACACTAGACACCCCCTATGCCCGGACTGCGTCTGCATACCGCATTCTGATCAGCATTTTCCGCACCAAGCGGCCGCCTTGTAGCGCAAATGCGCCACACAGCGCTTCACTGTGAGCGTTCGTGGCACTTGCAAATTTTGATGAGGCCGGTGAACGCCGTAGGCCCAGATCGAGTGTGGATGAAACACGCCACGTCTGTTCTGGAAAATTCGAACAATGAGTTCAGGGTACTGAACCAGGCACATCAGACTGTGTTAGCTTGCTGACAATCTGGGCCGCCTAGGCACAGTACGTAACGAAAGATATACGGTCACTGTGAGGCGATTCAGTTAGCACCCCGCTACGGAAATAAGCCTGATAGACATACAACAGCAGTTCGACTTGTCTCAGTGACGAGCTGAAAAGCGGCGGTTGCTGAGTTCGAGTGCGCTCAGATCACGTCTTTCATGTTGTACAGGCTCTCACGCTTTATAGCGAAAGCGCTAAGCCCGTCAAAACGCGAAAACTCACTTTCTCAGCATAGCCAGAATCGCTGTCAATATGCACACAATCATAGAACTAATCAAGGCTAACCAGTGAAATAAGCTGTCCTGAATATGAGACGGTTTCAGAGAACCCACCATGAGCGAGGGGATTTGTTCGGTCTGATGGATACTTACAGAGGAGACCGCGATCTTTGTGTGATTATCAGGCTGGCAGACACGTTATCTTTTCCACCTCGGGATAATCAAATTAGCGGCGGGGCCACTAGAAACAGTCGTGGCGTGTGAATGGCGACGAGTGACACACTCATCTATGCAAGACTTGCACCCTGACGGCGAGAACACGCCGCAGGCACCCCGATATGCTAGGCCTTGAACTTTTAAGCGAGCCCTCGAGCAGAGGCGGATGCCGTTAGCAAGTTTCGCCGGAGAACGGTATGGAACCGTTCGTATTCCGCCGCATCACAGACGTCTCGAAGCCCCCAACAGGATGCTTAGATAGCAAGACTAATTCTGTGAGAAGATATCAGCACGTGGTAGGTTAGGATGAACGTGAACCAGCATCTTGTGGCCAGCTCTTCCATGAGCAGTCCATTGTGGCACACGTAGCTCTCCCATTCGCGGGCAAGAATATGAAATATTCAACGAATGCTGAAAGGACATCTTTCTCGTTTATCCGTGTATCACGGGAGAAGCAGGGCAGTGGAGACCTCCTGGCCCCAGGTACTGACATCTTGGAGCCGCTATATGGACGCTGTCAGTACAGTCTCCTGGAAGCACGAAGCACGGAGATGAAAGCCTGCACGTAGGACCTGGAGCCACCCAGGAACGTCACTAGATAGGCACCATCAGTGAGCATGACAAAAAAGCCTACTCCGCCTCGACGTGCAGATTTGAGTAGCCAACGAGAACCGTGGTGCATGGCAAAGCCTGAAGCTCTTCTTAGGTTTTAAAATAGTCAACTTACCTAAATCGGCGAGATCGTTCCTGCTCCAATAGCAGTTGAACGGACATTTGAGGGTCCTGAAAAATGGAAGCACTGCCATGCAACCGAATGCGACGGTCAGCGGGAGCTCCGAGCGGAGACCTTGAGGGCGCGTCATAAACCCTGCTATCCTTTACATAACTATCTTCCGGGCGGTCCATGCGGCCGCTCCACCTAGTCAATCCGACACCCCGAAGGACGCAGTTCGAGACTTTGAAGGTAGACTCCGTCTTCAGCTGCTACTCTCCACGTGATTTGGAATTGAGCACGAAGTACGCCTCGAGCAAAGTCTAGAATTATAACGACAGCCTACCAAGCTATCAGTACCATCCATAATAGGGGTTCGTAGTGAGGTGCATCATGATGCATCGCTGGGAAGAAAGCGATGCCGCAAACCGTTCATGCTGCTGCACTGCGGCATCATAGTAGCGGACTCGGAGACGAGTGGGTGGAACTCGGCAGATTTTCAGCTAATGAGCCACGCGCCGCCGTCGTGATTGAGAATGATGTTGTGCCTGTAGAAGTCGCTGTGCACGAAGTCAGAGGTCCGCGATATTTGAATCGCGGCAGGGGTTTCGACCCGCGGATCGTGCGCGCACGAGGCGGTTCAGAAAGGCGTTTTGCTCCCTGCTGTCGGCGAATGGGCCCTTGTCGCTCTACCGTTGATCGTAGGCTCATAGCACTCGAGTGGTGCGAGTTCAACTTGGTCTGACAGCTCGGGTACAGAGACGCGCGGATGCCTGATACCGCGCAGCTTTGGTCACAGAGAGGGGGCGGGCCATGCAAGGTCGAGACGACATCCTGGGATGCAGTCCACGAGGATGTGCGAGTACTCTTTCTCCTCGGGCTGCACACGAACTGCATGACAAGCAGTTCGCAAACAGCCCTTAGTGCTGTTCCTGAGCGCTGTGATGGACTATAACTCTGGAAGATGGAGGTTGTCGCCAAGCTTGGTCACTGCATCACCTCGCACAGACCCAATCGACTCCGAGGGCATTAGCTTTGCGCCCTTACAGTAAGTTTTTCAAAGATCTGGCTGTTAGTCCGTGGATAGGCGCTCGAAGGCTACAGCCTCTGCTGTGTGCGTGCCTGCAGGCCTGGCGTCGCGGTCTGCGCTCGCCGTCTTGTTGGGCTGCTCATTCGAGAAGAGCGAGAAAGCGTCCTGCGGGGCGTACGCTAGGGCCATGGTATTTGTTGACAGCGACAACGAGGCAGATGACGCCTGGTACTGGCCAACTTTCGCTAAGAGCTCTGCGGTATCCAGGAATCTACCCACTTGTGCAATCAGTTCACGAACTTGGATGAAGCCAGTTCGACGGTGAGAGCATGTACGATGAAGATTCAGTCAAGACTCCGTGCACTCGCAGCATTTTGTGTGACCCCGTGCACCACCGCACCACACTGCAGCACGCGAGATCACGCTGTCTCTTAAAACTAGAGGAACCTGTAGCCGGCCGGGCGAGACTATGACGATATCAGAAACCATAACGCATCTCACACGGGACCAGGTTTACAGCATGTCCCACTTTATAGTCTCTGCCGCCAGCTCACATTTGCATGGATAATACCGAGATATACATTGACCAGCCTCATCAGCCTTCTGAAACAAATACAAGCGAAAAAAATACAATCACTCAATGTCAACATCATCCCGCGTTGCACCAGACGTTCCCCCATCTGTCCTGCGCGACGCCTGTTGACCCATGTCCCTGCACGCCCTCTTCGCCGCTGTCGATGAACCCGACGCCGTAACTCAACGCTGCATTAAACTGGGGCACAGGGCACTGGAAACCGATAAAATTTGGACATGCGCGGTCGGCGGCGGTGCACGTCTCGATACACGGCAGAAGCGCCGTGTAACCGTTCGCGAACGGCTGCAGGCCTGGGCTCCGCGGCGTCGCGGACGACGCTTGGGGCGCGAGCGCAGACATGGGCTTCTGCACGCTGCCGTCCGTGTTCGTTGGCTGGTCGACCGCCTCGGAGCAGCGCGAAAACCAGATCGTGCAGAGCCACTTGCGGTACGCCGCCTGGCAGTCTGCGCATGACACAAGCGGACTGTATTCGTCGCGCCCACAGGGGAAGGTCAGGAGCGACGTCGTAAAGTTCGAGAGTACTTCGAGGAGCGGTGAGACGACGCTCGACGGAAGGTTATTGGCAGTGTAGGCGATGTTTGGGAACTGCGGCGCGACCAATGGGACCGCATACGCGATTGAGGGACAGTAAGGTAGCGAGTGAACAATTGGGCAGGAGAATGTTGCTGTACACACAGTTAGTAAAGCATTTCAAGATTTAGTATCGCGACGCATACCAGATTTCGTGACGAAATTGATAGGTTGACTGACTTTCGTCTCGTTCTGCACCACGTATGCGGTATAGTTCGTCTGCGGCTGCAGCCCGCTGACCAGCCATTGCCACCTCCACCCATCTTGGTCTTTGAGCCAAAGGCCATTATTCGCGCTGCCTGTGTCGTCGATCATGATGCTCCCTTGAATGTCGCTAGAACTCATGGCGCAAGCCGTCAGAGGCATTGAAGCCGAAGCGAGAGCAGATGTTGGTACGACGAATACTGAGACATTGACCTGCAAGGAGGGTGGCGCTGAGGGATATGATAAATTGGCCGATGGAAGAGTGTAGTTCGGGTAAGTGGGTATATTAGGTGGCGGTGCATCCGCGAGTGGTGGGGAGAAGAGCAAACCCTGGTTGCTGGCTGTATCCCCCAAGAGCGGAAACGCGTCCATTGTGTCGTGCATAGGACCTAGAGCCTCATAGTTTAGCGCAACGTCAGGAACCAAATGTAAAGCGACTCACTTTCTTCAGACACACCAATCTGAAACGACGTTTGTCCTGCATTCTCGACTGCGAGAAAGCCACCTTCGCTCAGTGCCCCCGTCCACCATCCATATCCTTGATTTCCAACGACAACCTCGTAGACACCATCCTGACCTATGTCATCTTCACTTGGCTGCGTTATGCTGCTGCTGTTCGACAGGAAGAACCGTGGTGCGCTTGAATTTGAAGCTGAGCAGAGCGCAACAGATACTGATGCATTCTGGGTCGTTGGCAACGAGAAGAGTGTCGGCCGCGTGGTGTGTGCAAAAGAGTAAGAGGAGTAGAGGCTGTTCAAAGATAGCGATAGCTGTACCGAAGACTGAGAATAGGCAAGCTGAGCTTGCAAAAGGGAGATGAGAGCGAGAGGCAGCATAGCACTGACGGGCCGGGAATTGAAACTGGCGCGCGCAGATAACGGGCGACGCGCTGCGCCTGTACGTTTCTCTCCACGATGTCTAGTGCTGTCGACCTTGTAGGCAGACCCTTTGCGGTCTTAGAATCAGATCCCGGTAAGTGTTGTTTCAATCTGGCCTGGACGTTGTATTCTGAGCTGTCTGCGTTGCCACAGGTAGCTTCACCATCCTCCTACGCAAGCTCGGCTTGCAGCATCTCGAGGTCACGGAAATCTACTCTATTGAGCCATGGGCAACCGCCCACTTGGAACATGAGATCCGTGCACTCATCTTTTGCTATCCATGTCCTGCAGATAGCCAGCGAGACTCTAGCGCCAGCGCTGTGAACTTCGAAGAGGAACTTGCAGACCCGGATGCAGAGGATGTGTGGTTCGCTTACCAGCTTAGCGTGGATGCCTGCGCTTCCCAAACAATTTTAAATGTGTGTCTGAATATGGAGGACGTCTCATTTTCTGCGCAGCTGCGCGATTTCCATAATAATACCCTCAAGATGGACCCTTTGGTGAGCCGCCCTATATGAACAATCCGTTGTTTGTATTCATTCCTGGTAGATGAGAGGATTATCATTCACAGACTGCTCGTTCATACGAGATGCACACAATTCCATGGCTAGGTATGCCGGCTTGGTGTATTATCGCCCCAGATGTGTAGTCATGTTCTAGCACAGGCCAGTAGATATCCGCGCAGCAGAGCATGCTCTCGCAAGGACCACGCTTGAGTACGCCAAAACCCTCAAAGCACGGCCTGAGGGCTATCCAGCCAAGCGTCGCAAGCTCGGCACGCCTAAGAAGTCGCAGACGAAACAAAGCGCGAGCGACTCGCAGGAGCGCGAAGATACCTTCCACTACATCGGATACGTACCGACGCACGGACATGTGTGGGAACTCGATGGGCTGCGTACGAATGGGCCACTTGATGTCGGCGAGCTGCCACAGGCGTCTGGAAGGCAAGGCTGGATGGACATCGTCCGGCCGGCGCTCCAGCGCAAGATGCATAGTGTCCAGGGCGTGGCTGACGGCCGGTACAACCTGCTCGCGATCATTGACGACAGGTACGAGAAGGCGAGCGACGCGTTGGAGATGCTGAAACGTGAACGCAACGCGCTGGAGCGCCGGCTAGATGAAGCAAATCCTGATGGCTGGAAGGACAAGGCGGACAAAGAGCTGGTGGAGAAGGCCGATAAGGTATTCGAGACGTCGTTGCAGTCGTCAGCGCCTGGGCAGACGTTTGTACGAGACTTTGGTGCGAGAAAAATGGAGCTGGTCATGCGCGTCTTGGACATGCCTGAGCGCAACCTCGATACAGCATGGGGAAGCTGCGTACGGAGCGCGATTGAAGGGAAAAGGGCCGTGGAAGAAGAGGTAACAAGTGCTAAACGAGCGAACGTAAGTCCGTAGCTGTCGCCAACATAATTCATGCACTGACCTCCGTACAGACTGAGAACATAAGTCGGACGCACGATTACGAGGACTTCCTTCGGACATTCGTGGGCTACATGCACAGAGAAAGACTACTTGATGCAGCTCTCTCGTCAAAGAAGGCATGATTGAACCCAGTATGCCTCGACTATCACCTGTCGTCCTTACGTTAGGCATGCCTGCGTCGTGCTGATTTTTGGTGCACGTCATTTTGACGCTCCTCTGGGATGAGGCTCTCTTCTCAGCATGGTACTCAACCTTGTACTTCTCTACCACACTCTGAATTGGATTATTTAGATTTTATCGTCTCATACATATTTGCTTAGTCTTGCCGACAGACGGTCTCCCGACGCGCGCGCCTCTTCCCATCACGCGTCTGCATGTGATCGTCCTGTGATCGACTCATCCATCGGCGCATTTTCATACTTAACGCCTCGCTTTTCTCCCCCCCTCTTGGTCCCCCAACTCACAGCCACTTGCGGGGTAGCACCGCTCAACTTAAACACTTGCTCGAGATCGCAGTAAACGTCAGCGCGCTCAGTGATGGCGCACGCAGAAGTTCGGTCGACGGCTTTCAGCCTCGCGTTCCCCGAGAGAAAACGCAGTAGGTGGCCGTTGTTCTCGCGAGGGAGAACGGCGACAGGTCAGCCTGCGGATATAGCGGGGCCAACAGAGGAGGATCCCGAGTTTAAGCTTCCGAAGCGCGTCAGCCTCGTCATTGTTCTCCTCACCAGCGGATTATTACAAGTGAGTATTAAACTGAGCAAAAGAGCTGAGTGCTCAAGGAATAATTGCAGATATCATTCTTCATAGTCGTCAGTTCATCCAATGCGTACTCGCAGCATCTGGGTGGGACGTCTACGTTCTCTGGTCTGGTTATCGGTATCCCAACAGTGTTCTCCGGTATCGCGCTTATGCCATTACTCAAGTTTGACAAAGGTGTGTTTATGTATATGACTCGCACCTTCATACCTGCGTTCTTATCTATGAACCTCTCAAGGTGGCTACCGCATCCCTCTGCATTTTGCGTGTGCGTCTGCACTTCTGGGCCACGTACTCTATGCACTGGCCTACCCCGCCAACTTCTTGTACCTGATCCTCATTGGCCGTATCGTGTCTGGATTCGGCTTCACATATTGGATGTTTTCGAAGCGGTACTGCTCGGACCACCGCATTGTCGGCATCAGGCGCAGGACGACACTGGCGGGCTGGCTCGTTCTGGGACAGGGTATAGGTTTCAGCCTTGGGCCATTTCTCGGCGGTTTGCTGTGAGTATTTCCCGTCAGCTGAACATGAAACGATTCTTATGATCGGGGTCGGGGTCTTCCACAGCTACAAGGTCGGGTTCAGGAACAGCGTGTTCAATGGGTTCACCAGCCCCGCCTGGATGATGGCGGCTATTTGGGCCGCCTGGTGGGTCTTTGCAGCAATGAACTTCGAGGATGTCCCGCGTACAGCCCCGTCTCCCACGCCTACGTCCACCGGAGCAGCTGAAGAGATCGAGCTCATGACGACCACGGTCCCTCAGAATACTCCCGCACCGGAAACCCCGGGGCCATCCAAGTCCCGCGAAAAATTCAGGGCCGAGGGCGACCCACAAGTGACAGAAGCCGCTATTCCCACCAATGTGGAGAGCAATCCCGAGTCCCTCGACAGCTCAACTCGGCATACGAGAATGTCTGCCGCCCAGTTTGGTGTCATAGCGACCATGTGCTGGTTCGCCATGACCTGTTTCTTCATTCTCGGTGCTTGGGAGTCCAACATCCCCGTGTTCACCGCTCCGATTGCCCACTTCGCCTACGGCCCGCACGCGTTCAACTTCTCGCCGTACGCCGCAGGTAACCTCATCGCGCTGGGCGGAGCATGCACATTCCCGTTCCTGCTCGCGAACGTCTTCCTTGCCCGGCGGCTGCAGGACCGGCTGACACTGCTGGCAGGCACGTCGCTTGGGGTGCTGGGCCTGCTGGTGTTGCTCGGCACGCTGGCCGGAGTGAGCGTGACGCGGGTCGGGCTCTTCTTCGCGTGGTTCTTTGTTGCGCTGGGCTTCAACCTGTCGAGCACTGTCACGCTCTCGCTGTTGTCAAAGCAGGTTCCTGCTCACTGGAACACTCGGATCAGTGTCGCCATACAATGCAGTAACTACACCGGGCGGGTGTGCGGTGCAGTCTGGGGTGGGGCGGGAGTTGCTGTGGGGATGAAGACGTATGTCGGACTCGAGCTCATTATTGTCGGTATCGGGATCATCATGTTCAGCTGCCTTTGGCGACAGCTGAAAGCTAAGACGGGTTGAATTGCAATTGTCTACATTGTGGCGGCATGTAGAGTACACATAGATATTCGGGGTAGAAGACTAGAAGTACTACTAGATGTGCTGACGCTCTGAACAATATAGGGCTGCATCTGCCACTCAGGTCAGAGACTGCATCGCCAACGTGCCGGCGTTGCCGTACACGGCCAGCAACGAGGTGCGCGCCTCCTCATTGCCGAGCATGCGCTCCGCGAGCGCCGCCGGGCACACGACGAGCTCGTGATAGAGTATGACGAGGTCTCGTTCGCCATAATGGTGTGCGAGCTCGTGGCGCCGTGGGCGTTGTCGGCGCCAGGGTCGCGAGCATGTGCTTTCGGGAAGGAGCTGCAGCCACGACAGCGCGTCGGGGAACTCTGCTGACTCCAAGTCGGCCATGAAGTTGACCAGCGCTGAGGTGAATGAGGCGGCGTCGTCCGGGATCAGTGCACCCAGCCGTGCATGCGCACAGAGGACCTCGCGCGGTAGGTCAAATCAGTGCTCGAGCCGGAGCAATCAGTATCGTAGAGACGAGCAGATATATCCCGTTGTGGTAACCCGCCCGGCGGCGCTTTTGCTCCTGTTCAGATCTGAACAGTAGGAGCCATGAGTCGGCGAACCACTTTTGCTGAACTCGATCTGAGCAGCAGAGAACACAGCAGCGCCCTTGACTCCTCAGACAGGTCCAAGACATTTTCGTAGCTTACACAACGGGCAAAACCCGCATCCAGTTCCGCGCGAGGTGCGACTGGACATCATCTCCAGTACCGCATCCAGTACCACATCCAGTACCGCATCCAGTCGCGCAATCAGTCGTGGGAATTACTGTCATGATTGGCTGAACCCCTCCAGAAAGGCAGTGTCAAGTACTAAAAATAGAAGTGATGTGCTGCCCCAGTGCCCGACGCTGTCCACCCTTGTGTCAGTGGAAATAATTGCTGCGGTGCCTAAATATTTATTCATAAATAACACATTTTTGGTTCTCGTGAAACTTGTGTCAAGGCTACAGATTTGATAGCGTCACAAGCCACAAATCTAATCGCGTCGCCCTTGCATGGGACCATGTGATGCATGCGCCCAGCGCTCAGCGCGCAGTGAGCAGCGCGGCGATTTCCGGGGCCACATCCTCGGCGAGCAAAGAGCTATGGCGAGGAAGGGTTGGGTGTTCCCTTCATTTGGCTAACGGCCACAGTGTCGATGTGCACGGGCGGAGGGGTGCTAGCCCCTGTGAATTCAGCAGCCAGCGCACTCAAAGTCGCATGAAAGCCTCTCAATCTGGCAGGTAGCCTTGAGAATGCGCGCGGAATATTGCTTATCTCCCATCACGCCATCACGCTGTGCCGCTATTCAGCCGGCACCTGAGAAATAGGCTGGCGAAATAATCTGAGAATTGCTTTGGACACTGACACAACTTCAAGCTTCAAGCTTCAAGGGTGGACAGCGTCGGGCACTGGGGCAGTGCATCACTTCTATTTTTAGTACTTGACACTGCCTTTCTGGAGGGGTTCAGCCAATCACGACAGTAATTCCCACGACTGATTGCGCGACTGGATGCGGTACTGGATGTGGTACTGGATGCGGTACTGGAGATGATGTCCAGTCGCACCTCGCGCGGAACTGGATGCGGGTTTTGCCCGTTGTGTTATGACGTCCTGCAAGGCGGCGGGTGAGCCATGCCGCTCTGTGCTGAGTCTCAGAGTACATGTAGACTTACAGCAATGTCGACGGTGGTCAACTTGCTCCCGCTGTTCGCTAACAGGTGCTCCGAGTCGAGCGGCGCATCAGGATCGCACTGCTTGCCTTTCTTCTCCGCAGGCGAGGCCAGGGAAGCGGGAGCCACAGCTTTGCTGGTGCGCGTGTCGATCGACGAGGTCGGTCGCTGATGCTGGTAGAGGACATCGCGAGGGCAGTCGCGGCGAGAGAGAGAGAAACGCGAATGAGACGCGCGAGGCGGTTTGTAGACAGCGCTTGGTGGTGGTCGCGTCGTTCAGACCGGGATAGCGACCGCCGCCGCTGTCGCCTTGTTGTGCTGGGCCGGTAAAACACAGGAAGACATTATTCCAAAGTATCCTAAGGAAACACAGGCGCGGATCACATGGGCCCAGTGTCAAGCTTCAGGACACGTTTGTGGTATTAAGAAAGGTATCCTACAGTTCACAACTACAGAACGCACATGACAAGCTTGAAATATAAAATCCCGGAGCAGGGTATTCTATGCTAGGGTCCGTAAGTCCATGGTCGTATATGACGACGGTTACAATACAGCGTGCGCATATCATCTAACCAAAATCAAGGACTGGCGTTCTGTAAGTCATTCGTCGCTTGCAGCACACGTAGACGAACAAGGACTTGTTCCATATTAGGCCGATCCTCAGGTTTCTGGTTCCAGGTGTCTCCCATGAGCTCCCACAGCTCGTCCGTGACGAGCGCGTGCAGGGGCCGCTCCGGCAGTACTCCGATCGTGATCTGCTTCAGGATTCGCCCCTGACCCCGAATGTCGTGGTAGGGCACCCGCCCACTCAGCAGCTCGTACATGATCATGCCGAACGCCCAGACATCAAGCTTTGCGCACGGCCGTCGGTATGCGTCCGCTAGATCCGGCGCCGTCCAGTTCTGGTCCGTCTCTCGCCGGGTAGATACCACCTTGTCCTCCTCAGTATCGGCATCTAGCTTCGCGCGTTGGAAACCGGTGATGAGGGCCTCACCCTGCGTTGCTGATCGTCAGTCCTGTTGAAGCATATGTACATAAGTTCAGAAAGCTACGGACCTCGTTGGAGACCAGGATGTTCCGCTTAGCCAAATGTCAGCACCACCGGATCTCCAGGTTCAAATGCGAATGATGTGACTTACGCCTTTAACTGAAATCGAGGCGTCAGCCATGCAAACAAAAGTGACATACAGCATATGACCACGTACGATTCCCATGTACGATGCCAAGGCCATGCAGATATATCAAGCCTTCGGCCGCGCCAATCAACTTACCAGGGTTCGTGTCAGCGTAAAGCACCAAGAGCACCCAGGCAAAGACCTACCAAACGGAGCCTGACAGCCAGATCGCCAGGCCTCTTGGTGGTGTAGCTGCCAACATTCCGATCTCATTAGCAGGCATTGTAAAAAGAAAAATGCGCATGCATACTCTGCGGCATTGCCGTTGTCTTCCCATTCTGAGACCTGATCGATCAATGAAATATTAGAAGGGAGACTCGACCAACGGGAAACTCCTTACGATCACAGTATGCGCCAATGCGGTATCGTTGGTCACACCAAAGAAGTGGTGGATGCGTGAATGATTGAGCTGCCCCCAGATCAAAATCTCGGCAAGGAAACGCTGTGACGAGCACGTATTATCAGCATTCAGTACTTCATTTTCAGGAGCAGCGCACTTCTCTCAGCTCGTCAATATCGGTTACTCCAACTACGTATCTCCTGACCGCAACCTGTAAGCGAGATGTCAGTTGGATTGCGGGGCAGATAAGAAGAAGAAAAACCGACCCGGCGGCCTTTGTAGTTACCGATGTGGATCTGGGTTCGGGCGTTGCCAGTGGACTCCTGATATTCCCCATTGGATGCCTTTATGACGAAAACCTCGTCTTTCAGGTCAGGTACAACCGATCGCACCCCCGTCCGTTTCTCATAGTCCGCAACGGCAGACCGGATCTCAGGCAGGGTGATGTTCCGGAATCCTGAATTGATGAGGTCCTGATCCCGCTCATCCATCTTCGCAGCATTAGGGGTAGGCACCTGACTGGGCCTGCCAGCCTGGGCTTCGAATTCTTTCCACATCTATACTTCATGCCTTAGCACAACGAAGACAGATTATGCCATGGGGCGTACCTGCTCTCCCTCGGACTTGCTTAGTCCAGAAGGCGTCGCACGGACCCGAGCTTGCACTAGGTCTGCCTTCAGCTCTCTTGTGAGCGCCAAATTCTCCTGCCCCTTCTCCAGGACGCGGTCGGCCGTGGCGTCGTTGCTCATTGTGGCGCGCGTCTGTCATAAGGTATCAGCGACACGACAAGTAGGGACATCCCACTCATAAACTACCCGCCTTGAAGAGCTCGTGGAGGTGCTTCATGTCGTCCTCCACGGAGTTCAGTTCGCGTTTGACCTTCTCGGCGCCCCCTGTCGTGCATATATGAGCACCCATGAACAAGAGAACAGCCAAATCTAGGTCAAATAACGTACACAACAGTTTCCAACGCGATCTTGAGGATATCTTCGTGACTCTGAGCATCATGTCCTCGAAACGCCTGCAGCCCTTGTGTGAGGATGATTGTCGGAAGAGCTGAGACAAGACCTTGAAACATACATGCTCTGCTCGCTAGCAACGTGAGCCAATTCGGTGTTGTCGACAGCCTTTGCCCATTCTTCGAATTCTTGCGCCCAGTCGCCACATTTGTTTGCAAGCGCGGTGCACTCTTTCTTCGCGGAGCTCTCAGCGTCAGTGACCGTGAAGACGAAGGTGCGTTGTTGTATACCTTGCAGTATTTCGAGTACTTTAGGCGTTGCTGGAAGGCCTGCAAAGTCTTGCTGAGTTCGGTAACCGCAGGCACGTTCGATGAATCGGCAAAAGTGGCGAAGGCGTTAACGGCAGCCTCGGCGACTGGCGACGTGGCCGCGCCGTCGACGGCGTTGATGCAGGCCATCAAGTAGCGAATAACGAGAGGGCGGGAGTCGGGGGCCATGGTAGAGGATGAGCGACTGGGTCCAGGACGCATTGCGGTATACAAGTACTGCCTCTGGTATCTGGTCCTTGTAAGTGTGGCATTGCATCGATGTCGTTATCCATGATAGGCGCTGCAGCACCGCCAGTGGCCAATACAATAAAGAATCTGCAGCTGTTCGTCGTCAGACCGTGAACCAGGACAAGGTATTCAGCTGTCGAAGAGTGCCTGGATACGCATGAATGACGCATTTAGCCGATGCAAACCACTCACCCGCCGCCCTCACGAGTCAAGCAACGGATCCTCAAGCTGTTGTTGGCCGTGTGACTCATACAGCTATATTGCTGGCAGGCGATGCAGGCTTCGAATGTTCTCATGAGAAGAAAGAGAGAAACAAGGACCCGGATATTTCCTTGGCGCTTAATAAGAGACGAAAGCGCTTGTCGCGGCTGGGCGCTGGCACAGTGGCACGGTGATGGCTTTCAAGAAACTACTATGGACGCGGACGGGCCAGCTCCGATTTTATCTTTCTGTCCTCTCGAAAGGCTTTACCGTCAGCGTGGTCGCGCTTCACTACACTTTCACTACTCAGTTCTTTGACTTGGAACCCACCGCCAAGCGTTTCGTCTTCTGTGACCATCTACAACTCGTGAAACATGTCTCGATCGCTTTCAGCGACCCTTCGTGGGTGGCAGTTGGCCAAATAGCCGTCACCTCGCAGCTGTGGCCAGGTTCACCCGCTTGGGTAGACTCCCCGCATGGCCCCGCTGCAAGAGGCTCTGCGCCTTGAACGTGTCGACGAGCCTCCGTTGGCCGGTCAAGGTGTGTATCGTGGACAAACGGACAAGGAATGGGCTACTGGCCCGTATGTAGTCCCGTTTCTCTGGCATATTCAACCATACTGACTGACATGCTTTGACAGTATGCCATTTGGAGGTTCGCCTGTCTGACGGCTGACTACAGACTTCAGAGCCCAATGGACAGCCATCTAGGCTACATTATCGGCCTTACCATCAATGCCTTCACCCAGTCACAGCAGGCGACGCAGCACGAGGACCCTATGCTGCTCACTACATACTTTCTGAGGCCGGCCATACAGGACGAATTCGAGATCCGCGTGAACACTGTTCGCCGCGGGAAACAGGTTACTGTTCTTCGCGCGAGCTTCATCCAGGAGGTACGCTTTTCTCTACGCTAGCAAAACGTCGCTTAACGCCCTGACGGAAGCCACCTTAGGGTTCAGAACGCGTTTCCACTACCGCGATATTCACCGACCTCTCCGTCCCCGTGACTACGACTAACGACAGGACACTCCGTCCGCCGCATCCTCTCGCGCCGCAAATCCCGATGTATTCGCACCCTGCTGCGACGCCTTTAGTGCCAGAGGCGCCAGGCTGGAATTTCTTCCCGCGCTTCACGGCCCTGCGCGACACGTTCTACGACGCGCAACATAGCGCGAGCCCTCCACAGAGCGGCACCAAGCTCGGGCACTGGTATGCGTGGAAGGACAAGCGCGAGCAGATAACGACGACCGGTCTGGCTGTGTTTGCGGACTGCTTTGCGCCGCTGCCTCGCGTGCTGATGGAGCCCGAGCTTGGGGAGCTCGACTTGTGCGTCTCTTCCCGCTCACGATGTTCCAGCGCCCAGTGCCGTGCTGACCAGTTGCCAAGGGTATCGATAACGCTGATGATGCACATCGAGTTCAAGGCATGCATTCCGCCACCCGTCAGCGTGCACCATTCGCCGCGCGCGGTCGCAGTGTATAATGGCGGGCGGCTCGTGCATGACCCGATGATGCGCCATGACACGTACGTCGAGCTTTGGACGGCGCCGCGCATGCCAGACGACGAACTGCCGGACGGTGGAGTTGATGGCCGAACGGCTGTGCAGGAGGCGCAGGACGGCGACTGACGCACGCACCAGCAGTGTCTCGCGGTATCATACCAGACGCAGATTGTGTTCGGGACGCGAGACTTCGGGAACAGGAAGGGCAAAAAGAAGAGTCAACAGAGTTCGAAGCTATAACGTGCTGCACCTGGGACTACACCACGTATAACATATAATCTTGCAGAACACGGTTGACAACAGCATTCACATTCGACTGAGAAGTCCGAGGAGCACCAGGGTTACACTATTCAAGACAAGATTGACTTGCCGAGAATATTTGCCGCCGTGTTGGTGTATACGATGAGCTTTCGCTTTGTAGTGGTGAGGCAAAGGGAAACCGTGATAAGCGTAGCGGTGCATGATGAACTTCTGAGAGCTGTCGTATGACCGTGCTCGGGCCTTGTTCGTGCGCCCGATCCGTTAATCAAACGCCACACCGAGGTCGACCCCTCGCTCCGATGCTGGAAGATCGCACGGAGCGCGTTATATCTGTCCTGTTCCCGTGCACGTAGCATGTCGAGGGCATGGCCGGGCAATAATATAATGTGTCAAACATATGGTTATGCATAGCGAAGAAGCATCCGCACAGCGGGATGAGTGAACTAAGTAATGCTACTATGTACTTGTAATCAGTAACGATATACGAAGACAATGCGCGTTTTCTCAAACCTGTCACAGTGCATTTCAGCATCTTATTCTGCTGAGAATGTTGGCATCACCTCAACCCGCGGTTCGCTGCCGCTGTTTTTATCGAATCTCGCCCTAGTGACGATGTTTTCAGAGCACCTTCTATCAGCCTACACAGAGTATGTCTACTTGAATAGGCCTCACAATTAACCGCAGCCTTTAGAGTGGTCACGCTTGATTTGGCCTTTCGTAAGTTACGACTCGGAAGTGCAAACTCCGAGGACTCGGGAGGCGCAGTCAATTGGCGCTCCGCAGCCCCAAGCTGGCATGCCATCAGGCGCATCAAAGTGGAGATGAAAGCGGAAATTGGAGACGGCGGCGGCCGGCCTGCTCAACAGACCCGACATACACCTCTCATGGCGCTGCGTGACGGCTGACAACCAAGCTAAATTCCGCTCCCCGACATCTTATTTGAAGAGACTGCATCTTCTGATCATCCGGTTGACGACGAAATTTCTCAAGGCCGCTGTACACGCGGAGTCAAACCGGGACAGACCAGATTCAAGTTCATGACAACAGATGCCTGGTCTGCTTTGACATATCCCACGTAACTTAACACTGGCTACGATGGACTCTGTACCTTTCCGAATGAATTTAGAGTGAAGATTCGTTGTATGTCAGACGAGCATGGCTACGCCAGAAACGCCTTGAGTTAACGCGTACTTCCTTGCGCCTTGTCACTTTTCATTTAACAGGGTGGACGCTTCTATAGCGATAACCGCAATCTTAAGCACTATCGTAGTGTGGGACATTGTTACCTTGTGAGGCTCCTCGCATGGTGAAGGCACTTGCATAGCGATGCCAGTGGCGGATACTGACACTTCTGGTTAGCTAAGCGCCACTACGGTGCCAACCACAATCGTTGAAGATGCCCACGGTTGTCATTCACTATGATATATAGCTGTGTCTCTGGCAAACATGCTGACCTTTGTCTCGACCTGATAGTATCTTTCACTGCCAAGAGCCCAAAAATCTCTTCCTGACTCGTGATGGCTCTTCCGCTGGCGAAAGCAGACCTCATAGGCACGCTATTGGAGTCCGTGCTTTATGGTGAGCAGATCATATCCAATAGCACCGTCGGAGAGCTTATTGCGCGTCGTAGGAACTTACTTCGTACTATTTATCCAGTTCCTCTGCGTGCTCTACGTAAGGCATCAAGCGGGTCGGCCGACATTGCTCTTCCTTACCGTTGCGCTGGTGATATTCTCTCTAGTTACGGCGGTGCGTACGATGCTCTGTGACTGAGGCGCTGATTATGTCCTTATCGGGTTAGCAGCACCTAACGTTGCAGATCCTTCGCATACTCCAAGCGTTCACAGATCATATGGACGTGGCGAATGCCCCAGTCACATACTATATTACGCTCAGCACGCGTGCGAGAACGTCTAAGGCTGCCTTGTATATGACCCTTACCCTCGTTTGCGACGCTCTTCTGGTATGTTGGATGCGGGATGAGGTGTCTTCGGCTCACACGAGTTGCACTAAGGTATATCGAGTATTTGTGGTATGCGATCGCAAGTACCCCATAATAGTCGTCCCTTGTATACTACTGTTGGCCGCCATAGGTACGTTCTCCTAAACAGAGAATATTATTTGCCCGTTGAAACGGTAACAGCACTGTTCGCTTGGTATATATGGTCTCTTTCACAGATTATTTCGTTGCAGTCTGTCGAGGGTGCGGTTACGCGAATTAATTTGTTTTGTGCCGCTACTCTGGCACTGAATGTGTTGTGTACAGGTGAGTAGTCTGAGCCGCGTATCTCTAACTCTTATAGCTATTTTTGCTAGTCATGATCTCATGGAAAATTTGGGCCGTTCACAAGAAGCTACCAGGGCCTGTTGTGGCAGGAATCCGAATCATGGGCATTATTACCGTTGTCATAGAGTCGGGTGCGCCCACATCTTCCCACGTCCTAATAAGTTGTATCTCACTTAGCTGGGCGATACACAGCTGCTATGTACTCCTTTGTTCTCGTCACGATCCTTGTGACAAGTGCTCAAGGAACAGCTGGATCGCTGATAGTCCTTGACTCCGTACGTTCGAGATCCACTCTACGCCATCATCCTTTCCTAACGTGAGCTCCAACGATGTAGATATGCCCAATTATCGTGAGTGCCATTGTCGTTCTGCGGTGCCACTCCGTGTAGGCTTACCAGGAGGAGGGCATGATCTTCTCTGCCGTGATAGTGCGCGCTTCGAGGGAATACCACACCAATACCTTCATTGCTGGGGACTTGCCCTTCCAGATGCCCTCTCAGACGCACCAAACAGAGGAGGCGGTAGGGCACGGGCCCGGGATTGAAACATACTGCACCCGATGTTGTACCACGTATAATGCACAGGAGCTTGCATAACAGGAGCGATAACAACACCTGCGTCTGGCTGTGAGAAGTTCAAAGTGCGTTAGGACCGCACGAACAGAGATCTGGAAGTGGTGGTGCGAGCTTAGGTTAAATTCGTTCCAAACGTTCGTTGTCGCGACCGTCCGCTGTCACAAGCACAGCATGTAATTATGGCATTGTACGAGTCGCGGTGCTCATCTCTCGATGAGTAACGAAAAGCTTCATGCGCCAGTGAGTGACTGGTGAGATTACGCTAGTGCACCTTCAGCAGTAGTCGCTCTCTCAGCATCGTCTGCTTTGAGAGACTTGCGGGCCTTGGCCACGACCGCCCTCAGAGCGCCGCGTTCCGCTTTGAAATCACCGATAGTGAGGAAAAAAGCAACCACGGAAGGAGCAATAGCCACAAGCGATAGAATCTAGAGCCCTCGTCAGAAATACTCAAGCAGAAATATCGAGGAGCGCACTTGCCCAAAGCTCCACTGTGCATTGGCGCTCGTAGGCTGAGAGTTCTGCCTGAGCGACAGCTCGATGGGAGGAATGTAGAAGGACATCGCAAGGAACCAGTAGATGAAGTAGTGGATCCAGCTCTGAACCTTCCACGGCCGGTGCTTGGGTGACCGTGTCCTATACTCTGCGAGCTCAGCTTCGGTCGGCATGTCCCTCGTCCTGTCGAACCCGTTTGCCTCCGCTCGGTCGATGAGCCCGCGGAGCCTGTGCGTTTAGGGAGAACAAGGATTAACTTGTGATAATGGGCGGGGCAGAAAACACGCACACACCAGAGGCGAAGGAGCAGGACACCTAGTACGCCGATGAGGATGAGCCAAACGTAGATCACGAAAGCCGCGATCTTAGCACCGTGGAAGGCATTCGAGCTGAATATGCGCCAGTATGCGACATAAAAGTGCATGGAGGAGATGCACGACGAATCGGGCCCAAACTTTTCGCCAATAGCCCTTCGACATCAGCCATTCAGCATGCGAATCCGGCGCGAACAGCCACAAGCTCACCATAGAGTCACCAGTAGGCTGCCTGCAAGTATGTACTGGATGTAATAGAACCAGGTGAACATTCTGTCTCGGATTTTCTGTTCTCGATAGGGGTTGCTTAGAGTGATCCGCCATTGGGCGTGTGCGACCTGGACCAGTGCGCAATTGGCGAGGCTGCTCGCTATCACAGTTACTACATGTTTTCGGGACAGATACGACGACCCATGCAAGACCAACAGTGAGCACTTACCAAACAAGGTTCTGGACTTGATAGGCATTGAAGAACGAGAGCTGGTGCTGGGCGGCCGACACGACAGTCGCCAGCATGAGCCCGAAGCTCATAGACGCGAGCGTCCAGAAAGCATTCATGCCCTCCTCCTCTCGCAGCCTGATCTGAAAGACTGGCGTGACGTTGGCACAACTTTGAGCAACGTTTCACAAGTGTTGTGCAGCACACGCACCGACGATTGTCACCTGCAGATAAAACGCTACCCTGACACCGATCCCGGTGATGTCAGTATTTTGAGTGAAAAAATTTGTACAGCCCGTAGAATTGTCCATGTTGTCAGGCACTGCTCAGTGCACTCTCGGAGTCAGTAGGATACGAGTGTGGAGGGTGTCCTCATACGCTGCCATGCTGCGATGAAACCTGGCTGCTTTATGCTCCGCGGATGGGACGTATCAGCTGCTTCCATGCATGTATAGCCGCATGCAAAGAATGACAAGGCCCTTTCCTCACATGCGATCTACTACTAGACTGGATAAGGCAGGTTTGAACTTCGAAGAGTGTGCAAGCACCGAATAAGGGTAACTGTCGGACTCACATGAATGATAGCATGCGTTCGAACGCGCTTCTACGGCTGAGCCCATAATTCGCCGAATGCCACTCGCGATTTAGGGCGAATCCTGGATCGTGGAGAGCCTGTTGCAAAATATGTGTAGTCCTATTCTCCGACGAGTGTCATGCAGTCGACAGAGCCCCAAATGCTGCATTTTGTGTGTTCGCATTTCGCATCGTCCATTCAGAGTGCCCATTCAGAGTGCCCTTCGCCCGACTTCTAAGCAATCTCCACGACGACCTATCCGGAGCGAGTATTTAAGCAATAAGAATCTAGCCGGTTATAGTACCTGCACATCACTCGAACCATGGATTAACAAACGAATATGACTGCGTCAGCTCCTGAAGAAATGAGAATGGCCGCCCATAAAAAGAACTTAAAGACTCGCCTTCGGTGAGAATACCAAGCAAGATGATGAAGCTCAATCTTACCAAATGAGCTACACCATCATCTGTCAATGCCGAGATTGGTGCAGAAGATTGAAGCAATATATTACACTATGTAGGAAGGTCTTTGTGGCTGATAAGTAGACATGAACAATGATAGCAAGAAAGGTCGTCAAAAAAAAGAAAATATGTGACGGTACAAGATAGTAATGCGAGCGACGAAAGAACCAATGGCGACAACAGGACTCCTAGAAATTCATCAAGTCAGCACGTGGACGCAGACTACAGATAGATAGCGACTTGCAATCAAGAAATATCACCATAAACGACAAAATCATGCTGCCTTCTCCTTTCTCTCTTTCTTCGTCTGCAGTTTTTGCTCATATTTCGTGTACCACTCTTCCACCTGCTGCACGCTGACGAGCTGTTTCGTCGGCATCGCACAGCCGACATGGCTCCACAGAGCTTCGTACCACCAATCATAGTCGCGACCACCTTCGTCTTTGCCTCGCCCTCTCTTCTGCTGGAGCACAGACTGCACGTACCGGCCGACGCGCACAAGGAGAAGCTTGCGCCGGTGCGGTTCTGTATCTGGGTTCTTGATTTCATCCTGACATGGTACTTAGCTTCCTGTGTGACGTCAGATTGTAAAGGATGTGTACGTACAAGGTAGCCAGAGACCGGCGACATTGCGTTCTCGACATCATCGATGTCGCCGCTGTAGTGCACCAGGTTAGCATATATGCGGTAGCCAACAGTGTATTCTCGGCGTACAAAATGTCTTCTTGGTCTTCGTCGTCTTCGTCTTCCAGGCTTGCGCTAGTGTCACGCGACCCTGTGCCATCGAGGTCTATTGGACTACCCCGAGAACCAGAACCAGATGCCTGAGTAGTCTTCGCTTGTGCCGCCCGATGTTCCCTGTACTGCTTCCTCCGTATGTCGATATCGGATCGATAGAAATCCGGGTTGTCTGTAGTTGGCACTGATGGCTGACCCAGACAACGCTGCACAAGGGAGTAAGATAGTCGCGACAAAGCAGAAGAAACGATGGCTGCGCACGTGGAAATCGAACTTGCAGAGATTGAAACCTTTCGGGCCCATCTCTATCCTGGGCTACAGAGCATCAACGGAGGCGACGGAAGGATGTGGATCGCACTCACATTGGACACGGTGTAGAGACCATCGTAGCGGAACCTATCTACCAGTTAGATGACACTAAAGCCTACCACAATAATGACCTGCCCAGCAGCCGGAGCATATTTTGACTTCAGCCCATCTCCGCGGATTACACGAACAGGCTTCTTAAGGCATGCGGACATCTAAGATAAATCAACGGTCAACTCAAGTCTTCAAGCGTGCTAGAAGACGTACACGAAGTGACTCATTCAAATCATTCTCAAATGACTGATTAACTGTTTGTGGTCCGAAGCGAACCTTGAAAATTATTTGAGTATGCATCCAGATCTGATAGCACAGCTGACACATACCCCGGGTGCTCGACCGCCACTTCCGATATACATGCTATGCGAGTCGTCTTTCTTCAGATGGCGCGTGCCAAGATCGGCCAACTACACCTACAAATGGTCCCCATAATCTTCGTCTTCAAAGTGTCCAGCAAGGACAACGCTTCGCGCGCCAGTCTGTTTTCGGCCATAAATCCCAGCAAGAAGAGGTGGGTGCACTGCAGATGCACTCAGAGCCTTGCTGTGTGTCCCGTGAACAGACAGACAGAGCCTATGTGTCCAATCTACGCACCGATTTTCGAACATTGTGCCAATCTTCACGCCTGGAATATGACCGAACACGGCTCCCTCGCTGTGTGTTTGTAAGCCGACCCGTCCTCTCACTAAGCACGAGAAGCTTACATTTCGCGCTTTATGGTGGACCTCATGCGACGTCTTCGCTGAGGGGTTAAGGATGTTCGAGCCATGGTGGGAGCTGCAGATGGTGGTTGGTGTTAGGATGGACAGTACGACGGGCCCCGCGCCCACGCGAGATCACGTGCTCGCAATTGTTCGCGATTTTCGGTGGTAGCCGTGATGGCAGAGCTGCCCGCCACGACGCTAAGTACTTGCAGTTGCTTCAGAAAAGGACCCATAGGACAGTCATAACTGGGTTCTTACGCTCAAGAAACTTCACTATCTATATGCTTTATTGGATCGAGACCGCCAAATCGTTCTTGTCGTCCACTGGATGTGTCATGCAGTCGCTTTCTCCTCTTTCCCCTTTCTGGTCCACTATACCACCCGAGAAGGCATGTGGAGTATGGGCGTGAATCTCGGAGGTGGTACATGAATCCAGAGGAGCGGGTAAGTTATAGAGCATCAAATAGGGCTCCAGAGGGCGTTGCGCTAACTCCTGAGATTGCGCCCTGGTTTGTCTCCGCTCCGCCGCACCATACAATCGGTGGAGGAAGGGTGTGTCATGTATCTAATGCATATGTCATTATTCGCTAATCTAACTTACTGGCAAGAAGCGCGACTAGAGTTGAGAATTTTGAAGAATGGGGAGGAGGCTGATTCTACAGCAAGCAACTGAAAGGGCGTACTTGCTACTTGTCTCTTATGCAGATCGCCATACCATTCATTCTACGTGATCGTCGAAGTTCACGCGACCGTCATACATCGCTTGGTCGGCCGTATTGCGTAGATAGCTGGCAGACTTGTTGTACGCGTAGAGCACCAGACGTGATGTAGTGTCGTGGATGGCAAGATAGTGCACATTAATATTATATATTCCTTAGACATAACCAATATCCCGCATAGCCTCTGATTAATAGTGCACTTCAAGTATAACCGGCAACGTTGTCGAGTAAAGTACAGAGGTTGGACGATGGGCTTTCTTAAACGTCAAAGGCTGAATCGTCATCACTGTCCATATTTTCAAGAGCACCATCTGGTAAATTGTCCCCCGCAGCCATCTCCTGCGCCATCGGTGTTGTTGTACCTCTGAGTCTCTTCGGACGCGGTGACCTTGTCGGTGAGCCAGCGTCAATATCGCCCGAGCTGTCATCTGGCTCTCCTGGCCGCTTGCGCTTTGCAGCACTCTGCTTCTTGTTCTTCTGCCCTTTCGCTGCCTTTTGATCTAAGCTTCCTATGATAAACAGCTCTTTAATCATCTCTGTCACTCACTATCAGACGACGCCGTACCTTCTTTCTTCTCTCTGATCTTCTTTTCCTTTTTCTCATACCACTTCTTCGCTTCGCCCGGACGCGCCTCTGTCTCCTTTGGCCTCTTGGGCGCCGAAAACCAGACATAGGACCAGAGAGCATTGTGCCACCATTCGCGGTCACGCCCGGCCTCGTCTTTGCCCTGGCGCGTCTTCTCCTCGAGCACACTCTGCACACGGCGGCCAATGTACAGGATGGCTTTCCCGCGATCCTTCTTTTCCGTCTCTGGGGCTTGAAACTCTTCCTGCAGTAGTGAGTCAGTCGTCGCGCGGGAGCCACGATCTCAAATTGGAAGCTGTACGCACAAGACGATTCATGACCGGCTCTAGCTGCTCCTCAATATCCTCCACGTCGCCGCTGTGAGGTGTACCTCAGTTTTTATGCGCTTACCACGGTGGCAACGGACCTAGGACCTACAAAGGGTCGTCCCCTTCCTCGTCTTCGCTCATGGCATCGACGTCCGTTGGGCGGTCTTGGGAGCCGGACGCGTCGCCCGAGCCAGAGCGTGCCTGCTGTTTGCGAGCTTCAACGAACATCATCCTCCGTATTTCGATGTCTGTCGGGTAGTCGAAGCCTGGCTCGTCCGGATTGGGCAAGGGGTCTTGATCAGGGAGACGCTGCGTAGGGTCAGAGGACCGTCGATAATCGGAACACGAAAAAAGAGCATACGCACATGGAAATCAAACTTGCAGACCTTGAGACCGTCGGGACCTTCTTCCAAACGGGGCTAAGGTTGACACAAGTGTTAGGGTCTGCCCCGTGTGTCGCCATATAACTTACATTCGAGACAGTGTAAAGCCCGTCGTAGCGGTACCTCCGGATGTGGTTCAGACCAAGATGGGGATGGCTTGTTTCATCGTATACTCACCCCTCAGCCGGTGCGTACTTCGTTTTTGAGTGCTCTCCGCGAGTGACCCGCACAGGCTTGTGTTCTAACGCAGATTTCTGTACATGCGTGAGCATCCCCGATCTCTCTGTGCACTCCAGCGGAGATTCACCCGTAGGGCTGCATTCAAATGGTTGTCAAACGACTGGTCTCCGACTCGACCGCCGAAGCGATCCTGTTAGACGGCATTAAGCAGACCAGTTGAATGTAAGGTTGTAGGAAGGCTTACTCCACGCGCTCGGCCACCGCTTCCAATGTATGTGCTAAACGTCTGCGCTTATGGTGCATTCCAAGTGGGAAGATGAAGGGACGTACAAGTGGTCTCCATGGTCTTCATCTGCTAAATCTACAAAACCGCGCGATAGTACAACGCTCACCGCGCCCTCCTCTTTCCGTCCATATATGCCAGCAAGTGGGTTTCCGGGGTGCACCCCGGCTGCCCTCAAAGCTTGTCTGCGTTTCCGTGAACGATTTCCGCAAGCCTCTGTCGTCAAATTCGCGCACCGGTCCTTGAACCGTCTACCTACTCGCACGCCCCTGACGTCTCCGAACTCTAGCCTGTAGTGGTGTATCTGAGCACTCTCCTATAGAATATTATTTCGAGTAAGAACACACTTGGTCGGCATGTAGGTCAGTGCGAAGCTAGACAAGTGTCAAGAGAGAGTGGTTAGAGAGAGTGGAGAATGGCATGACGCGTGCTGTGCCTCTCGGTGATTGCCGTCACGGATCCAATTAATCTAATTACTCGCTTTCCTTGCGGTCTGTTGTGACTGTTCGCCATTCGATGTTCGATGTTCGATATACAATATTCAGCGCACAATATCAACCTCTATAACGCATGCATCATAGCTCGCCTCGATTTGCAAGTGGCATTCGGCGAGTTTGTGGATTTAGCCGTAAAAGCGCGTTCGGCCGCATGCCATCGTTCATGCGAGCCCCGACGCTTAACCTTATTCAACGTTCGCGCCCTCCTCGAAGCTCAAAACCGCCTTATCCAGTCTCATCGCAGATCAGTCATAGATACCTGCGCGAATACTTGCCAGCTCTCGAGATCTCGTAGCAAAGATATCGATATGTCTATCCAAGATGGATATATGAGGAAAGGGTCCTGTCGCATGTTCTTTGCGAGCGGCTCTACATGCATGGAAGCAACCGATACGTCTGGCCCAGCTAGTTATAATGACAGCACCGCAGCGTCGACAGACAGCCTCGACATTCGCATTCCTCCTAGCAGTTAGAGTGCGTTGAGCAGTGCCGGACGACATGAATAATTCTACGGATTGCACAGACTTCTTCACTCAGAATACCGACATCACCGGGATCGGCACTAGGTTGGCGTTCTATCTGCAGGTCATAATCGTTGGTGCGTTCGTTGTGCGACGCACGTGGAATGCTACTCATGTGCGTGTTATCTAGTTGTGCAGATGAGGCTGCAAGAGGAAGAGGGATGGAATGCTTTCTGGACGCTCGCGTCTATGAGCTTCGGGCTCATGCTAGCGGCGGTTGTGTCAGCTGCCCAGCACCAGCTCTCGTTCTTCAATGCCTATCAAGTCCAGAACCTTGTTTGGTGAGTGACCATTGACTGGCCCTACATGAGTTGTCACGCTCATTGGAAAGACGTCACAATTGTAACAAACAGCCTTGCAAACTGCGCACTAGTCTCAGTCGCCCACGCCCAAGGGCGGATGTTGGCGAACGACCCTTTTCGCAAGAAAAAGATTAGAGAAAAGATGCTCTCCTTATTCTATTGGATACAGTGCATACTTGCGGGAAGCCTGCTGGTCACTCTATGGTGAGTTTGTTACAGTTTGTATCGAGTCAGCCTCGAACGCGCTAGACGATGCAGGGCCATTGGCGAGAAGTTCGGACTAGAATCGTCCTGCATTCCCTCCATGCATTTTTATGTCGCCTATTGGCGCATATACAGCTCGAATCCGTTCCACAGTGCCAAGGCCGCGGCCTTCGCGACCTACGTTTTGCTCATTTTGGTTGGCATGCTAGCCAACCTGCTTATCCGCCAGTGGTGCGTGCGTATCGTGTCTTATGCTCACAGCCACAGGCTGAAGATCGTTCTCTTGAAACCTGTGCAGGTTCCGCGGGCGTGTTAGGGAAGAGGAGGCAAACGGGTCCACCACGATAAGAGACAGGTGGATTCAAGCTCAAAGCGCGGCGCACAGGACACAACCGCTCAGTGACAGACCGGACAAGGTGCAAAGCTGGGTCAACTACGTTGCACACTTTTTTATCGGGGCGAACTTTTTTCTCCCTCCCATTGAGCTCTCACTCCGGCAGAACTCTCAGCCCGCGAGCGTCAACGCGCAGTGGACATTTGGGCAGGTGCGCCCTTCTCTCTTGCTGCTTGACGTGGGTCTTTCTGACGAAGGTTCTAGATACTGGCGCTCGTGGCTGTGACTCCCTGCCTGGTCTCGCTGATCATCACCATCGCTGATTTCAAGGCAGAGCGCGCCGCCTTGCGGGCGAAGGCCCGCGAGCCTTATCTCAGAGACGACGCTGAAAGAGGGGTCTCTGATGGTGACTCAGCAAAGAAGGCGGGTTCGGAGGATCCTGAAGGACCGCGTTCTTAATATAGTAGAGAAAGACGATGTCTACTGAATGCCAGTGGACGTGTAGAACGGATAAATGCTGTAGCATGTACAGCATGCCATGCCATCGTATCAGTACTAAGTTGTACAGTGGCAAGGGCTCTGTCTGTTTAGTATTTCCTAGGCGATTTCACGCCACGAATTCCGTGAGAACAAGCTTGACAGGCTCCAGCGCTGGCGTACCTCTTCCTTGTACCACCAAGTACGGCGCAGCTCTCTTCTCATACAGCGCATCTGAATCGCTTACCGAGCTACGGGACGCTGCCTTGATCCTCTGCTTGCTAGCTGTATCTCTTGCCACGTAAGCCGCTCAACCACGGTTCATAGAAGATAATTGCGTACTTACTTCGGCTCTTGCTCACGCTGTCTCAAGGCTCACCATTGATCTTGCAGGCTCATCGCCGGCGCGCCGCGGTCCAGTGATCAGGTCAGACAGAGGCTCGCCTTTTTTTTTTGCAGCCCATGCTGATGTGGTGCTTAGGCAGTCGCTAGTCCTTCGCCAATGAGCCGACGCTTCAGCTTGGAGGGAACATCGACCGATGTCCTCTCTGAGGGTGCTCCGTGGGGAAACAAGAGCAGCGGAGAGACGAGGATTCCTACCTTCGTTCAAGAGCGGACTCGGATGGTTATCTCCTTGGACCAAGGCACGTTTTCCTCCCTGGACCAAGAGTCGGTTCCCTCGGACGAAGATTCGGTTCCCTTCCCGGACGAAGGGACGTATCTCTACTTGGACGACGATACGGTTCCCTCCCCGGTCAAAGGGGAGCTTAACCGACTGAATGTCTGGGGGTGGCACAACCCGCTATGTCAGGTACTATCCCCGAAGAGGTCCTTTTCAGATCGACCGGGCCAGCCACCTTTGCTCTCAAGCCAGAGCAGCGCTCTTCTGTCCCTTTTCAGTGGGTCCATGTGGACCCTCACGCCATTCCCGATGACCTCGCCGAATGCTCTGATATGTCCGTCGACGACCTTCTCCATCGTCTCAACCACGTGCTCGGTACAACATACACTCTAAATAATCGTGGCCTCAAGGACCGCCTCGAACATACTCTCCGTATCTCCCGAGACTTCGGCGAAGCATACGGTTACATGCGTCCGTGGTGGAGTTACTACGACCACGCAGAAGTCCTACGATGGATGGGGGACCGCAAGACGGATCTCGATGATCTTAGACGCGCCGCTATATCAGACTCTTGCGTCCAAAACTCTAACATCCCGCCCCTGCGTGTGTGGGACTTGTGCAGCAACCAGGTCCTTCCCCTTCACGCTGTGCCACGGCGGGAAAACATAGTCGTCAACCAGATTCCTAGCAACATTTGGGCTGTGTCGCACGGCTGGGTAGCCGATGCTGGGCATAAGTCGGTGTGGACAAACATCAACGGTCGGCAGTGGCCTGTCCCAATCCCGCGCGACAGAGCACATCCACGTCGAGCTGCTAAATCTGGGCGCGACGTATGTCTGGGTGGACGTCTTGTGTCTGAGACAAGAAGGCCGCGCAGACGACGAGCCTCAACGTCTTGAGCAGTGGAAGCTCGACGTCCCTACTATCGGCTGAATTTACAGACCTACACACTGGATACGGCCTAGGAAACTGGTGCACAGGACATGTGTCACCTATTTCAACGGTCCTGGACTGCCGTTTGATCCATCACCACACCTCCTAACCTCAGATCGACATTGGTTTAACAGAGTTTGGGCCCTGCAGGAGACCGTCGGAAGTTGGTTGCCTGGAGGACTGACGGGCAAACCTTCTCCTGATGCCGATGCATTCTTCACCCTTCTGGACCGCCTCCTGTGGAGCATAGGCAACCAGAGCGACGGGACAGATCTCATCCAATCGCTGAAGGCCCGCAGCTGCAGCAACGAGCTGGACAGGATCGCCGGCCTTGCGTACTATCTCGGATGCGAGACGCTGCCGCTATACGAGATGAACATCTCCGCAGAGGCGGCGCGGATGCTCCTGATCAAAACACATGCCGGCAGAAAACCGCACGCTCCTCTTTCTTCAGTAAGCGGTTGACAGGCCCTTTGGGCTTTGGAACTCCTGGAAGGCGTACCTGGAGCGCGTACCTGGAGCGCGAACCTGCTCTACCGCCTCCGATCTACATGCCACGGGGCAGCCAGACGCTCCGACTCGTAAACCAGTTACAACTCTACACGGAGGAGGCAGCGACCTATAAGCATTCCACATACGCTCTTGGACCATGTCGCATCGTGCGAAAATCCGATGATACCACCTGCACCGGCGTGGCGAACGAACTCGGGCTCCGGTTCGACGAGGTGGACAAGTCGGCTGTAGTCCGAGCGGCGGGAATGCACGGGGTGCTCCCGCCTCATGTATCCTACACCCTGGTGGGCATTAACAAGACACGGCCGGAACATTGGATTGTGGCCGAAGTAGTTGAAGAGCGAACATCATGCTTGACAGTGGTGAAGTGGGGTGTTCTCCAAACGAACCACACAGAAACCGGCAAACTTGTCTCTCAGGACCTCGGCCGTTCAGATACTCAGGTGGAGTATCCTGACGGTGAGCAGGCTCATCGACGTAGCAAGCACACAAATAAGTATATGGAGGCTTTTGAGGAGATGAAGGCAAGCGGAAGATCGTATTATTGAGTGTACCTCGGATGTGTGGGTATCGGTGGCACGCACGAACAAGCAAATCGGTTATGGCACCTCTGTTATACCACTAGCAGCACATTCCAGACAGGATAAAAATACATTGATTGTACACATTCGCTTTGTACCTCTGGAGTCGTTTACAGCTCACCACTGCAGACCGCTTCAATCCACTTGCGCTCGCTCTTGACAGTGGTCAGGTTCTCGAAGCCGCTCTGGGTGATAACCACAACATCCTCGATGCGCACACCACCGACGCTCTCGTATTTGGCAAGCACGCCGTGGTTGATGAGCGGGGAGTCGCGCACCGCCGTAAGTAAGTGTGGCGAGAAGTAGATGCCGGGCTCCACGGTCTGACCCGATAATCAGCTCTCCAGCGCGGGAGTCGTCCAAACAAGTACAACTTACCACCACCATGTTCTCCGCAAGTGGTAGCCTGAGCCGCAGGTAACGGTAGAAGTCGGGGTGCCCAATGCCATCGAGCTTGATGGTGGGGTTCACCTCAGGCTTGCTCGCGCTGGGCACGTCGTGTACGTCGAGGCCGAGACTGTGTCCGACGCCATGCGGGAAAAACGCAGTGCTGACGCCGCTCGCAATGATCGCCTCCTCCGAGTAGCGCGACCCGCCGCCGCTCGGTACGCTGGGCCCCGTCTCCGCGTTCGGCGCGTGCAGGATGCCGAGCTTCTGGAAACCGCGCACGAGCACGCGGTGGCAGAGTAGCTGCACGGCGTCCCAGTGCAGACCCGGGCGCAGGATCTTGAACGACTCGGACTGCATCTCGAGCACCAGGTCGTAAATGGCGGCGGCCTCGGAGGTGAAGCGGCCGCCATTGCCGACGGGCATCGTCCGTGTGACTAGTATTATTCATTAGGTGCTAGGCTTGCTGAGGAAACCAGAAACTTACTGTCGGAAGCGTGGCAGTCCCATTCGCACCCCGCATCGATAAGCAGGACTTGCGGAACGAAAGTCTTGCGGCTGTAGTGCTCATCTGGCCTGATGTGAGCCCATGGATAAGTATGGCAAAATATCTAGGTCCTACCTTCGCCTGGGTGAGTATGCGTGAGATGCCCATTGTTCAGGTGATCTTTAGCTCCGACTGGTCCCCAAGCAAAGGCCTTGTCGTTGCAGCAGTAATGCAACGTAGATGCGCGCGTCGACGACGCTACGATCGGCATGTATGCCTGGTGCACTGCGCTGTGCAAGGTCAGACAAGAGTACGTAATATGCCAATCAGCGAACGCACTTTTCACGCCTACAACTTGCAACAAACAGTGCCTCAGCCTCAGCTTCCTTCTCGATGAGCCATTCGCCAGGGAGGTGTGGGCGACCCTGCACTTTGACAACCTTGCCCTCCTGCAGGTGTTTGACTCCCAGGCCGAGCACACGCATGACCGTCTCGTGCGCGCGTGAGCTAATCTCGTTCGCCCTGCGGATCTCCGCAATCTCGTAAGAGTCCTTCGTGAGCCGCGCCAGATGGATGGCGCTGAGGAGGTACGCGTTGGTGACCTTCGAATCGGCGACGACGTTTCCGAGGATGGTAGTGATAACATCGCGGAAACGCTGAGGCAGGATGGGGAAGAGCGGGACGGTGGCAGACCCGAGGGATGAGTGTGGCAGGACGTGCACGAGCGCGTCGGGATATGCGCGCAGCGTCTCCTCGAGCGCCGCGGCGAAGTCTGTGGTGAGTTTCACGGACGTGGCGTCATGCGTCGAGGAGGCAACTTCGGGTGTGGGCGGAGGCACAGACCACATGATATCCTCGGGAGAGATGGGAGGGATGAATAGCTGCACGGAGGGATGGAGCGTGAGCGATGTCCCGGGTTGCGAGACGAGCAATGCGTAGGAAGAGGGCACAGTGCAGCCTGTAAGGTAGAAGAAGTTAGATTCCTACGGGAGATATCAGCCCTGTAAGCCGGGGACCGAAGCAAGCGATGCACCTGGCGGAAAGTCATCTCGCGATCCGTGTCATTTCTGAACGGCGTCACTTCTCCGACGAGCAAGACGATTTGTGGCTTGTAAGTCCCGTAGTGGATCGTCGTGAGACATCGGAGAACGCAGTGTGCTCGATGTAACTCACCCGAGCTTTGTCTGCATCTGGGACAAGATTGACGAGTTTGTCAAACGTCTTCACGACGTGCGCTTGAGCTATGAGAGTGGCAAAAAGTCAACACGTGCAGCCATGGTACATCACATACTGACCTGGATACATGACGCTAAGAGAGCGTGAATGACGATGAAGTACAGTGCTTGACGTTCTCAAGGCGGGAAGTGCTTTCATAGGTTGAACGGTTAGAGTATACAATGCATAGATGCAGAACAATGGATACACCGATGGTGAAGTGGTTATCATGCTTGCCTTCCAAGCAAGCGGCACGGGTTCGATTCCCGTTCGGTGTATAATTTTATCCTCTAGTGAGATTTTTGCTTTTTTTTTCAATTTTCAGTCTCGAGATTTCTGAATGCTTGCCAGTGAGCCTTGACATGCATGATGACAGTTATCGCAAATCGTAACTACAACATATGTGCATTCGCGATTTGCGGCGGGCAGATGCAGTAAGGTGTATTCAGGTAACTTAACCGGGCCTCGGAGCAAGCAACACCCACTTGGTCATCTGGTACATTCGAATCTTTAGAATAATCGCAGTGCAAGTGTCTCGCTGATACGCCCGTTCGGCGAATAATAATGGCGGTCATCGGCATCTTACGTTGGGGACGTCAGACACGTCCCCTGCTGTTCTACTCGCCACTGTTGCTTCAGTGGACGGCAGTAAAGTCTGAGTTCTCCCGTGTGGATAAGGAGCTGCAAAGCCGGAGATACACAACAGATGGTTTTAGCAGCGCTTTGCAAGCGGCGAAATATTGCGAGCTGCGAGCTCACGTACGCTCGGAATCCACGAGACCCTCCCGGATAAGGCAGGCGCCTATGCCAGGCGACGACTCGGACATATAAAGTTGTCCGGGGAAGTTGGGCGCTTACCTTTGTTCCCCGTCTCTCACGACGAGTGCGCCGTTGTCGAATGGTACCGACTCTACAACATAGCCCCCACACTCCCAGACTGCTCCTCACCCTAGCATCAGTCGCATCGCAATATGTTCCCAACCTCTCTCGTCTTGCCCCAGACTCACTCGCCCAGCCCGGAGCAGGCCCCATTCACTCGTTTGCCAAGCGGGACATCGACCGCCACAGTCCCGTGTTCGCGGCCTATGCATGTCTCATCCCGATTCTTGTCCTACTGTCCGGTCTGTTTGCCGGTCTGACGCTGGGATACATGAGTCTCGACGAGACGCAGCTACAGGTTTTGAGTATCAGTGGCACACCGTGAGTCGCTCCTTCGTTATATTGGCTCCCATGCTGACTATATGCGCAGTGAACAGAAGGCGTACGCGAGCAAGATCATTCCCATCCGCAAGAATGGGCACCTCCTGCTCGTAACACTGCTCCTGGCAAACATGATCGTCAACGAGACGCTCCCCGTCATCTCCGACCCCGTCCTGGGCGGTGGCGTGCAAAGCGTCGTCGTCAGCACGGTCCTCATCGTAATGTGAGTGGCAGTATCTTATCACTGCGCTTCCGAAACACTCTCGGCACGAGCTTTCGCGGTTGCGGCACGCTTTGCACTGCCATGACCTCATGGTCGCGTGGTGTTATATTACGCGTCGCGTACACGCCCAGCTGACACAGCCTGCTGACGCGGCATCACGTGCTCTCCCGTTCAACGGGTACTCTGCTTCGTCGATCACGGTCATTGCGTTGAGCAACGTCGACGGAGTGCAAGGGGTATTCTCAAACATGCGCGGCTGCCGGCAGAACTGTCCGCATAGCCTCACTGGCAGATCCGCTCGATACGCGCATACAGCGGCCAGCCTGGCCCATTGAATGGCTCATGAGATCCGTACACGCCGATGCTGACTTCGCTTCATATCTAGCTTTTCGGAGATCATCCCGCAATCGCTTTGCACGCGTTATGGGATGTACATTGGTGCGAAGATGGCTGGTTTTGTCCAGCTCCTTTTGTGGACGTTGGTAAGTGAACAATAAGCTGTGAATGGAATCCTGAAGCACTCAGAAAACACTCTCAATCAGGGTTTAGTGGCGTGGCCTATCGCGAAACTGCTTGAATTCGTCCTGGGTCCCCAGCATGGAATTATCTATCGACGTACGGAGCTCAAGGAACTGATTGCGATGCATTCGGATGCAGGCGAGCGCGGTGGCGATTTGAAGATAGACACAGTCACTATCATTGGGGGCGCTCTGGATCTCCAAGAGAAAGTTGTAAAGCAGGCCATGACCCCTATAGAAGACGTCTTCATGCTATCTATTGATGCGAAGCTCGACTTCGAAACGTTGAGGACCATATGCAAGACCGGACATTCCCGCGTTCCCGTCTACGAAGAGGTCGAAGTTCCCGTGTCACATCTGCTCGTGCAGGTACGCCATCTACCTATCTTTCAAAGGCCAAGTCCTTAGTATATTTACAGGGCGCGAGGTTATGTTCCAACGACGTGATCAATAGCGTTGATAGTAACCACAGCCCTGCTCACACCCAGAAGGTCAAGAAAATTATTGGTATTTTACTTGTCAAGCAGGAAAGTACCTCAGCTATATCACACCGTGAGAATATATGCGCTGACCTTGCGTCTCCAGTGCGTTCTCCTCGATCCTAACGATGCCGTTCCTGTCCGCAAGATTCCCTTGAATAAGGTTCCGTTTGTACCGAACAACGAACCGCTACTTGGCATCCTCGACAAATTCCAGGAAGGCCGTTCCCACATGGCCATCGTGAGTCGTTTCAGCGTGGAGCAAGCCGTAAGCGTGAAGAAGGCCGTGAAGAAGGGCCTCACGCGGCGTCTCCGTCACCGTGTCGGAATGGGCGACGGCGACTCGAGTGATTCGAGCAGCGAATCCGAAGACGAGAGCGATGGTGGTGCCGGCAAGCGAAGTCCTGTCCTCCGCCGCATACCCTTCTCGCGCAAGCCTACCAAGGACGAGGGAGAGAGCGACAATGCCGAGACAATGAAAGGTGACAGTCACGGCGAGAGCGAGACTGATGACGCGGGGCCCAGCAGCAGCAAGCGTTCGCGTTTCAGGGTTGGGCGAGGCCGCAGCAAGAAGCGCATACACGACGTGGAGATGGGCAACATGGACGGCAAGGACGGCGAGGACGGCGAGGATGGCACTGAAGCCGACAGGAAGGTTCGTACGGGCAACATGACTCTGCCGAAGGCTTCGTTCGGCAAATGGGAGCAAAGCATGCCCGCCGACGCCGTCCTGGCTAAAGAGGGTGCTGACGAGGTGAGGTGAACCTCCGAATGAGGCTATATGCGAGTTGCTGATTGCGACCTCAGTTCTTGCAAACATTAGATCCTGCTCTCATGCCTCTAGGTATTATCACACTGGAGGATGTCCTGGAGGGTATGCGTATCTCCCATTTTCGTCCAAAACCCTACTAACGGTGTGGTGCAGAACTGATCGGAGAGGAAATTTATGATGAGTTTGACCCGCAGGGTCATCCCATAATGATTGAGTCATACACGCAGAACGAAAAGGCAGCATCCTCTTCTGTCAAGCGCAAGATCTCCGCTCCCGAGCTCGCTGGTAACCCCAGTTCTATTATTCCTTCTATGCCGTTGGGTTCGACATCCACTAGGGAGATGACAAAGCCGCTGATGGCGACACCGCTGATCAAACCAACTGGTCTGAAAGCGTTGAATTTCAAAGGGCTAGGGTTTACGCGTTCCAGGAGCGCGCCGCCGTCCCCACGCGAAGAGCGGGCGCACGTCTTCCTGGACAAGAACGACAACGCTGCCCCCGCGACGGTTCCTGAGGGAAGCCTCCTCGACGAAACGATCTATGGTGCAGACGACGATACGAAATCCGAATACGGGCTCGAACGTGCCGACGACAGCTCGTTCTTGCACGAATATACCTCTGGCGCGCCGTCCGCCCTCCCCTCCCTGCCGCCTCCCGTCCTCGCTGCTCCGTCCCCCATCGTCCCGTCGAGCATCGCCCGCATGCGCAGCATCAACAGCCCCTTACGCGCACCGGCGCCTGTACCTGCCACGGCACTCCCTTCGCTGCTCATTACACCCACGGGGTCGCGCAGCTCGTCACCATCGCTCGAGCACGCGATCCGCGCGGAACGGATACGCCGCGCCGCGTCGGGCGCGTCGAATACGCCTGTGCCCAAAGGCACGCGCTTCAAGAGTAGCCCGCTCACCGGCGAGCGCAGCGGCGTCGTCGTCGCTGACAGGGTGAAGGAGCACTTTGGGGACGCCGCGAACCGGATAGGCGGCGAGAAGGAGAGGAACGTGTTTGATAACGACTGGTGATTACCACAATGACGATGACGGCCCCCATACACACCGGGCTCCCAAGCTCTTTTAACACTTCTTTTCTCTGTCCCTTGCTTTTTCTTCTTCTTCTTCTGCTTATGCTAACCACGATAACGTAGTGTCTGAATGGATTAGAACGTGTATCAAAGACGTAACACAACACTAGGATGTAACAATGAATGAATTCTGATTTGTTTGACTCTCGAGATGGTCGTCGCGGGCACATGCTTCAGTTAGTGCGCTAGGTGTTCAGTGTGATGTAGCGTTAACAACGTTATACCAACCCTACACTCTTGGCATGTTCCGTGAGGACTTTATTGAGCCCTTCTCTCTTGAGACAGTTCTCAAAGAGGAAGCTCTTTGCGAGCTCATCCAACTCCTCCTCCGTCTTGCCTACAAAGTGCTCTGCCCACTCCTTTACGAGGAACTCACCGAGGAGCATGCACCGTGCAATGCGCTCGACCCTGCCCTCGAGCGTCCAGACCGGGTACGGATACAGCCGCCGGTGCGCCTCTTCTGGCACCGCTTCCGTGACTAGCTGCACGAGCGGCGCGTACAGATGTTTCACCGCGGCGTCATTCGCGCCCCACGGGTCGACCGCGAGCCGGTACTTCTTTTGGAGGAAGCCGGTCGAGTTCAGGAGCCGCATGTAGGGCGTGTCTGCGCTAACATGCACCATCCCCTGGAAGCCGATGTCTTTGTACAGCCAGATAGACCAGCTCAGGCGGTCCTACAGGTCTTGTCAGTGCCTCTTCACCAAAACAATTGGGCTCTCTGACCTTGTCGTAGAGCTCCAGCTGATCCTTGAGTACATTGTACCTACGCTCGTTAATCGACTCCCAGTCGTCGCCCTCGTACTCCTTGCGCGCATATACCGGGCCCCACTCGCCGTTCCAGACACAAAGCCCGCGCTCGTCCATCCACTCGCGCTTCTTCTCGTAGCTCCGGCGCATCCGGCGCGTCTGCTCGGGCGTGCGCGCGTAGGGCTCGGGCGTCTTGGGGAAGCCGTACAGCGAGTAGTCGTGTATCGCGAACGCGATGTTGGACCAGCGTCGCCCTGCGTCATCCGGGAAGCCCGAGAAGTCGGTCGCGTAGGTGTTGCCGTCGAGGAAGAGCGTGTGGTGCGGATCGACGCTGCGGATCGCTGCGATGACGCGGTCGTAGTACCCGATGAGCCGTGCTGCGTCGGGCGTCGGGTCCGCGGGCTCGTTGAGCGGGTTGTAGCCGGCGACCCAGGGCTCGTCGCGGTAGTGCCGCGCGAGCTCTGTCCAGAGCCAGACCAGGCGATCCTGCAGGTTCTTGTGCATCCAGAAGAGCGCGAGGTGCGTACCGGCGTCCGAGTGCCAGCCGCCATTCTGGCCACCAGGCGCGGTGTGCATGTCCAGGATGGTATAGATTCCATGTGCAGCACAGACCCTGACAATGCGGTCGAGCTGCGTGAAGCACGAATCCTTGAGGACGAGCGGGTTCATGTCATCCTCGAAGGCACGATAGTTGAGCGCGATACGGATGCAATTCAGCCCGATGGACTTGAAGAAGGCTGCGTCGGCATCTGTAAAGAAATATTCGAGGAACTGCTCTCAAGTTAGTTCTTGCAGGAAAATGTGACTGGAGACAAAGCAGGTCTGACCTTGTCGAAGAAGAAGCTGGCCTTCGCTGTGCCGATGGTTTCGGCGAGAGCTTCGCGAATCTGGAATTCACATCCAGGAAAACCTGTCGACATCTTGGATGAACATGCCTACATCCTTCTCAAGAGGCATAAAGTACCGCTGATAAAATTTTCCATACTAGGTGTGCATGTTAGCATAGGTCCGAACGGCCACAAGTCCGACGCAGCACTAACCACTGCCATCCCCCGAGGCCTGCGCCTCGTAAAATCACCTCTTTCCCACTTGCATCAACCAACCTTGTTCCTTCGACGCCTATGAAGCTGGCCATATCCTGCACACCCTCTCAGGGTCCGGCACGACCACAGGGTGATGAGAGCTCCAATCGACGCGGTGCCTTCTATACCTTCGTCAGTGATGTCGAAGGCTCGCAGCGGGCCGCATACAGTGTTCACGATGATGTATTCCAACACATGACAATTCGCATCCTTTGCCGTCTCCATAAGAAGAACCGGGGACCCTTCGCGATAGCCCGCTTGTATCGTTTCGCCCACCGGAAGTATTTCGGACGTGAGAAAGGTCGGCCCATTTCAAGCGATAGCTCTGCTGAACGGAAAAGACTTTCGTGTGTTCTGAAATACGGCATCGCGGATATGCATTCCGTGAATATGTTGGTGAGAGCGTAGCGGCATGGTGTAAGCGAAGGGGCGGTAACGACGGTTTGTGCAAGTTAAAGCTGGCGTGGGAAGAACATACTGTTTCAGACAGCGCAACGCACGACGGAATGTTGACGACTCGGCTCTCGACCACCACATGCAGGCCGGATGGAGAACCATCTCGACAACCAACCGTGCTGAATCAAAAGCTCCCGACTGAGATAGCGAGACGATATGCTCCGTCGGGAAATACTCGGTTGCGAGTCTAAAGTTCTTCCCGGCCCGCCATGCAGAAACACTGGACAGTTATAAGGCCTTACGAATGTGCAATGTGGGAGGGACAGCCCTTAACCTACCAAATCAGCCCCTGTATACTCCGCCATGGCTTACTTGCAAGTTTCTGGCACCAAAATTGTCGACAAGGACGGCAAGGAAGTTATACTGCGTGGCGCAGGCTTGGGTGGATGGATGAAGTGCGTACACTATTGACACCGTTGTCGAAATATGTATTTAATGATCTGCAGCATGGAGAACTTCATCTCGGGCTACCCCGGATGCGAGTACCAGATCCGTGCTGCCCTCGCGGACGTCGTAGGCCAGGATAAGTCCGAGTTCTTCTTCGACAAGGTGTGTAGCCTAGTGTTAGCGGTTCTTGCGAAAATTTTACAGTCTTCAGTTCTTAGAATATTTCTTCACCGATGCCGATGCAGCTTTCTTCAGCAGCCTCGGGCTCAACTGCATTCGCCTCCCTTTCAACTACAGGCACTTTGAAGGCGCGCCGCAGCCTCCATGCATCCTCACGTATCGATCCTGAACCTCATTCCAGATGATATGAACCCACGAGTCCTCAAGCCCGAAGGTTTCAAGCACCTTGATCGTGTCATCGACATCTGTGCAAAGCACGGCATATACACCATTCTTGACCTGCACACCGCACCCGGCGGCCAGAACACAGACTGGCACGCGGATGCCGGCACGCATATTGCCAAGTTCTGGGAACACAAGGACTTCCAAGACCGTGTCGTTTGGCTGTGGGAAGAGCTTGCGCAGCACTACCGCGCAAACACCTGGATTGCAGGCTACAACCCGCTCAACGAGCCCACGGATCCGTACCAGACGCGCCTCATTGCGTTCTACGATCGCGTGTACGCCGCGATCCGCAAACACGACCCAGACCATGCCCTCTTCCTTGACGGCAACACCTTCGCTTCCGACTTCTCGCATTTCGGTGACGCGGAAACGAGGTGGAAAAACACTGCGTACGCTATCCACGATTACTCTGTCTTCGGCTTCCCCGCAGCGCCAGAGGCGTACGTTGGCAGCGAGGCGCAGCAGCGCCGTCTGAGGAGGAGCTATGAGAAGAAGCGCGAGTGGATGGACCAACGTGGGCTTTGCGTTTGGAATGGCGAGTGGGGCCCGGTGTACGCGCGCAAGGAGTACGAAGGCGTCGCCACGGATGCGATCAACGAGGAGCGGTACAAGGTGCTGAAGGACCAGTTGGAGATCTACAACAAGGTAAGTAGCTATATTGTCAGCTATATGCACGTTGCTAATGCCTCATTCAGGACCGTCTGAGCTGGTCGATTTGGCTGTACAAGGACATCGGCTTCCAGGGCATGGTGCACGTTTCGCGTGACACGCCATACATGACGCTCTTCAAGGACTTCCTCGCCAAGAAGCACCGGCTCGCGATCGACGCGTGGGGCGCGGATGACACCGCCGTGCGCGAAATCTACAATCCGCTCATCGACCTCATTAAGCGGGAGATCAAGCCCGAACATCAGGACCTGTACCCGGCGCCGGTTTGGAAGCTGAGCGACCGCATCGGTCGCCTCTCGCGCAACATCCTCGTCTCCGAGTTCCTCGTTCGCGAGTGGGCGGAGCACTTCCGCGGGAAGAGCACCGAGGAGCTCGACATAATCGCGAAGAGCTTCGCGTACGAGAACTGCCTGCACCGCGACGGCCTGAACAAGGTTCTCACCGACAACGCGAGTCTGGTCGCGCAGTCTGCGTAAAATAATTGTCTATATCAACGATCAGAACAAAGAGCCCCTGTACTGTACGAGTTTGAATGGGAGCAACCAATCCCCGAGGTGTGACATGCAAGCCAGCATCTGCGAGAGCAACGGCCGGCGCTAAATCACCAAAAACAGTAATTTTGGGATTTTTGGAGATTTTTCGTTCAATTTATCTCGATTTTGGCCCAGATTTGGTGTAAAGTTCCGTGACAAGACCTAAAAATTACAACCCTTGCGGAGGACTGTGACGCATGACGTTGCTCCCATTCAAACTCGTACAGTAGTTGTATTGTATAATAAAGTGACTTAAGCTTTCTTAACGTTGAGCTCTGTTCATGCACAATTTCCCTCTCGCACCTCAACTCAGAATTTGAACACAAAGTAGCCTTTAGCTCTGAACGTTCACGTGGACGCCTTGGGATAAGGCCGAGAAACCAGCCACCAACTATAAAAGTGGATGAAGAGACGTGTGATGTTACAAGCCTGTCTAATACAAGCACGACAGCCAAGAGCACATCTACTTGATCTTCTCGAACATCTCTATAGAGGTCTTCAAATTATCTATCTCGGTTTCGAATGTCTTCCTCTGTTATGGGTCATCAGTATCAGGGTTAAAACTCTCGACATACACGTCACTATACCTTGTCCTCGTTCATGAGACGGACATCTGCAGGGACAGTCGACTCGTAGTCGGCCTGGGACTCGATCTTAACAATCTTGTCTAGGTTGAGCTGTGCAAGGTGCAGCTTCTTCTCGCACTTGGCTATCTCGGCGTCCAGGTCAACCAGTCCCTGAATGTCGGGGTGAGTGCGCCATCCCAAAGAATACGAGAAGACAAATGCGTACGCGGACGAGCAAGTAGAGGACGACGGTGGGTGTGAGAACAGCGGAACCGCTACCAGGGGGGACGTCCCCGAGCTCGCGAACGACCTTTGCACTCTTGCATCCCTTGGTTAGTGAAACGATTGTCGGCGCCTGTGACTCAAAGAGCTGCGCCTCCTTGTTGTTCGATACGCGGATGAACACTGCCAAAGACTTAGCATCACGGGGGATTAAAGGAGACTGCCAGGACTTACGCTGAATATCGGACTGCAGGTTATATGAAGCCGCGAGCGAACGCCCGGTCCTGATCGCGGAGAAGACGAGGTCGAAGTCGCTCCCGTCGAATGCGTAGTCCTTGTCCTACCACGCAAAGTGAGCTCCCGAGACCCATCATACAACACACAAATAATACTTACGAAGAGAGGGAATTGAGCGAGCATGATCGACGGTGTCGAGTCGTCTGGCCGGCGCGGCAGGCGTTGCCAGAGCTCCTCGGTGACGAAGGGCATGAAAGGGTGCAAGAGACGAAGACCGTGGTCCAAGCAGGTGTACAGTGTCTGCTGGGCGGACTCTCGCATCTCAGGCGACGCAGACTCGTCTGTCATAGGTTTCATCGCTTCCTACAAAGTGCAATCCGTGTTAGCAAAATGACACAGAGTAGGGCGAGTTAGCGCGCACGATGTAAATGTCGCAAAGCTCATACAGCCAGAAGTTGTACACGGCGTTTGTCGCAGCCATGAAGTTACGCTCGACCATCTGCTTGTTCGTCTCCTCGGCAGCGATATTGAGCTTGCTGAGGATCCAGCGCTCGACAAGACTTTCCTTGCCCGTAGGCTAGTATCACATGCCATTAGTTGCCAGAAGTTATAGATAGGCTAAGAGTGCGGACCTTTGCCGTCGGATGTGGCATAAACTTATCATCTAGCTTGAGCATGGCAAACTTGGTAGCGTTGAACACCTTGTTGCAGAACTTGCGGTAGCCGTGCACACGCAAGATCTCAAGGTTGATGTCGCGCCCTGAAATCCGTGGGTACTAGATATAGAAGCGAATATTGTCCTGCGGACTTACCTCCACCACTGTATGCACACAGAGCGAACCGCAAGGCATCGGTACCACACTGGGGAATACCCTTCGGGAAGTCCTTCTTCTGGCCGGTTTTCGCCTTGGCGATTTCCTTCTCGTCTAGATTGCCCTCATACAGCTTCTGGTGAAGCGTCTCGAGGTCAAGACCCTGAATGACATCAAGCGGGTCGATGACGTTTCCAAGCGATTTAGACATCTTGCGGCCGTGTGCATCGCGAATCATCGCGTGGCAGTATACCTCCTTGAACGGCATCTGGCCCGTAAGGTGCACGCCAAGCATGACCATGCGCGCTACCCAGAAAAAGAGGATGTCCCAGCCAGTCTCGAGCAGTGACGTAGGATAGAACGTGTCAAAGTCGAACGTCTGTTGCGGCCAGCCGAGGGTCGACCACGGCCAAAGACCGGACGAGAACCAGGTATCAAGCACGTCCTCGTCCTGCTCGAGCGTGAACTTGGCGCCTCCCGCGAACTTCTCGGCGCGAGCAGTCGCTTCTTCGAGCGTACGGCCAACGACCCAGTTCTTGCCGTCATTCCTGTCTTGGTTCTGGCCCTCGAGGCGCACAAAGTACGCAGGGCAGCGGTGGCCCCACCAGAGCTGGCGCGAGATACACCAGTCCTGGATTCCCTCGAGCCAGCGGTACCACTCATTCTCTGACGACTTTGGTTGGATGAGCAGCTCGCCGGCGCGTGTTCTCTTGATAGCCTCTTCCGCGAGCGGCTTGCAGTTAACCCACCACTGGGGCTTGAGCATCGGCTCGATAATGTCGCCAGACTTGCTGCAAATTGGGATTTGCATAGGGTTGTCCTTCTGCTCAATATACAAGCCTCGCTCCTGGAGAGCCTTGACGACGGCCACACGAGCGTGGAAGCGTTTCATGCCCTGGAGGCTGAGGTTAGGCGCGAACCTCTCGGAAAAAAGCCTCGGGACGTGCCTTATACTCTCCTGCATTGTCGTTGAACGTACCATCATCATTAAGGATGTTAATGAACTCCAGATTGTGGCGGACACCAACTTCGTAATCGTTCGGGTCGTGTGCCGGCGTGATCTTCACGGCACCAGTCCCAAACTCCATGTCAACAGCGATATCGTCGCATATGATGGGAATCCGGCGGCCAAGGAAGGGGTGGACAGCGAACTTGCCGTGGAGGTGTTTATACCGCGGGTCTTGCGGGTGGATAGCAATGGCGGTATCACCAAGCATGGTCTCCGGACGAGTGGTCGCAACAATGATTATCTCATCCGAGTTCTCGATTGGGTACGCGAAAGACGTGATGACACCAAACTCGAACTTTTCTTTCGCATCATAGCCGGGCACGTTCAGCAGCGTTCGACCGGTGAGCTGTTTTTGCTCAACTTCTAGATTCGAGAGCGTCGTGTTCATGCGCACGCACCAGTTGACGAGACGGTTAGCGCGATAGAGGATACCGTCCTCATGGAGCTTGCAGAAAGTCTCCACGACGGCTTTTGAAAGATTCTCGTTCATAGTGAATGCGACACGCGACCAGTCATAGCTGCCTCCGAGACGTTTGAGTTGATTCGTGATACGACCTTGATAACTATTCGGAGTAAGCATGGAGCCAGCGGGAGAATAACTGGAACCCACTCTTCCTTCCACTCCCAGACGGTCTTAAGGAACTCTTCTCTGCCCAAGTCATGCCTGCTCTTGCCGGACGACTTCCACAGCCGGTTTTCTACCACGGACTGAGTAGAGATGCCAGCGTGGTCAAATCCGGGAACAAATAGTGCTGTCTTCCCAAGCATCCGGTTCCTGCAGCGCAGTCAGTCCGAATGCCTGTTGCGAATTCGTAAGCGTGACTTGCCATCGCACGAGACCATCTTGGATGGCGGTTGTAAGCGCATGGCCGATGTGCAGGCTTCCAGTGACGTTCGGTGGAGGTGCGGGTACAATAAATCCGCCTTCAGGCTTGACCTTGCCGTTCGGCGTGAGCTGTGGCTTGAAGAAACCTTGGGCTTCCCACCAGTCGTACCAAGCGGCCTCGACAGCAATGGGGTCGTAGCCACTGTCCGACATGGGTTGGGTAACATCTACAGCGGAATGAGAATTCACACCTCGAAGCCAAATATCTGACACGCACCTTTCTTCTCGCCCTTTGGTGTCGTGTTCACGAACGGAGTATCCTCCTCTTCCTTCTTCTTCTTCTCTGCCTTGACCTTCTTCTCGCCCGCAGGCATGTTTACTACGACTTTGGCTTGCTTAGCTGCAAGCTTCACCTCTTTCTCGAGCCGTTTCGCCTCCTTCTTCGCTGTAGACACATCTTCAGCAGCTGCCACGCACTGTGTGTCAGCATACTCACCTGCACTCTTCGAGTTCGGGTTTGGGGCGTCAGTAGCTGGAGGCGCGGGTGTCTCTGCTGCTTGGGACATCGTTCGAAGATGTGTACGAGGGGGAGAGAGCCGATAGAGAGATGGAAGATATCGATGCAATCTATGCATCCATAAACCCTCACAGCTCACCGTGACTCGAGCGTGATGCAATTAGTCGCGCTGTCACAATATGTCACAGTGACCGTCACACAACTGGTGAAATGTGGCGGGCTGCAGCCTCGGGCAGCCATTCGCGCTACAGACAGACAGTTGTATATTCCACATCATACGCACGGCATTTACATCAAAAACACTACAATTTCTATCGAAGGGTGAACTTATCGCGGGCTTTCTGATTTCTCCTAACATCTTCATCTCGCAGTTTTGCTTCGAGGGCATTGAACAGCTCCTTCGCATAGGTCTCACCCTCCTGGACAGTTGTGAGAATTCGGAGCAGCTACCCGGAGCGGTCATAACACCTTACAGTGATGAAATTTTTGAGCTGTACGAGCTGTGCTTCACCAGGTCCCAATAGGCGCATGCCTTGCAGGTTCGGTGATGCCCCAGCAAGGAAGGAGAACATTAGGAGAAGCTTCAGCGGAGTAGCGACTTCCTCGGCTGGTGTCGCATCCAAATAATAGATGGGCGAGTCCTGTATCAATATATCTAATCATTCCATTCCCAAAGACTATTGCAAAGCGACGACCCACGATGTTCAGCGTGATACAGACAGGCCATAGCTCCCTTCCCTTTAAGACTTCTCCTTCGTCCCAGAAATCCGGAAGCTCAAAATCGGTTGCTGTAGGTATCCGTCTGGTGTCGAAGCCACTCTTGGGAACACCGTCTTCGTCTACGTCCATGCTTGCTTCTCCTGCTTGTATCATCGGCGCTGAACCCTTGCGAGCGGCATACTGCACGCTACGCGTCCGAGGGACCTTTGTATCCCAGAGAGCCGCGCGTGCAGCCATGAACATGACGTCGTACGTGTTTCCCGCGTCCGAAACGATCGTGATATCGAGATTGAGCAGCCATGACTTCTTGCGGGGCAGTATGCCGAGGTTAGATGGACGCAGTGTTGGATGCGAGAGCGTCTGGTGGAGAACTGCAGTATAGTCGTATTGAAGCTCGTCTAAAGCGTTTGAGGAAAGCTGCGGATATGCTGCTGGTGAGCTACCTTCCGAGACAGGTTTTCAGGCTCGGAGGCGGCGACGGATGAAAGAAAGCGCACCATAGTACTGTGCAGACGATTCTTCCACCGTCGACACCGTCACCATTTTCGACATTCTCCACCTCCAGTTTCACTGCCGCAATAACTTCTGTCCCGCCTCCGCTTTCGTGGGAAGCCTTGCCCAAGTTGACGCGTGCACTACCATTTGCGAGAGGTGCCGCACCAGTCTCTAGGAAGACATTGCGGAAGTCTTTGAGTGACCGTCCGTCCGCGCGCAGAGCATCTGGCGCGTGAAGTGAAGATTGGATGTAAGCCTTCTCGGACTTTGAGACGGAAGTGGGAGCGGTCATGCTTCTCTACCTCCGACAAGAATCTAAATACACAAGGGGAGCTCAGAGCCTTTCCGGTAAGTACACAGACCTGAACGCAGGGATGAAGGCGAGAACTCAGTAGAAAAACGTGAGAAAGACCTTCCGGATCACGCAAGTGCGAGGCACGCGCTGCCAACAACACCAAACAAACGCGAAGCGCACCTCATTCTACGCGACCACGACCTCCTCCTGACTTTGTTGATTTTTTTCTCCAGACCCCATCCAGATCCAGTTCCGCGGATTAGGTAGAAGATGTCATACGAAGAATATGCGGAGGCAGGGCCCTCAAGCCTTGCAACTATACCATACGACCCTGATCAAGACCCTGAGGAACGACGCGACCTGCGCAAAAGGTATCGCGACCTGAGGGCAGAGATAGAAGGTCCGTGGCGCTGCAAACGTATTATTCTGCTCTAATAACGCAGAAATCACCAGAACGCCAGAACCAAGATGGTGCAGCTGAGTTCATGCTGCAGACCGTCAAGGTGGCCGACAAGCTCTTCGAGATCGGTAAGCGCATTCATAATAAAACAATGGCGTTCTGGATTTATGACATTATGATAGTGAAGGGCACAGGAGAGGCGACGCTCGACTCGGACCTCCTCGTCAAGGCGTCCGTCCAGTCTGCCATGATGGCGCGCGCGATGAAGTCCGGTAGCGGCGCATTCGACATAGACGACTACATCAGCAAGCTCGTCATCTTTATGGGCGGGCGTCACGATGTTGAGGAAGTTGAAGACGATGACAGAGACTCCTACGATGACGACGGAGACGGCGCCCCTCTCGAATGGGAGCGTATTGGCTGGAAAGCCATTGCAAAGAGCCACCGCGTGCCGGTCATGGACTTCATGTGCGTTTGCCGACGATCACTGTACATTTTGTTGAGCTTCTCATTTAGGCTGGGTCCGCTCTCTGTCGAGCAGAAGAAGCGGAATGTGACTAAGCGAGCCCGGCTCGAGAAGCACAAGGAAGACCAGAGAAAGCCACAGGAGATTACGGAGGACGATATCACGCGCTCAGGAAACGAGACAACCAAGAACGTGGCGGCAGTACGTGAAAATTGCCCATTTTCTTGCCGCCTGTCCTGATCACTCTATAGCTTGAGAGAATTCTCGAGACCATAGGCAAGGTCAACCTATTCAAGTTCATCGTCAACCCGAACGACTTCGCACAGTCGGTTGAGAATCTGTTTCACCTCTCATTCCTGATACGCGACGGCAAGTGCGCGCTGGAAATCGAGAATGGCGAGCCTATAATCTGTGAGTGGAGGCCCGACTAGCTCATAGTCCGTCCGTTAGACGCATACATGCCAGTTATTTGCGAAGCGCCGTCCGCAGATGACTATACCGAAGGCCTGAGAAAGCACCAGATGGTCATGGAGCTCGACATGGCCACTTGGAAGGTAAGCAATTTGGGTACACACTTCTTGCGTGGGCTGACAAGCATAACTTCTGAAGCGAGCTATCGAGGTGTTTGACATTCGGACCTCGACTATCCCTCAGCGCCCCAAGGCCGAGACGCGTATAGGCAACAAGTGGTACGGCTAGAGTAATTCATTTCCACTTCATCTACTGTATGTCTATAAGCTGCTACTAGTGGTGCATCGCGGTGCAAACGCTGTGAAGGCATTGATTACAACGATGCACATTCGCTGGATCCGTTGACAAGCATTCGTGCTTTCAAAGAAAATGCTCTCCGAGACGAGGCTTCGCAATAGTGAAGGAGACGCCGAGAGAGGCGCATGTGCGTGATAGAGTATCGAAATGGCGGTGGCTAGCGTAACTGGGCTGTCGGCCAATGGTCATGCTCTCAAACGCGGTGCTGCGAGAACGAAGTCTCGCGACAGCGTCAGAAAGCTCTGGCACAGGGAAGGGATCGTGATTTCGACCTTCGAGGGTGAGCGACCGGAGGCACGCAGGCAGCCCGTTGAAAAGCTTCGACGTGTACGTGCCGACCCCACATGCGAGGACTTCCACCGAAGTCAGTGACGTGATCATGTCGTCCAAAAGCGGAGCAATCTCGTCCTGGTCCAGTGCCTTGACGGTGAAATACCTCAGTGTGGGGAGATGTCGGGCGAGAATGGTGCCAAGCCAGGAGGCTGTGTCTGACTCGAGGCATGGCAGTAGGAGGTTCAAGTGGATCAGAGGGGATGTAATGGCTCTCAGCATCTCCTCAAGCAATCTAGGGCAGTGCTCCGTCAAGATAGCCAAGCTTAGACGGCTCAGTCTGAGAGCGATAGATGGTCGGATGGGAAGACTTTTCGGAATGAAAAGCGAGAGTCGTCTTAGGGAAGGGTAGGAGAGGATGTCGGACAGCCGTTCCGGATTTTCCAGCAGGAAGTAAGGATGGCCGATGATAATCTCATTCGAAGTACGAATAGCGGGAAATTGCAGCAGCGACATCGAACTGGCCTCGAGCGGCATCCGCTCAAACTTCACGGAAACTAGACCATTCTCCGGTAACAAGGCTATCCACTCCAGAAGGACATCCTTGGCGGGAAACTGGTGGAACAGCACAAGTGAGTGTACTAAGGTGCGCAAATAAGGCGAGGAGCGTAATAAGGCCTCGAGTTGGGCGGCGGAAGGGACTGACGTATTGAAATGGATGTGTCGGTAAAGCAGTACCCTGGAAGCGTACAACCACGTACGACAGAGCCGAGCTGTCGTTGCCAGATCATGAGGCGGAAGATCGTGCAATATCTCGAGTAGCACGTCTTCGATGCAGTTCTGGGCGATCAAGTGCTGCATCCCCGTAGGATGAACGTTCTGCGCAAATCATTTAGTCAGTGGAAACGGGGGCTTAAAGGGCCATAAAACTGACACACTGATGATGCAAACGTCACATGAAACCCGATAGTGCGATTCCGGACTTGAGAAAAGACCCCTGCTAGGAGTCTATACCTGATGCAGCTTCACGTTGTGGGAGGTCTCGGTAAGAAGTTGCGCAGGGCTCGGGCGCCCATCGCGTCCTATTCCCAGACCTCACCTCAAGTAGGGCTCGTCGACCCTTTACCTTCTATGCACGTAAGCCTTGCCTAGCCCCCCGACCTGCGAGACGCGTAGCGGGCACATTACTCGGAGATGTTCGTTCTTTCAATAATCAAAGTGAGTCTCCTTCACGACCAGCGTGGAAATTAGCTAATTTACACTCGAGTTCACGTAGGACACCGTTGCGGTCCACCCTTCTCATTTCGGCCTTCCACCGCAACAAGCTATCACAAATGAACTGAACAAGAAGTATGCGAATCGTGTTCTGCACGATGTCGGGTTATGTGTCAGCGTGTTCGACCTGGCGGAGGTCGGCGAAGGAAAGGTGAGGTACGGCGATGGTTTTCTGTGGTATAAAGGTGCGGTTGTCGCAGTCACAAGGTCTATTTGTGTCTTCTCACTTTGCCTTAGTTGTCTTTCGTCTTGTCGTCTTTCGGCCTTTCCCTTCGGAAGTCATATTAGCGAAAGTGAAATCCTCCGATGAGGACGGTATCAGATGTACGTTCAACGTGGTCTCGAAGATGACAGGTGCCCATGCCATCCCAGTGACTCTAGGCTTTTTTGACGATGTATATATCCCGCGAATATTCCTTCCTGAGCCGTCAGCCTTGTTAGTCTCCCCTTATTCTTACCATACACCGTATGCTGAGACAGCTACTTAGTGATCCTAACGAGCGGGCATACTTCTGGGTCGCAGATCCCGACTCAGTCACCCCAGACCTCCTTGATACGCCCCTCACGTCGCGAATGTACATTGATTCTAGCGAGGTGGTCCGTGTACGGGTGGAAGCCGACGAATTCTACGACGACGAGCCCGGTCCGCCGAAAGCGCAGGAGGGGGTTATGGCCAACGGACAGACGTCGAAAGAGAGAGAGGGGCGAAGAGCGCCGTATACGATCACAGTGCGTTCAAGTTGCGTTGCTTGTGGCTTCCATTGATCAGTCGGCAAATTTTAGTGCTCTATTGCTGAGCAGGGTCTTGGCCCTGTGCCGTGGTGGAAGAATGCAGGCATGGAAGCGATGGATGAAGAAGGCTAGACGGTGTATATACTCTTCGTTGCCGACTTTGCTCTCAATCGTATGTATGCCGACTGTCTGATGCGCATCTATCTCGCGCGGAAGAGCGACTCATGACTGCGAGTCAGCGCGCTACTAGAAACACCTCTTCATTATGCGAATATCGGCTGCGTGGTAGTGCCTGTAGGTAGGACATCGCCCGCGCGCAGTGTAGATACACCGCGCTATGTTAAATCAGAAGGTACTAGAGATCACTGCAAAGGTGGCCTGGCATGTGGACGACGCGCGCAGCAGCCCTGACCATAGAGGAAGCACAGCACCTTGAAATGCGCGTGCGTATTCGGACGTGCGTGGGATGCCCAGGCTATCTGCAATTCTGGTCAAAGCAACCCTTGATCTTGATTCGCACCTTGGCATCTCGACTCGCTTTGGGATTCGTTCGAGTTTCCAGTGCGCTTAAGAAAGCTTTCATGCTTCGTGCTTCAAGTTGGTCTGCACATGTCTCACGCTCATGAAGAAATACATCTCTTGAGAGGAAGACAGGTACAAGCTATTGCGCACTGAATAAATCGCATATAAACGGACACAACAACTGGCGATAAGCCCTGTCATCACCCGTTAGGTCCAGAAATGCCAACTTCCGAAGACGTCCGCCATTACTCATGCATTGGTACTGTGATTGGCGAGTCGAGCGCATGTCTCTAGATGTGTGAAGCGAGTCCATTCCTTTAAGTGAGAATCAGTCGAAGATCCGAGATAAGACGATGACGAGAGGGTTTTGTCTTGCCAGTTCGGTCTGGAAGAACAGACAAGGGCGAGATCGAAGAGCAAGAGTCGGGGCAACGAAAGCGATCGAAGCTTAGACCGAAGAGAGAGCGAAGGTGACAAGTCAGAGCAAGAATGCAGAGCAGCGTGGATTGAAGAGTATGTAGGAGCAAAGAAGTCTTTTTTCTTCTTCCTAAAGTTATGGTGTTACCGACATGGGGCGATGTCTGGTAGTGCACACGGGCAGCCCGTTGTTTGATTGGCGCCGTCCTCGTGGCGCAGGGTAAGCTATTTGCCCTTGTTGGCGACCACCTGCAGCCGCACACTAAACGTCCCACGAGCCTGAGCTCCTTCCCGTCTGCGAACGGAAATGCCCAGCAGGATGCATGGAAAAGGTGGCAGCTCATGCACATGTCTGCACCTTTACTGTTTCGCATGCCTGTCCCCGCGCGCTTCGGTTATTGCTATCTCGCAAGGGCTCTCAACTGCTGGGTATGGGTCTATAAGACCGGGCACGTGCCTAAGGTAACTGAAGAAGGTACTAATGTGTCTTAGCTGTGGGGAAATGCAGGTCTAAGGCTACTATCTTCGGTGAGCTCGGAGCTGCAAGTTAGCTACGAGAGTCTTCTCGACACCGAGCTTGACTCAAGAGCCTGAGCTATCGCCAGATTCAGGTATGGTAGGTGGATCTTCGCATAGCACCAGAATGACAGTTGGAAATCAGAGCACCACTCTGCAGCAGTTCACCAGTCATGCCATTAGCTCGGTCAAATCCTCTTCGCTTCTCTGTATGACAGGAGCAAGACCTTATAATCAGCATTAGGGAGGATTCCCCAACTCAACTCAGTTGCGATTCCCCCCACCATTTTCCATGTCATCCTCTTGCAGCTCATTGCAAGAGCTCAGCGACGCCCTCTCTCGCTTGTCGACTAAAGACGACAAGACAGCCGAGGTCATCGGCTGGATTGAACGTCGCGATTCGAAGCCTCCTTTGACATCACTTCACCATCCTGTTGGAGGAAACGCATCTGGCTCAAACGGCGATCCTGTGCGCAACTTCATTGGTACTCCGATATGGGCGACCTTTCTTGCGCATCACGGACTGTCGGACACCGATGTCGCGTACACAATGCTGCGCAAAACGTCGGAGGAGCTACCACAGTTCCTCCCGCTTTCTGCGCCGTGTGCGTACGCGAACCCCGCCAAAGCGGACGAATGTCCTAACCCGGGCTTGCAGGTGTGCAGCGGCTGCCGCCTGGTAAAATACTGCTCCAAGGTGCGCACATGGTGCATCGACGCATGAAAATGTGGCTTATTTTGTGGCTCATATGACAGGAATGTCAGCACAAGCACTGGAAAATCCACGCTCTGGGTATACTCTATGGCAACCTTCTCCCTAGTGGCTATTCTCATGCCCGATAGACTGCAAGGCTCGTATTCGGTCGGAGCAGTGGCAGCCCGCGTGGATTGAGGAAAGACGTCTGCCTACGTTTATGACTGGTGAGCCGGGAATGCACCCCCTGAGCCGAGGGCTCCGTCTGTAAGATCCGTAACATGTGATCCTCCATGTGTTATCTTAGCTGTTTGCCGATCTAGATGGGGAGCTATGCCTCCCACAGACATCCTAAAGCTGCCGGACACCGATGCAAAGTCTCTATCGGACCTGAACCTCATCTTCATCGGTAGGTATCATGATGCCGCCGACCACATTACATGATACTTATCTGAGTATCAGCATCCGGAGATCTTCGCAATGTTTTGAAGACCGTCAATGGCCTGTCACGGGACTATGTCGGCAGGCTAACTGTCGTCATGAACGATCGAGAAAGTTACGTCACCCTACGCAATATACTCATACTGCAGATCCTCGCCAAACTTTCGAACAAGCGCAAGGCCGCCGACTTGGCGCTACACCTCTGGTACTCTGCCTTCATCCCAGCCACGTATCACAGCGAGATACTACCTATCGGAGAGGAATTAGCCACAGGCACCGGGTTCCTGCATACGCAACTAGGCCCAAAAGCTGTTCTCGATGCGGACATCAGCCAGGATCTGCGCACGCTCTGTGGAGCGTTGATGACCTCCTCAAAGATGTACGGTATGGGCGACGCTGCGAATGAGCTTGGCCGCGTCCGGTAAATACAACACCTGTTTCACGTCCTTCTGTAATCTGACAACCTCGTCGACAGGTCTGATCCTGACCGCATAGACATTCGCCATAGGTATTGGAATTCATGCGAGCCTTCACACCGACTGGCACTGCTTGAGCACAACCACTATGGCATCGTGCTCCCCTTTGGTGCGCACAACACGCACTTCAATTCCCCGAACAGGTTCCTCTTCTCTCCGTGCGGCGAATGGCTCCAAGACGACGGCGCGAACCCATTGTACTCTTGGAAGTAAGCCATCTCTCTCATATCTGGCGCATATACACGCTGATAAACGACAAAACAGCATCGAGGAGGTCATAGAATCTGGCAAAGCCCATGGCACGACGCGCGAGGATCTGTACGGCTGCCTCTACTACCACGTCACCTCGCAGCTGCAGACGTTCGCAGAGCGGCTCGCACGCATGGATATCTCCATCAAGATCGCGAACATGGACGCGATCGCCCTCGCGACGAGCATCCGGCGCGGCGACCTTATGCGCATCGGGATCCCGGAAGAGATGCGCTTTGATCGCATCGACGCCTCGAATCTCGTCGATCAAGACTACCTCGGGATCCCGAGTATCCTGGATGCTTGGGGAGGATTTCTGAAACGAAGAGACGATGCGACGATCGTTGGGCATTTCATGAACTGGCCAGTGCGCGAGCCTGGCGCTTGGCCCAGCGCGGAAAACATGAAAGGACTTGTCGGTAAGCTTGTGAATGATGGCAAGGTGCGCTCTGCTGCATCATAATTTTACACTTGAACGCTGTCTCACTACGCTTCCCTTGCACAGATCACACCGCCGGATCGTAGCAAAATGCATACTAGGGATGACATGAGAGGTACCTCGGCTCGATGCTCCTACGCCTTTAGTACGTCGCTCCTGACCACGTGCATACCTGCAGCTTGGAGAGAAAAAGTCACTATTACTGTAAGCGCATCAGCTGCCGCGTACCACGACAACTCGAAGGCATTCGAGGCGCACCTCACCAAGCAAGGTCTCGCCGCTGCGCTGAAGAAGGCGGGCCTCAAGCGCAGATTGAAACACGAAATCGTCCCGCACGTGCGTATCCTTCATAGCCGCGCTTGTCTCTGACTCCCACTGCCGTTGTAGCGTCTCTATGCACCGCTCGACGGCACGCCGTCGGCCTTGCCGGACTTCAAAGACAAGGAGAGCTGGTACCTGCAGGTTCGTACGTGTTCCTTCTCAGACTGTTGGTGTCTCTCATGTGTGGCATGTGCAGTCGAGTATCGCAGCGCCGATGTGGACCGAGCGTTACATCGAGATCGTGCCTGCGTAAGCGCAATTTCGCAACAGTGAGCGAAGGCAGAAATTATGTGTACTGAAGCAAGAGGCAGAGGGCTCCGCGGTGCATGACCGGACGTGCGTGCTTGTTCGTGCACCGTGTGGCCGTTCCATTTCTGCACTCTGGACTAGGTTGTTGTTGTATCTCTTGGCGATCGTGTAGATTATTGTTTGCTACTTAGCACTCCAAGTCTTAGATAGCGGTTATGAGTATCAGATGCGAGTCATGCGACGATTATTGCCTCTAAACAGTTTTGCTGAATGGTGGCTCCTCCGACTGCTCTTGATCAATGTCGGCCTCAACATACGAGTGCGGTCAACGATTGCTCAGCTGCATCGCTGGGGAAGCTGCGCCATGGTCAGGGAGGTCGAGCCAGACGCCCGATCGACCAAGCGAGTGTAAGAGAGAGCGCCATGGATAGGTTCACGCTTCCGTGGCTGGATTCTCTCTTGCGGCAAACGAGAGATCTGCATAATGCCTCTACTTCTCTTCGCTATCTTGATATCCCTATTGTCTCTTCCTTCGACATTACAGTATCATCACCTCGCTTCAAGTTCTTCTCGGCACGGACGGTATTGCTGGGGTCCCAATATTAATCATTGAGGAGGAACGGGGTGAGGACTCGGAGTTCACATTAAATGTCAACGCTCAGTGTTGCTAAGTCACAATCCAGATCCCGGGCGTTGCGGCGCCGGCGTGCTACGAGAGAGGTACGGAATGAGCGATTCAAGCTGTAGCCCCGTTATTTGATTGGCGCTGTCATCGTGGCGCAGGGTAAGTTATATATCCTTACTGGCGTACACACACCGGTACCTCCGCACCTGGGCTCCTTCATACCTAAGCGCAAACTAAAGCTGCTCTTTCTTCCATATACCTTGATATTGAGCATCGTCATTCCCAGACGCAAACTTGCTCCCACACGATTCGATTGTTGCTGTCCTGCAAAGAATCTCAGGTGCTAGGTATGGATCTGCAAGACTGGGCACGTGCCCACAAGAAATTGCGAAAATTAGCAATATTGCATGCTAGATGTAGATGATATGTATAAGACTGTTATTGTCAATGAGCCAGGAAGCTGCAATGTAGCTACAATAACACCGAGCTCGACCCACAGCTTGATCGTCAAGTTCAGGCGTGGCAAGTTAGGTTTTGCGTTATTTTAGCCTGCACAGGACGCCTGGGCGTCTTGTAACTGACGCGTAAGCTTAAACATCAGTTTCGGGCTTTCGCGGGAGAAATGGTCATTGTTACCGATTACTTGATCATAACGAATCCTCTTGTCGGGTCTACATTTCAAAAGATGGGACTGTTTGAGGTCGGAACGCCACTCCGCGGCAGTTCGCCAAACAAAAACGGCAGTTCCCCGTCGTGCCATCATCTCGGTCAAACCCTCTTCGCTTCTCTGTATGGCAGGAGCGAGCACTGATAATCAGCGCTATAAAAATTTGCAGGCAAACTCATCTTTTATCACCCCCGCCATCTACCATGTCATCCTCTAGCCACTCTTTACAAGAGCTCAACGACACCCTCTCTCGCTTGTCAACCAAAGACGACAAGACAGCCGAGGTCATCGACTGGGTAGGACGCAACAGCTCAGAGCCTCCTTTGACAACGTTTCACCTTCCCGGTGGAGGAAACGCATTTGGCCCGAACGACGATCCTGGGCATGACTTCATTGGTACTCCGATGTGGGCGACCTTTCTTGCACGTCACGGGTTGTCGGACACCGATGTCGCGTACGCAATGCTGCGCAAAATGTCAGAGGAGCTGCCACAATTCCTTCCGCTTTCTGCGCCGTGCGCGTATGCGAACCCTGCCAAAGCGGATGAATGTCCTAACCCGGGCTCACAAGTGTGCAGCAGCTGCCGCCTGGTAAAATACTGCTCCAAGGTGCGCACATGGTGTATCAACGCGTGAAAACCCGGCTTATCTTGTGGTTCGTATCACAGGAATGTCAGCGCAAGCATTGGAAACTTCATGCTCAGGGTATACTCTATGGCAACCTTCCTCTCCGCGGTTATGCTGATACCCGACAGACTGCAAAGCCAATATTCGGTCGGAGCAATGGCAGCCCGCGTGGATCGAAGAAGGACGCCCGCCTACGTTTGTGAGCGGGATACCGCGAAAGCACCCCCTAAGTCAAGGGCTTCCTCTGTACGATCCATTACATATGATTCCCCGTATATCATCTCAGCTGTTTGCCGATCTAGATGGGGGACTATGCCTGCAATAGACATCCTAAAGCTATCTGCTAATGATGCAAAGTCTTCATCGGATCTGAACCTCGCCTTCGTTGGTGCGCACCATGCTACTGCAGCAACCACAGGATATAGCACTCATCCGAGTATCAGCCTCGGGAGATCTTCGCAACGTTGTGAAGACCGTCAATTGCATGCCACGGGACTACACTGACAAGCTGACCATCGTCATGAACGATCGCGACAATTACGTCACCCTGCGCAACATACTCATGCTGCAGATCCTCGCTAAGATTCCGAACAAGCGCAAGGCCGCCGACTTGGCACTGCACCTCTGGTACTCTGCCTTCGTCCCAGTCATGTATCACACCGAAATCCTACCCATTGCAGTAGAGTTGGCCACAGGCACTGAGCTCATGCATACGCAACTAGGACCGAACGCTGTCCTCGACGCGGACATCAACCAGGATCTGCGCATGCTCTGTGGAATGTTGGCGATCTCCCCAAAAGCGTATGGCATGGGTGACGCTGCAAATGAGCTTGGCCGCGTTCGGTGAATACGATGCTTGGTTCACGTTCTTCTGTAATCTGACAACCTCGTCGATAGATTCGACCCTGACCGCACAGATCTTCGCCACAGGCAATGGGCTCGATGCGAGCCTTCGCATCGGCTGACACTGCTCGAGTATAATCGCTTTGGCATCGTCCTTCCATTTGGTGCACACGATGCGCATTTCAACTCGCCGAACCGTTTCCTCTTCTCTCCACGTGGCGAATGGCTTCAGAGTGATGGCGCGAACCCACTGAACTGCTGGAAGTAAGCTATATGTCCCATATATGGCACATATACCCACTAACGAGCGACAATACAGCATCGAGGAGGTCATAGAATCTGGCAAAGCCCATGGCACGACGCGCGAGGACCTGTACGGCTGCCTCTACTACCATGTCGCCTCGCAGCTGCAGACGTTCGCGGAGCGACTCGCACACATGAATATCTCCATCAAGATCGCGAATACGGACACGATCGACCTCGCGACGAGCATCCGGCGCGGCGACCTTGTGCGCATCGGGATCCCGGAAGAGATGCGCTTCGACCGCATCGACGTCTCAAATCTCGTCGACCAAGACTACCTCGGGATCCCGAGTATCCTGGATGCTTGGGGAGGATTTCTGAAACGAAGAGACGATGCGACGATCGTTGGGCATTTCATGAACTGGCCAGGGCGAGAGCCCGGTGCTGAGCCCGGGAAAGAAGACATGAAGGAAGTTGTTGATAGGCTTATGAATAGTGGCAAGGTGCGCTCCGCCGCGTCATATTTCGATCCTTAAATGCCATCTCACTGCGCTTCCCTCGTATAGATCACACTGCCAGACCGTGGCAAAGTGCACAGCATGGATGACATGAAAGGTACCTTGACCCGATGCTCCTACATCTTCAGTACGTCGCTGCTGACCACATACATATTCACAGCTTGGATGGGCAACATCACTGCCACGGCCCACGCATCAGCCGCCGTGTACGACAACTCGAAGGCGTTCGAGGCGCACCTCACCAAGCAAGGTCTCGCCGCTGCGCTGAAGAAGGCGGGCCTCAAGCGCAGATTGAAACACGAAATCGTCCCGCACGTGCGTGTCCTTCCATCATAGCTGCGCTCGTCTCTGACTCCCACTGCCTCGCACGCTGCTAACGCACTGCCGTTGTAGCGTCTCTGTGCACCGCTTGACGGCATGCCGTCGACCTTGCCGGACTTCAAGGACAAGGAGAGCTGGTACCTGCAGGTTCGTACATGTTCCTCCCCAGGCTGTTCGTGTCTCTCATGTGCGGCATGTGCAGTCAAATATCGCAATGCCGATGTGGACCGAGCGTTACATCGAGATCGTGCCTGCGTAAGCGCAATTTCGCAACAGTGAGCGAAGGCGGGAATTATGTATACTGAAGCAAGAGGCAGAAGACTCCGCGGTGCATGACCGGACGTGCGTGCTTGTTCGTGCACCGTGTGGTCGTTCCGCCTCTGTATTCTGCACTAGGCTGCTGTTCTATCTCCTGACAACCGTTTACACTGTTTGCGGTTTACTCTTAGCTAGCGTCTATGCGTGTCGTGTGCGATGATGCATTACCTCCATATGTTTTGTTTGGTGAGCGGCAGCGCACGATCACACAGTGAAGTCAGCTGCGTCGCTGGCAGCCGAGCGTGTCGTCTCGACATCATTTTTACGTAAAAGAGATGTGGCGTAAGCATCAATGTTGAACTCGCTGAAAACTTACATAAAGCTTCCAACGTTTGTTGCACTTTCATCCCCACCTTCTCCACGTCGTCCCTGAGCTCGCTGTTGACATGATCTACGACTCCCGGTTGGGGACGGTTATTGGAGATCCCAAGCCCGAGAAGGCCTGTAACTGGAAGGAGTGTCCGAATGAAGGGAATTTGAAAGGGTCAAGCAATGCTCAAAGTGTACTTGGGTGCGCTATTGTGTATGTGGCATCCCATCCAATGTTCGAACACTCTCCCTCACGCCATGCCACTTCTCCCGTAGAGCCGAGAGTGTCAAATCGCAGACTGGCCCGAACACAAGGCGGTCTGCAAGAAACCGCAGATGTTAGACATTGGTGCATGGCTAGAGGTACGCAAACCGCGCAGTCTCGGGTTCGCAACGCTGACAGCTGACAGCAGAAACACGCCTGGCTTTTCCGCTGGGCAGCATACCGACTTCTCTGCACGGAGGGCATGAACCTGACCCATGCGCTTTTCGTGGAAGTGACACGTGCGGACCGCCTCGTGGGGCCAACGCCGTAGTCCTTCCTCGTTGATACGGTGTGCCCCGTGACACATGGGCTCGCTGAGCAGCACTGGAACTGCGGCATGCCCTTTTTCAGTGCCTCCGACCGCGAGAAGTGTAGCGCGATTCAGGCGCGCGGTGGGCAGGGCCTTGCGCTCCTTGGTTTCCGCGTCCCAGGCCCGAGGGGCACGAGCATGTTCTGGTTCCAGCGCTTCGAGATCGAAGAGCGTGTGCCTGCGGCGTGCGACATCGCCTTCGAAGAGGTGTGCAAGCTCGTGAAAATGGTCGCGAACTGTGAGTTGCCGGAGCAGGTGGTACGCCAGTACATCTCAGCAAAAGCTCTGCGCAACTCGGTAGCCTTGGAGAACTTTGAAAAGATCAATATTCTCGAGATGCCACCTCTCAGATCAAATGCGATCAGGTCCAAGCGTAAGCGCAAGCGGATAAGCAAAAATTAAAAGGGATCCTCGCATCTTGGATATGTGCATGTGTTCACGAATTTTGTGGCAGGGAGCGTGTTTTGAGACCTATGTTCATCGACTACGCCTATGTCTCTTCAATGTTCGATTGAGGATGTCGGCAAAGGTGCAGGCCGGCGCGATCTTTTGTCAACCAGGACTAAGTAGTGACTCTGTATAGTGAGCCCAGCAGCTGAGACAATCAATTTGTTGAATTGAAACGCGCGACTTGGATAGGGACGATTCTAATCCCGTGCTCGGTCGCCAGCCTCTCCGCCATTTAAACCGGCCTTCGCCTTGTATCTCTCCTTCAACCTAACCTCCATCACCTCTATCAGCATCCGAGTTACCAAGAACCTATCACGCATCGAAGTCAGCTGCGTCCTAGTGGTGATGCAAAGCCAGCATCGAGGTCGCATTTCTTCACCATCATTGCTTCACTTACGTAAAAAAGTCATATGACGTTGGCATCAACGTCGGGCTTGCAGACCCTCAGCAACTCTCTCCACGCTCACTTGCACAACATCCCAACGTTTTCGGGGCTATGAGCGCATATATACCCTAATCCACAACTTCCAGCCATCGTGGCACTTTCATCTCCACCTTTTCTCTTCACGCTGTCCCTAGGCTCGCCGTCGATATGATCTACGATTCCCGGATTAACTACCTGTTTCTGGATCCTAAGCCCGAGAAGGCCTGTCAATGGGAGGAATGCCCGAATGAAGGCAACCTAAAAGGACTGCAAGTCAAACAGTGTTCGAAGTGTACAGGGGTGCGCTATTGTGTGAGCGACAGCCCGTTCAGTTGTCCACCGTTATCCCTCAAATCACATCATCTCACCCACAGAGCCGAGGGTGTCAAACCGCGGACTGGCCTGAGCACAAGACAGTCTGCAAGAAGCCGTACGCGGCGGACATCGGTGCATGGCTGCAGGTACGCAAATACTGCAGTCGTGGGTTCACGACGCTTACAGCTGACGACAGGAACACGCTTGGCTTTTCCGCTGGGCAGCATACCAAATTCTCCGCATGGAAGGCATGAACCTGACGATGACACACGCTCTTCATTGACGTGATTCGCACGGACCACCTCGTGGGACCGACGCCGCTGTCCTTCCTCGTCAAGCGGGTATACCCTTTGCGACACGAGCTCGCTGAGAAGTGCTGGGACGGTGGCATACCCGTCTTCGCCCCCAATCGCGAGGAGTGTAGCGCGATCCAGGCGCGCGGCGGGCAGGGTCTTGCGCTCCTCGCATTTCGTGTCCTGTGCCCAAACGACACGGCTCTCGTCTGGTTCCAGCGTTTCAAGATTGAGGAGCGTGAGCCTGCGGCGCACGACATGCGATTGGAGGAGGTGGTACGAGCTCGTGAAAATGGTCGCGAACTGTGAGCTGCCGGAAAAAGCAGTGCGCCAGTTCATCTCTGTGGAAGCTCTGCGCAATTCGGTACCCTTGGGGAACTTTGAAAAGGTCGAGCACCACGATCTGCCACCTCCCAAGCCAGATGCGGTCAAGTCCAGGCGTAGGCGCAAGTAGACGGAAAAACGCCAAAAGAGGTCCCCGCGTCTCAGCTGCGTCATGCGTTCCGGACGCAACGATGTATAAATGTGTTCGCGAACTTTGTGACAGGGAGTGGGTTTAGATACTTATGTTCAATGGCTATGCTGAATACTCCATTGAGGATGTCGGCGAAGGTGCAGGCCGCGATCCCCGTCCGTCAATCCGAGAGCACGACAACAGTCACGGAGACAACTTGTTGGATTGAAGTGCATGATTTCGATACGGACTGTGGACGACATTTCCATGCTCGGTGACCGTTCGGGGGCATGCACTCGTGCCCGTCGGCCCATACCAGCCTCTTCGTGATCTAAATCAGCCTCCGCCTCGTATCCCTCCTTCAATCTAATCTTCATCGCCTCTATTAGCATCTCAGCTGCCAACAAGTCACAAATTATCACGCATCGAAGTCAACTACATCCTACAAAACCAGCATCCATCGCTTCACTTACGTAAAAAAAGTCATGTGGTGTTGGCATCAATGTTGAATTCGCCGAAAACTCGAAGGCCTCAGCAGCTCTCTCAACGCTTCCAAGGTCACGAGTGCATATACTCATAGCATAACATACTCTAGTTCACAGCTTCCAGTAGCACTTTTATTCCACCTTCTCTCTTCACGTCTTCCCTAGGCTTGCCATCGACATGAGTTGCAATTGCCCGCAGATTATCAGGGTTTCTGCAATTACCAGCATGAAGCCCGAGAAGGTCTGCCGCTGGAGGGAATGTCCGAACAAAGGAAACTCGAAAGGGCTGCAATTCAAGCAATGCTCGAAGTGCAGTTGGGTGTGCTATTGTGTACGTAGCAATTCGTCCAGTTTTCCAGCATTCTCCCTTAATAGTATCATCTTTCCCAGAGCCGAGAGTGTCAAATCGCAGACTGGCCCGAACACAAGGCGATCTGCAAGAAACCGCACAAGGTGGACACCGGTGCATGGCTAGAGGTACGCGAACCGCGCCGTCCCGGGCTCGCAGCGCTGACAACAGAAATACGCCTGGCTTTTCCGCTGGGCGGCATATCAAATTCTCTGCACGGAGGGCATGAACCTGACGATGACGCACGCGCTCTTCATTGACGTGACGCGCACGGATCGCCTCGTGGGGCCAACCTCGCTCTCCTTCGTCGTCGAGAAGGTGTATCCCGTGCAACACGGGCTCGCCGAGCGACACTGGCACCACAACGAGCCCTTCTACAGCGCCGCCGACCGCGAGAAGTGTTGCGCGATCCAGGCGCGCGGTGGGCAGGGCCTCGCGCTCGTCGTATTCCGTATCATACGCCCAGACGGCACATGTATGTTCTGGTTCCAGTGCCACAAGATCGAGGAGCGTGTGCCTGCGGCGCACGACATGGACTTGGAACAGGTGTCTAAGCTCGTGAAATCGGCCACGACCTGCGAGTTGCAAGAACAGATAGCGCGCCAGTTCTTCGCCAGAGGCTCTGCAAAGTCTTCTGCCCTTGAAGAAACCTCAGCCTGAAGAGGTCAATATTCTCCGATGTGCCACCAGACGTGGTCAAAGTCAAAGCGTAAGCGCAAGCGGATGGGCAAATGCTGAAAGAGATCATCGCGTCCTGGCTGCTTGGTGTGTCCTGGACGCATGGAATGTATGCATGTGTTCGCGAACTCTGTGGCAGGAAGTGTGTTTAGGGACTTAACTACGCGTACACCTCTGCAACGTTCCAATGAAGATTTCAGCATCGGACGAAGGTGCAGGCCTTAGGCTTCAGGACTCACTGCTGCAGGCGCGCACCCGAGGGTCGTTGAGTCCAGTAGCTACGAAGACAGCTTGTTTCTCCTCTGTAACATTCTTGTTAAATAAACAGTCTTCGCGAGTATTAGTAGAATTCGTCGTGGTCAGCAAGGCCCAGCTATCTCTGCCAACAGCAGCCGAATGAGTATTTGCGCACATGCAGCTCTGAAGACGCCACAACTTACTCCGTTCCTGGATGATCCGATCATCGTCGAGACTACCAAGGAGACGTTGGTCATTCTGAGAGGTGGCAGAAGAAGTTGAGAGTGTTAAGGACGAGATTGGGCTGGAAACCGCATCGTTAGCTTGGTGAAGAAAAGAAATTAAACCAGTCACGACGACACTCTGGGCGTTGCTCTGCCCGTCAGTGGGCCGTCACTGATGCATCACGAGGGGCAAATCCCCGACGCAACCATTAACACAGTCCCCAGCTAAATAGTATAAGGTTTCAGATGAAAAGACGCAAGGTTTGAAAATTGACTACAGTAAACCTGCGCACCAGAAGGACGCCCGCTACGCACGTGACTAAGACTAGACGCATCAAGCGGGGTTGATGCGCCATCGCTCGCTCCCGCGGCATACCTGGCAGTTCCACATCTTACGCTCATGGCCATTCTACCTTTGTGACCGTCGTTGCACTCTACGGTCGTCGAATATCTTATAAAGAAGGTGATGGTATGGCACAGGTCTTAGGAGCACAGTCCCATAAAGCTCTCCAGTACTACAACTCCGAGGACGCGGGGCTCTAGACAACGAGCTATTGCAAGCACGCAAACGCGCTTTCCATTGCATGTCTAGATTGAATGTCACAACTCACGACGACGACAGTTATACACGCCAGATATGAGTGTACAACTCCGCCAAATGTATTGAATTCGAACGTGAGTAATCTCGTGGAGATATTTCCCGCTCGGGTTGGGAGATGTCCTCTCAGATCTAGAAATTGTTCTAGCTCACGATTATACCCCAAATACAGAACGCCAGGTTCACGCCGTCATGCACACGGCCACCGCCGTAAAGTGCGGACCTCGTGAGTTTGTCAATCGCACCATCTGTGTCGCGTCGTCACCTTCTTCAAATTGTGGTCTACATGAGTGTAAGAGCCTAGGAATCTAGCGACAGAAAGATACCTAGACATTTCGCGCAGCTATAGAACTGACTATATCGTGTTAGATCAAAGCACATGATTTCGATGCGGACCGAGGGCGATATCTCCGTGCTCGGTGTGGGAGATAGCCTTTGATCGGCGGAAGTCACCTTAGAACGCGATCGTACCCCGAAGCCAGCCGATGTCAGCCCATGCTAGCCTCTTCGCGATTTAAACCGTCCTCGTCCTCGCGTTCTCGCTTCATCCCATCCTTCATTATATCCACTAGCGTCTCGCGTGCCGACAATCCATCTGCTCACAATTTGCATCATGACTACTGCTACCTTCTTAGGTCCTACCCCCTCGCTCCCTGCGAAGGTCGCCAAAGCTTTCGAAATCGAGGCCGGGGTCGTTGCCGCGTACTATCCCGGCTGGTACAAGGCCGCTGACTACTTCAGTTGGGCTGGTCCGTTCTTTGGCGCGTTGGAGGCAAGTACATCTCAGTGTACTTAAATGTCCTGACTTTTGCTGACGAGCAAGTCTCTTCCAGCCTTCGGCCTCCCGAACTGTCGATGTTACCGCCGAGAAAACTAAGAACGCTTGGGTTCAGCTTCTCGCGTTTGGCGACGTTTTCGAGTTCTGCCACTCGCTCATTGATGACACTGCTTGGGATCCTATCGGCCTCGCCTCCTTGTTCAAGGTCCCAGTCCTCAATCCCGCAAGCATTGACCTCCTAGGCGACTCCGACGACTCCTTCGCTGAGCCGACCACTCCTACTGAGAATGACTTCGAGCCTCTCTCTGCTCCACAGTTCCTCGAGGCTGTCAAGGCGCGTGCGAAGGCCGCGGACTGTTCTCTTGCATGCGTCTCTCCCTCTTCACCGGCCACTACGATATTCATCGACGGCGAGGTCATCCCCGCTCTCACCGCGGAGGACCGTCAGCTCGCCTTTAAGCACCGTGTCCTCGCTCGCGCCGGCCTCTCTGCCTCTGCACCTACCTCCGTTCCCGCCTCTGACTCCCCCAGCAAGCCTCTCAATGTCTCGGCGAGGCCCTTTAGGCCCTCGGCGGAGACGGCGGCGCTCGCAGTCTACATGAGCAGGAACCCTGGCGACGCGAAGGCCGCGGCGAAGCTCTTCCAGATGCGCATGCGCGTCCAGGCGTGCGCGGGCTAGGTCGCTCGCTGTCCGGGATTCCCTCTGGTTTCCATCGGCCTTGGTCACTCGTCTTCCGATATACTCTGTCTCCAACCTCTCGGTTTTTTGGGCGTCCTCGCTAGCCTTAGGCTCTGTCGGCGTCTCGGTAACTCTACGCGCGCAGTCGAGCCTCCCCTTGGGTCCTCTTCGACGACATTCGTCCTTGTATCCTACCATCTTTCCCGGCTCTCGGTGCTTCATTCGATCCACGTGCCTCCACCCGGTTTCATGTACTTGGTCTCGTTCTTTCCAGGCTCTGGCGGTCTCGGTTTCAGTTTTTTGGAGGGGTTCTTTCCTCTCTCGCTTCGGTCTTCGGTCCGCGTCTCGGCTCATATCACCACACAAAAAGCTGCAAAAAATGTAACTGGGACAAAAGTAGAAAAAATATAAAAGCAATTTGCGTAGATGAAGTTTGTGGCTAGGGACAAAAATACCAACCATGCAGTGCACTGGGCTGTCACGTGTACCCTCTTTCGCCAGACGTGCCTGTACAATGTCAGAAAATACAGCCCGATGCGCGAGGTCGTGTTGGGATAGTGTTGGAAAGCCGTATATAGGAGGACGAGAAATAGCGTGCGGTGATAATAATACATAATGGAAAGTCCACGTTCGATCTCTTTTCGACGGCGGCACCCCCACATTCGTTATTCCCTTCTATTAATACGATACGAATGTCTTCACCAGACCTTACGTCTCAGGCCGCGCTCGCAATACGTGACGATAGCGTCGTACGGCGAGTATACGTGCTCCGAGTACGCGCCGTCTTCATAGAGCGGCTGAGGCCTTGCGCCTGTAGAGGAGCTGAGCGTCAGATCAGATGTTTTTGCAAGAAGCACGACGGGCATGTCGATGGATTGGGTAAGAAATACTTACAGCTGCCAGTATGCCGCGACGAAGGGGAGCGAGAAGCCGAAGCCGACGAAGGCTAGGTACTTGGCGCGGAACGTGGCTTTGCTGCCAAAGGCAAAGGGCATGTGCTAGAGTTGTGTGCAGTAAGCGAGCCTGGCTCTTGTAAGCTCAAGAGGGCACGTACCGGTGGGTGTGCATGATCGAAGTGCGAGGCACGCGCGGCGCGTGGCACGACGCGGAGGGCAGTTGCAGCTTGTCGGGCGAGCAGAGACATCTCTTATGAGCGGTAGTGTAGCCTCGATAAGCTAAAGTGGTCGCCTTGCGAGCGGTGATTGTTTGATAATAGAAGAGACGGAGTAGTGGTTCGGAGGGGTGGAGAGCTCAGCCTGAGTGGTGGGTGCCCTCCTCGAATCCGCCGCTCCGTTTAAGTATCCCCAGGAGCCCCAACTACTCGGTGGGCTGACTGTGGAAGACGGTGCGACAAGAGATCGCATGTCTGCGACCAGAATGTGCGTAGGCCCAAGCTAGAATGGATCCGGACGGTCGAGACACGATCTCTGGAGGCCGCCCATGGATGAAGGTGCGACACTCTCCATCATGGCATACGAGTGGTAAGGGTGAATTTGTAGAGACTAGGGGCTCCGAGCTGCCGAGCAGTCGTTACGGTCCTACCATGGCCGACAATGCTTCAGCGTCGAGACCACTTGTAATTATGGCACGGCATGATTATAAATTCACCTATCGTTGAGTGCAAGATTTGTTCGAAGCTTCGGAGCGCAGAAATAATCGAGCTAGGGGTGAACCGATGAACGATGAACGGCGGTCGAGCCTCTGAGAGAATGAAGGCCGTTATGGGTCCAGAGCGTTCGGGCCATCTGGTTTTTTGGCGTTTAAATTGATAAGTAGTATTATGTCTAATCTGTATCTGTGATATTGCCGCACTGGCATAGTGGGAGCGCGTCGCACTTGTAAATGCGATGCATGCGAAGGTCATTCGTTCAACCCGGGTACGTGGCATACTCTTTTTCTTGTTTTGTTCTCTGCTCACACCGCGAGATGAGATAACTAGTATCGATTCGTTGCGGTGACCTTTTAGAAACATCGTAGAAACACGGACTGACAGATTCATAACCCAAACGACGCTGTCCTTTACTCAACTCGAAGAATACCACGTTTCCGCAACTCCGGCAAATTTCTCCACAGCATCTTAGCTCCCTCGCATCCTATGCGAACTTCTACTGGTTCTAGAGAACCCGGATTTCCGGTGGACATAGCGGAGCCTGCTAACGTCTGCCTGATCGTGACACGACGTACTTGTCCAAAGCTGCAGAGGAGCGTGTCTAAGGCGCGCAAGGCAGTGCCATAGCGGCTCGTGTCTCGCAGGGACACGCTCTGCATATCCAGTGAGATTATGACCTCGGAGATGGGAAGAGGGACGGGCAGGAATGCAAGGTATTCGACGATGGCCTTTGCAGCCGCTGCTTGTTCCAAATCGTATAGGAATAGGTCCAGCGTGCGCAGATTGACGCATTGAGAAAGCGCCCCAAGAAGCGCCGGATATCCTGTATCATCGAAGAGTTAGCTGGCTTCCCTACCACTCGAAGAAGTGCTGTAATACAAACCTGCGTGGTCCAATATGCTTCTCTTCGCCCCATTGAAACCGTATATAGAGCGTATTTGAAGGCCGAGATGGTGTAGCTCGCGCCCCGAATGCGCCAGGAGCGAGGTATACCAGGTAATGGTAAAATTGACAGAAGAAATGAAGGGGATGTCGAGATGGCGAAGAGGAATGAAGGTACCGTGAGTACGCTTGGTTTGTTGCAGGAGACAATACAGCCACGAAAGCGTGGACCCATCCACGAAGCTCTCTCTAATACTTAGCTTCTCCAGCGATCGAGAGATTTCAACGTTGGTAGGTACACTGGGATGTTCACCAAGCGTCACTCCAGTTAAAGCGATTTCGCGCAAGTGCGGTAGCTGTAAGGCGGCTTGGAGAAAGTAAGGGATCCTTCTGCCTCCGGAGGAGTGGCCGGGATAGTGCAATCGTAGGCCGATTAGCGAAAGACTGACAAGCCTCGGCAGCGCTTGCACCGCAAGAGACAGGCTATTGTGCATGGGTACGTCGTGCCGCGAAGACGCATGGGAAACAGATCGCTCGCGGGAGGCACATTCGATCGTAAGTGAGCAGGCTCGATGGGGGTGGGAGATCCGTGCAAGTACGTCCGTGTCATCCTGCTCCTCAGCAGATAAGCTCTTGGCGGTGGGCCGGAGGAATGGAAGTCGGAGGCGGATGTGATCTCGAAGGTGAAATCTGCTCGAAGGAAGCCAGGACTTGCATATGCAGCAGCACACGAGCAGCGTAGCGCGATCGTCATGTAGATGGTCGATGACCATGTCCCAAAGCTCTTGGGGTAACTTGGGTGACATACGGGACGTGAATGCTAACTTGAATGATGTGGATTTGTTGAGTGGGGACGCCACTGATAGCTCCGGTGGTGGCGATAAGACGTGAGGAAGGGTTTGATGGCTCCACAGGCCGCATACGGTCATGTCGAGATCGTTGCTTGCCAATGGCTGCAAGGCTGGCCGGTCTGCACTCAACAATGTCTAGAGTCAGCTTCATGATAAGACATCTGTGCGACTTGCCTACTGCAGGACTGGCAGACTTGGCTTTGGGACTAGACAGCAGCCTCGGGAAAGAACAGTGGCAAATGATTGCGTCCTGTCATGCAGCGAAGTCAGTACTGTGCAATCGGCTTGCCATATGAACACTCACCGCAGTATTCTCGACCTCCAGATGATGATTGCACACCGCGGGAAGTAGCCTATTCTCCCAAAATGGTGTTCACGACTTGTTTCAATGATAAGTGATGTAGCGTACCGTGACTTGTCGTTTCCCCGCGATAAAGCCGCGTTGGCGTAGTTATAGCGCATCGTACTTGTAAATGCGAAGGTCACGCGACGCGTGGTAGAGTGAGGCGCTGACGCACGCCCGAACCCTGGGAAGGGCTACCCTAGATAACTTCTAACCCTCGCACAAGGCGAGAGCGCGGTGGTGCAAAGAGAATAGGGGAAAGTTCGAAGGCGTGCGAGCAGTCGGTTAAAAGGAGCGAGGCGACTGGGGTACCGGCAACGGGTCGCGCGAAAGGTCCAAACGTTAACGACGTGGGCGCGAGCGATGATAGCACTCGCACGTATAGCACGAGCGCAGAGTACCTAGAAAATAAGAAAGCCTCTTAGTAACGCGAGCCGCGGTCAGCGGGCAAGTAGGGGGCAGAGATAGGATCGAGAGGGGACGGCGTGAATACACAAATACGCGGAGAGCCAAGGACGCGGGTACGCAGTAACGCAGACGCAGAGATCCAAACGCGAAAGTCTAAGTGCACGAGAGGGGGGGAGTCGTGTTCCGGTCTCAGGCCATGAGTACATGAGGCTTATATACTGCTGGTCCGAAAAATCTACAGAAATAGTGAGAAAATCCAACAAAAACTCATCGCTCGCCACGTCAGCACCGAGGGAAGCTTGAAGAGGCCGTACCTCACGTCTCGCGTAGGGGGGTACTAGCGTGTTTGCTAGCGCGCACGTTGTGCGATGGGTATCTTAGACGGCGGCTCTCGCTCATAACGGTCAGTGCCTTTCTCGGTAAGTTCGTTTGTCGGTGAACTCATTGGTCGTCGTGGTGTGCGTGCGGGTAGCTGTCGGCAATCGCGCTTGTCTGGGCCAATTCGGATCGCGGCGGGAACGTGCTCGGGTGCGCATCGCGCGGAACGGCGCTACGCGAGGGCACGCGTGCAGCGGCCAGAGCGCGGCGCGGTGCATAATAGAGCTTTCGCTTTTTGCCCTCTAATATCGTTGTCTGGTCGGTGATCTCACTAACATGCTATTAGTGTTACAGATGCAGCGAAGTCTATAGTCACACGCGCGGTATACCAGAGTCAGAATGGCATATAAAAGTCGGTTAGTATCGTCGTGACCGTTTGTAGAACGGCGCGCAGTTGCATCGGACGATCCCATTGAGCTGCTCGATTCGTAGCGCGCCCGCGCCGCAGCGTACGGGAACTGAATTTTGACCCAGAGTTGGATTCCTCATCTCGTGCGTCCTACCCTCCGTACCAAGGCGATGTCGCTGCCTCAGTCCATCGCTGACTAGGCCCGGCGGTCGACGTATCCAGTGCATATACTCCTCTAACATCTACTCCTCGCTCTCTTAAAGCTCACAAACTCCGTAGACAAGTGTACATCACCCTACGTTGGTAGCGCTTAGATATCGACAATTAAAATTCGAAAAGGAAAAGGATATAAGAGACCGCTCGGAGGTGTGTGTTCATCGTTGTAAAGCACAAACTCACGAATTATGAGGGTTACAACCACGTAACACCGCGTTCGCGTTCGAGACCAGCTTCTTGAGAGCTGCACCTAGCGAAGCAATCATGGAAAACGGTTTGAAAACGGACTTACACAAGGGCCATCACATTCGCGGCGCAGCTCAGCTTCGGAGATCCATGTAGGATGCACCTCTAATAGCGTAAAGTGTGAGCAATTTGCCAAGTTCGGAAAGGATACTCCAGAGCCATAGCGAAAGTAAGACTCGGAACGATCAAGCGAACGATGCTGAGTACTGTGAGGATCGTGCCCATTTCTGTCATATGACAACCACAGTCAGACATGAGAAGGTATACGTAAACGTCACATACCTAAGGGAAGCAATGCATGATTGTACCACCTACGCATCGATTATAACTGATATCGTGAGACTCCGCGTCGTCGTTTAAGAGCCTCTGGATCTCCACGTGCCCGTGCCACCTCCGTCTCAAAAGTGTACAAGTTGCGCATCGTCCGGACAACGTTGGCCTAACGTTATGTATTATGTTACATATTCCAAAGAGTTAATATCAAACTAAATATTAATGATGCGGCTAAGACTAAGAGCCACATACCAGGTGAAATTTGAAGTTTCGAATGCGGGACACCTAGCCTCGTTGCCAAGGCGACGGGCTCTGGTGCAGGTATTATCGCATTCGATGCTGACAGCTATAACGATAAGACATCGTAAATATCTTCTCTCAGAGGCAGAAGCAAACTAGACCCACCATTGACGGGGCGAAGCAAAGCCAGAGCTCAGCATTCATCCGATGATCAACTCCCAGCGCCTTCGTCCTCAGTGAGACGCTTCAATATATAGGCGGTAGGTATTGAAACGAGTCTCTGGCTCTCGCTTGGCCTAGTATTTGTCCCCTGACCGCCAGACGTTGACATTAAAAAAACTTTCCTGCTCACGCTGACTTAGTGGAGGACAAGTTATGCCCGGGGAAATCTCCGAGGGGCGGCAATGCCGAGCTGATCCGAGATGACTTTGTGGCGTTGCTGGCCGCATGCGCGTCTGCCTGTTTAGTCCTCTGGGTGAACTCTGATTACATAGTTTCGGCATGTATACCATGCTTTTTCGACCTGAAAGGAAGTCACGCATTACACCGCTATTTTTCTGACTACTCCAATTCTTCTCGATTTATGGCGATTCTGAGAGCTGTCGAAAAATTTATTCTGGATGCTTCCCGCCAGCTAGGTCGAAAAAGTACAGTAAGTACTAGTCCTTACCAGCTATGTTGAAGACGAACCTGACTGTGTCAACTTCTATCCAATTGTATTGAGATAGGGATTGTCCACGAACGCCGCTTTCAGTGAACGCCTACGTCCAACCTCCATCGGTACGCTAATGAAATAGCAGCCTAATGGTTCTGGTAAAACGGCTTACACCCGAACAGACCTGTGTCAGACCGCCTGGATGACACCACTGGTCAAAGGCTGATCAGGTATAGCCCGCCTAGTGCCACTTGATGAAGGCCTGTAGCCGAGCCAGTACATTGCCCAGTTTGCCAACAAATATACAAGTTGGTTGAGCCAGTCGTCTGTGGCATCGATTTCAGGACCTTGTATTTCCAGCCTGCCCCAGGATTATTCGCACAAGAGGATAATCGGAAAAAGCTGGAGCTACATCCCAGAGGACGCAGGAGTAATACTAATGCCTGTCTCGTGGGCTTTGGCTTTTCCTACCAAGATGCTATTTTCGAGGATGCGATCTATCATCGCGATAATCAATTACGGCGACACCATAAATGTATGATCGTCTACAAGTATCAAGTGGCTAGCATTTTAAAAAAATTGATTGTATCGATATCAGCACGTTGCGAGCTTCTTACACAGTCCGTGAAACAACGTTGCTGTCACGCCTGTCTCCGAGTGCCGTATACAAGAACCGTACACACTGTTGACTAGGAGTCATATATCCAAGTACTGAATTTATTTGGAGCTGTCCATCAAACAAGTAAGCTGATAGTGAAGAGGATGCTTGACTTGTGCGCCGGGCTACAAGACCCCGAATACCGGTGGGCGTGTGCGATAGGCGCGGGACCCCGGTTGAACTTGAACCATCACAACCCTACGCGGAAATACAGTAAGTAAGCAGCCCATTCCCTGGTGTGTTACTGCCATTTCTTTTTCTGAGTGCCTACCAGGAGTTTTTTTTTGTATTCGAGCTGAAGCTTGTACCAACGCTGCCTTACCACGTCCGCGGTTGTTCTGAGCGCCACATCAGCAACGCCGTGAGTATGCATCGCCTCGTGCATGGCAATCGACGTTATCTGAGACCATCATTAAGCAAGTTCCAAATTATTAGCGTTCATTGTCTGGTCTAGTCAAGTCGGCTCCGGCGCGGCAGAGCGAATACGCATAAGTAGTCCGGAAGTAGCGCAGAGGTGGGTACCACGTCTCCTCCTCCCGTTCAGATGGCGGGCAAAGGCAAGGGACGCGCTGCTGACAGCGTTGTTACTGCAGGAAATCTGCCTCTTACATCGCCTGCCGCCCCTTCTTCTGCCACTCTCCCTACGAAGCCTGTCGCCATTGCAGCTGGAGCAGCGCTGCACGGAACCGACTCTACTTTAAACACGATCCCTTCGCTGCTCCCGCCTCGCCCCAACTTCCCCGCCTTGCGCCCAGCACCTGCTGAATCCTCGTCTCGCCCTCATACCCCCGATTCTAAGACCGCTGCCGCTGTCTCAGCCGCTGTTCCTGACGAAACAACGTTACTTGACTCGCCGGAAGACCACCCCTCCTCTTCGTTGAGCGCACTTCATCCCAACTCTTTCACAACACCACGTGTGCTGAAGGTTAGTGGCACGCACAACACGCCAAGGCGCAAGGGGTGGTGGACCGAAGAACTGGTCAGCGAGATGGATAGCGCGTTCGTGATGCTCGAGCAGGAGCAGTGGTTTGCTGTCTCTCTTCCAGGCGATGATCTCTCCGCACAGCAGCTCGAGGATGCGGGAAATTTCCAGGATATCCCTGTAACTTCACCAAAGGAATCCACGACGTACCCTGGTTATGTAAGTCGCGATTACCCAACTCGGCCTAGGCGGTTACTCAACTGTGTAAATGTTGTCATAGTGCTCGACGTTCAACAAAGTAAATCAAATCGCCGGTGGCAAATATTGCACCTACGCCACTGGGTTGCATCCCGAGCTGAAGGATGTGGAGACCGGGATGAAAACTGACCTGTGCACGTACAAAGTGGGAGGTCCAGGCAAGCAGGCGTTTGAGCTCGGTGCTTCGACCCTCAAGAAGAGTACCGCGAATAAGGATCTGCACCAGAGTCTCGCACGCACAGCTTGGGCATATATCGTCACGCCGTTCGAGATCAAGACGTCCTTGGAATCCGCACCATTCCGTCTCGACGTACATCATCTCGAACCCTCACAGACGCAGGAAGGGCGAAAGGCACGGGCCCAGATGACTAAGTACGCTGCTGAAATACAGCTGCGTCAGCACCGCCGATTCGTCTTCACGGTCTTCATTTGCGAGCGCATCGCCTGGCTGTTCCGCTGGGACCGCACCGGAGCAATTGTTTCTCGACCGTTCGACATCTTCGAGAAACCTGAGCTCCTTCTCAACTTCGTCTATCGCGTCGCGAGAGCTTCTCCGGCGACATTGGGCTACGATACCTCGGTCGAGATTATGAGGTCCGACGACCCACTGCTCGATGCGTTTAATGCCTACCGCGAGCGCCAAGCGAGCGACTCTTGGCCCCGCGCCTTTGCGGACGACATTTGGGTCAATAAGACGTTCTATCCTCTCTGCAAGGTACAGTTTTTATTCCTCATAATGCATGTGTTCTCCGAGAGCCTGATTCTTGATCAGGTGGTTTGCGATGATGTGGATGGCTTGGATGAAGGCAAGAAAGCACAAGTTTCCCCTCGCACGTACACATACATAATCGGTCGGCACCGTTCGGGCTCACGGTCTCCGACTGGTCGCGGCGGCAAAGGCTTCATAGCTTACGACGTAGACCGCGCCCGGCTGGTCTTCATCAAGGACTATTGGTGCGCTGACCACCCCGAGGTTCACCCTGAACTTGAGGTGTACAGAAAGCTCAACGCTGCCCGACTTGCCAACGGCTCACCGATCTCGCACATTGCAACTGCGATCGCAGGAGGAGACGTTGACGGACCGAAGGGCCAAGTAACTTTGACACAGGAGTATCTTGCCGCCACCGATCGAACAAAGGGTAAACCTGCAAGACGTTTTCACCATCGTTTTGTAGTCTGGCAGGTTGGGCGCCCATTGGAGACCTATGACAACGGCTTACAGCTTGTGAGTACTGTGTACCAAGCATTGTTAGGTTCGTGATCAGTGCAGCCTTTCGCCAGTATGCTCACGTTGTGTACAGCTCATCGTAATGTGTATGAGATAGCAGGCATACTACACAGAGACATCAGCATAGGAAACATCCTCATCGACATCGAAGTGCCCGGCGCTATTCTCAACGACTGGGATCTCTGCAAGTATCGAAACGAAATGAATCGGACGGCGACTCAGCATGCCCGTTCCGTAAGTACGCGTCATTCATTCTCGACACGTTCCTGACCTGCTACTCTCCAGGGAACGTGGGCATTCATGTCAGGTCCACTTCTGGAGTATCCCCTCAAGCCGAACGAACTCCCGGACGACCTGGAGTCTTTCATCTATGTCTTAGAGCTCAGCGTCTTACGGTTTCACGACCACTCCTTGACAACACATCCGTTTCCTCCCGACACGCCACACAGGGTTACCGGTGCACCGCTGCGGAATTCGGCACTGGCCAGATTCGTGGGCGTGAAATTCGATGCCGCAGACGAAACGGATGATGGCTATGTCGTCGGCGGGGCCCAGAAGATCCTACACATGCAGCTCGGCGTCCCGGGATTCACCATGACGGAAGAGTCTTCTCCGTTGTGGGCGTTGCTACAGGGCTTGTACAAGCTCGGTCGCGAGCATTATGCTACCGTGGACGTGGACGACTGGCGGAAAAAATGGGGCGCTACTCGACGACGGCGTATCATAGACAAGGAGAAGTACAAACCGAAAGCCAACAATGCCTGGTTAATGCAAGATATGGACAGTGTTGCCAACGGCCGTCCGCCCGTACCAGTATCTCTTCCCAGTGAGTTGAACACTCGCCCGACCCCGGAGATGACGTACTGACAGCGCGAACAGTCATCGCGTCCAGCCAGACTAGAACTGACACCGATAGTTCTGCTGAGGATGGTAGCGAAGACGACGATGATCACAACGAGAACAACGAGGATGTGACGTCCGGCGAGGGCGGATCCGTTCCCAAGAACGAGCCTTCCAAGCGTACTGGTCATACCCGCAGTCTTTACACGCACGCAGATATAATTGAAGCCTTCAGGATGTTAGCTCAGGGACCGTGGCCGGCCGGGGACAAGATTGCAGATCAGTTTTCGGGCCTACCCATATTTGGGCTGATCAAATCCCATGGCCAGGTGGTGACTGGCAAGCGTCGTTCGGCGAAGGACTCAGGTAAACCGACAAAGCGGTCGAAAAACAATGCGGAGAGCAGCAGCCATTCGACCAGTGTTGCGTAGTCTTTACATCTCTCGACTCTGTGTATTACATTACATTAATGAACATGGCGCAATAACGAGCCAATCTGCCGCGTGGTCTGACCGTATGTGGCGCCAGTACTATATGACTTATAGAATTTGTGAAAGCTGTCTGTCTCGCTACGCAACCTCGCGCGAGCGCGCAGGCGGGGAATTAGTGATTTGACTGGCTCGGCTTGGCCCAGAAGCCGATGGCTTTGGCTTGGCTTCGCCAGGCTTAGGCTTGCGAAAACCCAAGCCAAGCCGCAAGCCGCCGCAAGCCACAAGCCAGTGGCTCGGCTTTGGCTTGGGCCGCGGCTTGCATCCTAATTAGGTAAGTGCTGTGGATTGACCTTGTCAACGGTTCCACAGCTGCCACACATAGACACGCGATCATGTACAGCATGTAAATAATTTTCTCGCATAGTGTAATATCTAAATACATACTCTGTGGTATAATTTAGATGCGGAACGTCAATAAAGCCGTTCAGAACACCAACCTCATGCATAAGAGAGCCTGAGGATGCGTTAAATAAAACGCGCGAATCTGGTGCGTTCGCAAGTGGCGGACAGCAGAGGCTGACACGAAGCGGCGGGCACCTGCCACGGTCAAGAGTGTCAGAGATGTCAGCGAGCCAGGTGCAGCACGACGTTCCATGCGCGCCCTCGAGCGGCTGCACCCAGATAAGCCATTTCATGCCTATATGAGGGCTTATCCGCTGGCGCACACGTCGTGCAGCACCTCGACGCAGGCGGCCTACAGACGGCATTATGCTACCTGGAGGTGTTTGCCGCCTGAAAGCACGCGAAGGTCACAGCAGCCACTTGACGATCGACAGAAGTGACTGGCCCAGGCAGCCCTGGATCATTTGCTACCTTGTAATGACTGACTTTTGTCTGGCGCCCGCAAGAGTGGTCGTCGGCGATGTCCCAGCGATGTCCATTGGATCGTCGGCAATGACAGTCCTTGTTGATGTCTGTCTGCCTGCTGCTAGTGTGACCTCAGTGTTACAATTGGTCTGCCGTCCTGGTATATGTTTTTCCTTTTATTTCCATTCTCCGGACAAATAGCACTACTCAAAGGTTCTACCCTTTTCCGAGTTATTCCTTTCTGGGTTATTTCTGAACCACTTACATTTCCAGGACATTCTTGTATATACATTGTCCCTTCTCTGCTGATCCCACAGTAGCTAGGTTAGTATAAATACCCTCTGGAAATGTCGTGTACTTTAGCTTCGGCCTCCTGTATTATCAGTCACTTTCTATATTATTTCCTGGACTTTGCTCAAGTCCATGTTCTACGCATTCCAACTCTTACACTAGGCCAAAGCTCCTTTCACTGGTGACCAGATGTACATGGTCCAACCTCCCATCATCAGAACCACAAGTCAGCGAAGTGCTGAACTTACACGAGAAAGGTGCCGGAATCAAGCACACAGACACCACACCAGCCAACAACGAGACTACCACTTTCGAACACAAGACAACAAGTGGCACAGGTGCAGAGAAGTCATCTGCATACACAGAGACAACAAATCAAACGCCAAAGTGATCGAAGAAATCTCTGATCAGCTTATTGAGATCACCAGAGATCAACCAGCAGAGCGCATTGAAGCTTGACAAGAGGTGGAGGAGGACCAATCTCAGCAGCCTTAGGACCAAACCCCATTGATCCTCAGCTACTAGCAGCATTTACCGCTGCTTTGCGCAACGCTCTTTCCCAAGAAGAAATAGGCAAACCAGCAGAATTTTCCAGAGATATCAAAAGGCCTGAGACTTCATCCATCATGCAAAATGTACTTCCTCCTCAAAAGCCTCACGATTCCCAAATG